GGGCATCACGCACCCCCAGAAAGGGCATCTCGCACGCCCGGGGGGTGTTTGCACAGCAGGTAAAGAGAAACCACTGCTTATAGACGTCCCAGATCAAGCACCACGCATGCACCCCGTTACGTGCGCCACGTGAGTTTCTCGCTACGCACTCGACAACGCACGGCTTAAGGCTTACAGATGCGTCCCAACAAACAAAAATAAACACAACCGCAACGTTTAATCGACGCGAATTGATGAAACGTTAACTGCGATTTTAATCCAACTCACCAGGGCTCCAGGGAGTCGTAGTAGGTGGGGATGGCCGTGCCGATATCCCTCCGCGCCTTTTAAAGGGTTACTCGCCCCGTGACGTCGCCGCCCAGGAATTCAGCGACACAACGAATGGGTGAAAATGTATATAATTAAATATTACATCCAACTTGTTACTTGTCATTATGTGACTCAACTCTTTGCACGTACGGTCATTAAAGTCCAGCGTTTTAGATTGAATCTCATCTTTCTTTCTTTTTTTTGTGTGTGTGCGGGGTTGCAATGTCCACTGTTTCGAGACGCAAACGAATGGGGAACTATTTCTCTCTTTATTGTTGGTTGTTACTTTGTTGCGGTGGCGGAGCGGGGTGGTCCGCGTTTTAGGATGTACGCCTCCGCCGAGTTGGCCCATATAAGGCAACGAACGAGGAAGTTGTGTCAAGCACGTGGTTGGGTTGCAGTGATGTTACGGGTGATGGTCTGCCTGCTGTGACAATTCTGGAACAACGACTAAAATTTCGAGAAGTTCCCATCGTAGTATAATTTTAATAAAATATGTATCGTCGTGTACATGTTTTATTATTTTTGCCATTAGTGTGGAATTTGGGACTCCGCATAACCCTGATCCCACTTTTCTGTGAAAAAAGAGCTTCAGAGCTCATCGGATTTCTCCAGGATTAATTAAGATTCTGAATCCACTGCTGCACTGTATTGTACTCCTTACCTTCACCAACCCACACTGACCAAGATATATGAAACATGGTTAACCACCACATACAAAGGTAGTGTACCACCGTAGATCCTTAACAGACTATTGGGGCAAGTACTGTTAGCGAGTACCTATTGAAGGCTGGCACGGCACACAAGGGGGTGAGGAGGCCTTCACCCAACAGTGGATGGACATAAACGGCTGTGCGTGAGATGTTAACTACCTCACCTGGTATACAGGAGGTTGTGGTGTTCGATCCCAACCCTGACGCCTGTATATTTGGAGTTTGCATGTCTCTCTCTCCCCGTTAATTTTCTCCGGGTCCTCTAAGTTTTTTTCCCTCCACATTTAGAAACGTGGGTTTAGGGTATTTGGCTGCTATACAATTCCATGTGATAAGCACCTTTGTTGAGCTATCAGTTGTGGCCAGGTCGCGTCTGAAAAAAAAAGCTATATAGCACAGTGGGCCTTACCTGTTTAAATAAAAATAGCCATCATAGTACAAGTAAGAGATGTTTTACACTTATTGCAACATGGGGCGATTGAGTTTACCCCAGCTCATGGATTCCTGGCTGATGACTCGGTTGCAAAAGTAAAGTTGTAACCACAGGCAGTTGGTGACTCACGTAGTCGGGAAACTGATGGCATGGAACTGCAAGGTTGGTGACTGCTAATTAATAATTCTAGACCCTCCCACCACCACTACGAATTCCAACGACTCATTCATTTTCCCTTTTCCACTGCTGTCATGACCCAACCAGATTGACTGGCATGGCACCATCATACTCGGCTGGCATGGCACCTCCCAAATGCTGGATTTACATACTAAACAGAGTTTCATTATATGTACGTGTCGTGACATAACGTTATGTACGTATGCGTAACGTGCAAGCTGCACTGCGCACGTGCATGGAGCGACATAAGGGTAAATATGTACACAGCCACTGCGCCACTACTCTTCCCAATATCAAATAGTTTAAACAAAACTCAACATATCCGCCAATAACACTGTGGCCTAAAAATAAAAAAATGAGGCTACGTTTCGTGCAATGGACCTTCATAGCACGTGACCACTCCATGCCCGAAACGTTAAGTATTTTATTGTTTCTCTTTTTTAGGCAGAGTTGTTGACGAATGTGGTGGGTTTTGTTGTTGTTGTTGTACAATATGTGGATGTTGTACCACTGGAAACGAAGTATCACCAATGTGTTTAATCATTAAATATAAATCAACCAAATGAGTGGCACAGCACTGATGGAAATTTGAATGTCTCATCATATTCATACCCTCATCACTGGTTGACTCATGCCAACATCCTTCGGGGAACTTAAAAATAGTAAAACTGCGGGAAATCAAACAATTTTCCCATGGATAGATTCCACCATGGAAAAACGTAATTTCCACCACTGCATCAGGGATGTGAATGGGTTCAAGCCTTCTGCGTATGATCAACGACGTAACAATAAAGTGCACACTTAGAGAGGTGCGTGCATGAAACGTTGAGAGACAGAGGAAGATGCTGAAGTAAACAAACTCTGTCCATGAATCAGACTGAAATTGTTTGTTAATTTGTTAAAGTGTACACTTCGTATATGTGCGTATATTTCAGAAAAAAAAGAAAAGATAGATTTTAATTCTACAACTTTGCATCATAACCGGAATGCTGAAACCGACACCAATCCTCTAGCGCCCTGTTCCAGCGAACAATCTGCCACCAAATATCCACAAAGACGCGCAAACCGCGAAGGGAGTTCACACGATTTCGCACCAACGACAACCACACACAACATCTTAAGAATCATCAGCCGAGACCTCGACGTCACCTCGCCGTCGACTCAAGCACCGATCCCATCCCTTCTTGGATCGCGCTGCCTGCTGCTGTCACCGTTCTAGGATCCCACCCCGATGATGGGAGAACGCTGATCGTGAACAGAGTGGAGAAACGTCCAGAATAAACATCCTCCTCATCATTCTGGACTCAAACATCATCATCATCCTCCACGCACCTCTTCCTTGGCTTTGTCATTCCTCCCCGAAGACACCCGTGGCGTGGCCATCAACCCAATTAGAACATCACCAGGCCGAAGGAGCACATCTCCTTAATGATTTTGAAAATCAAAGACACAGACGCAGTAGTGCGATTGTGGCCATCCATTCCAACACCGTGGCCCATTATAGTGAACGGCTGGAGTCTGCGCTCCTGCAACAGAGGAGCAGCACAACAACACGGACTCTCTCCTGAAGCCTTCTCGTGGCGAGCAGACCTGGGCATTGGCCTTTAGCGCTTGAACCATGCTGCCATACGGTTTACCGGTTATTAACAACCCTAAGCGCGAAGCGTGTGGCGATGTTTTTTTTAGAGAGGGTTCCTTTACCCGTGAGCGTCTAGCAGTGCAATCTGCGTTAGTTCTACCGGACATGTGCGGAAAAAGAGCTTCATGGCTCATCGGATTTCTCCGGTATAAATACGTATTCTGATTCTGGGTTCAAGCAAAGCCTGATCTCTACTGATGACGGACGGTAATGTCAAAACCGGACCGGAATTTTAACTTGTTTTAGAACTAACGTTGCCGTTAATGATGGACTCCCAGAATAATCCTCTCTGTGGCTTATGGGATATAAACTAAAATAATAATAAAAAAATGTTTCATTTGAAAGGACAAATCTCTTATTGGAAAGTCTACCTTGTCTGTGAAAAAGAGCTTCATAGCTCATCGGATTCCTCAAGTATAAATACGTATTATGATTCTGAGTTCAAGCAAAGCCTGACCTCTACTGATAATAGGTGGTAATTTCGACACCGGGCCGGAATTTTAACTTGTTTTTAGAACTAACGTTGATGTTATTATTGATGTACTACCAGGATGATCCACTGCGTGGCTGATGGCACGTGTTACAAAATAATAATAATCAAGTAATGTTTCATTTGGAGGGACAAATCTCAGATTGGAAAGGCTTCCTTGTTCCGCTGGACGTCTGTGAAAAAGAGCTTTATAGCTCATCGGATTCCTCAAGTATTAATACGTATTCTGATTCTGAGTTCAAGCAAAGTCTGACCTCTACTGATGACGGACAGTAATGTCCAAACCGGACCACAGTTTTAACTCGTTTTGAACGAACGTTGCTGTTATTATTGATGCACTCCCAGAATGATCCACTTTGTGGCTGATGGCACGTGTCACAAAATAATAATAATAATAATCAATTCTTGGTTCTTTCGGTAAAGTCACGTAGAAGGGAAACAATAAAGTAATTATAATTATTATTTTTTGACATAAAGCTTTCGTGACTGCAGGGATTCATATTCTTGGTTCTTTCGGTAAAGTCACATAGAAGGGAAACAATAAAATAATAAAAAATATATATTTAAAAATAATAAAAATATACTATACATATTTTATTATATAAAAATAATAAAAATATATTTTCATTATTTTATTGTTTCCCTTCTACGTGACTTTACCGAAAGAACCAAGAATATGAATCCCTGCAGTCACGAAAGCTTTAAATAAAAAATAACAATCAAGTAATGTTATTGGTTCTTTCGGTAAAGTCACGTAGAAGGGAAATAATACAATAATAAAAATAAAACTATTAAATTCTCACGACGTTTTGATTGCAACACAAGCAATCATCATCAGGTGTTAAAACCACAGCAAGAAAACATTTTCAAAAAAAATATTGCTGTGGTTTTCACACCTGATGATGATTGCTTGTGTTGCAATCGAAACGTCGTGATAATTTTATTGTTTTATATTTTTATCATTTTATTGTTTCCCTTCTACGTGACTTTACCGAAAGAACCAAGAATATTAATCCCTGCAGTCACGAAAGCTTTAAATCTAAATCAAGCAATGTTTAATTTGGAGGTACAAATCTAATGTTTTGTGTTGGCTTGAGTGACACTCGGGGCTGTAGGTGAGGGTGGTGGGGAGGGGGTTATAAAGGCGGAGCCGGGGGATCTGCGAGGACCAATAGGATTATAGCTGTGGCGTGACGTCATGAGACGAGTAAACAGCCTCGCAAGGAGGAGGAGGTGGGTGTAAGGCCGCTGGCCATAATTTACAACAATTATCGTGTAATTGTATGCGTTCGCTAACCAAATCGTACACACGCGCGCGCGCGCGGTTGCACGTCGGCGCTAGAGGAGGCAATTCGCCGTGCGTCGCGAGTTTTGAGTTTTTTTTAGTGTTTAAATTGTATTATTTTTTTATGCGGGATTGAGGGTCGAGGCCTAAGGTGGGTTGGGAAAGCCTCGCGTTTGCCTAAGCGGCCTGCCGCCGGAAGAGGTACGGTCGCCCCGGTTCCCAAACGGCTTCCCTGTTGAAGCCCACCGGGGCGAGGGAAACTCGTGCAGCGGTTATTCGAGACGGTTGCATTGGAGACGCTGTAAAGGAGGAATTGAAATTGGGGGGGGGGGGGGTTCTGGTCCTAAAGTATAGCCAAAATGGTTTGCAAGAAAGGGCGAATGATTCTCAGAAGGTCGGAAATGCGCGGTAATGCCCCGTAGAAAAATGGTGAGGAGTGCATAATATAGTGATGATTACAAAGTCATCGGATGGGAACGATATTGATGAATGTGTAGGATTAGGTGTATGGTCATAGATGATTATGATGAGTTGTGCGGTTGTTGAACTTTTTTCGCACCGTACGTAGCCAACCGTGAAAATCCGCGTACCTATCAACCCATACGATTTAACCAGTATTCTTGTTCGGGGAAATTGAGTTGTCAGGTCCATACGGCGTACAGCCGTTTCAATACCGGTTTTATATGATGAACGTTGAGATTTCTAAGAGCACGGGGTGACCAATAGGGTCCGAATTTGTCTGTAATAAGGTAGGCACTGATGAGGAGTTGACAGGTTTGACATCGGAGAGTTGAGGGATAGTCCTTTGTATGATGCGGTATATGATATATGGGATGATGGTGATTATTGCATAGGATAATGGTGCTTAATACATGTGTACGTATAAACTCTAGTTTGCATGGCGTAATTCTTTTCCATTACTGTACCTCCAACAATCAAATCTATAAATGACGAGATGAACACATTTTGAAAGAAAAATAGTGCAGGCCGGAAAACCATATATATTTCAGCAACACAACTTGTAAAAGGCACTCGGCCTTTGCGCATAATGAAAATAAACCACCAGTAGTTCCTGAAGAAGCGCATTGTGGTCCTAATGCCATAGATCACCATTAAAATAAAGTTATCTTCCTTTCAGGGCTGGTCTCACAATGTGCTCTGCACCACCAAGCACGGTGATTTCGTGCCCTGGCTTCTGCGAGCTGTCCCCACCACCATCTCCTCCACCACTCCCGTTTGTGGTTCAAATTCCGGACGAAGTTGATCCTGATCATCTACCCCCAGCGGAGCTTCCACCACCACCTCCTCTTTCCAATCCTCCACCTCCCCTTTGCCATCGTCTCGGTTACCATAACGGTGCTGGCGATGATGGCGGTGGCAACAGTGGTGGCGGTATCGGTGACGGTTGTGGTGGTGGTGATGGAAGCTGCGACAGGGCGGTCGCTTCCCGTGGGAATGAGGCTGCCGACGAGACCGAGTTTATCCCAGGGTCCAGATTCGGGTGCCGCGCTTGCGATGCCGCGGCCGATGGAGCTGCGAGCCATGAGGCAGCGAGGCGAGCGGGCGGTGTCGACATGAGGTCAAGGGATCGCCGTGACAAGACCTCCACCACAGGTAAAAACTAAACTGAAAAAATAAACTATTTTTTATTTTACCAGATAAGACCCACTGAGCTATGTAGCTCGTTTTCAGAAGTGACCTGGCCACAAATTGATAGTTCAACGAAGTGGCTTATCACGTGGAAATTTATAGCAGCCAAATACTCGAAACGCATGTTTATAAGGTTATGCCAGTTCACAGCCCATACAGTTAATTCCTGATTGTGGCCATTTCCTTTTTAAGGATGAACCATGATTGCGAAAAAATAAATAACATTTTTATTTTCATGATGGATTCATTGTCTGATTTTAACTTGTCAAAAATCAGTGATTCGGTGCCCACATAACTGCACAACGAGCAAACAAGTATGCAAATAATCTGGCTAACGAGAAATAAAAATCGTACATAATGCGTTCTGTAACGTTTTCCAGCATTGCTTTGTTCTGAGAAGTATTAATTGGTGATAAAAAAAGTTACCTTCCAAACCGTACGACGAGACGTCACAGAGTGCAGGATGTGTGATGTCACACAAAGATGTCATTGGGGAGCGAGGCATGTACATGACATGTGATAGCTGTGTTTTATTGCCAAACAGCTACGAGATCGCTGATACATTTTACAGTGTTAATGCATTTTTATAAGCAAAATTTCATACGTTTTGCATCTGTGTTTTTTTTACTTTCCAAGCAAGGTTGTAAGTGGTAATGCATTGTCAGTCACGTTGTGATAATTCAGAACGTTGTGAACACAGTTGCGTAAAGATGTATATCATCACACAAATTAATTGTGCTTTTAACCTGGTATCTTAAGTTTTCATCTGATTAAGCAAACTACACTATTCATTACATTGTTTAGCATCACACCGAAGTACATTACACTGTTTTATCACATCGTATAGTGTCATACTGAAATACATTGCATTGTTGCATCGTGTATTGTGCTGTTGTGATATTTTTCTGCCTGGTGGGGGCTCCCTATAGCAGCTGGACGAGGAGAGAGCTGGGGCCAGGAGGAGCGCCCCAGCCACTTGGAGCGATACCTGGCACTGAGGCGCAAGCTGGAAGAGGTATTGAGTGTGCGCAATGAGCCTGCAGGCGGTGGTGGTGGTGGCGGCAGCGGTACTAGTGCCAACAACACCAGCAGCAGCAGCGACACTACTAGTGACACCAGCAGTAGCAGCAGCAGCAGTGAAGATGAAATTATTTATGAAGATGGCCACTTGTACACCAGTGCCGGAGTGTGGGGCGGGCACTGGGAGCAAGGGGCCGACGGAGTAACGTTGGCAGAATCGGCGGCAGCGGCAGTAGAAGCAAGGCCAGTTTGGGCCGTAATTGATGATCCTGACAGTACTGGCTGCCGAGATGGAGACGCATCGTCCACCGAGCACTGCGTAAGCGGCAGCGGCGTCTGCGCTGGAGATGACGATAACGACGACGACGGCACCAGCTGGGCGGCCGTGACGCGCGGCTGGGGCAGGAGCCGCAGCGACCTGGGGCTGTCCCAGGCGCGGTTGCAGGGAGCGGGAGCGAGCGGGGAAGTGAGCGGCGGGGGTGGTCGAAGGGGCAGCGCCGGTGACCAGGCGACGCTATGGGTGTACCGGAGGGAGGGCACACGGGATAGGCTGCTCTCTGATGATGACGAGGAGGACGAGGAGGAGGATGAGGAGGAGGACGCCTTCCACACGGCTTCAGGCGGCAGCGACGGGTGCTCGTGGGAACATCGCGAGCGAGGTGGCTGCACGTTATATTTTGCGTTCGTCTTTTTGGAAAGGTCCGTGGCCTTGTCGCATTGGAGTTGTTGCACCACTCCTGTGGGTTGTAGGTCACAATATTTCCCATTACTCCGCACCTGTTTGTGTTGGTTGCAGTGAGACTTTGGGTTGCCACAGAAGCCCTCACTGCTACTTGACTCTTTAATCACCTGCCATATAACCATGCCTACACGCCTGAACTTTATTTTTAACTAGGTGAGAGCCTCATTATTGTTCATTCACTCTTACAGTTCGTTTATAAGCAGGTGAGCGTCAATTTACTCTTAAGTGTCTCATTAAGAAACACTTGGTTAAAACAACATAATATGTTAAGTATGATTAAAGATCATTGAAACTGCAAACACCTTTTGCAAAATGATAAACTTATTTGGGGATTTTCAAAACCTTATATAACTATAATTTTCAATAACATTTTAATGAGGTAGTAGGCTAGGTTCAACAGCCCTTAATAGTACTCTCTCACAAAGAATATACAGCGCAAAAATGAAAGCACTGTCATTGTGAGTCGCTCACCGTCACTAGTCGGAGCGTCTGCCTGGTTGACCGAGCAATGGCCGATGACACGGCCTAGCGGTAACATGTTCGCCGCTTCCTTATAGATGTTCACGGTTCGAATCTGGCAGTCACCCTGGTTAACACCGCAGGTGTAACTACCGTAAAAATACGTGCCGTCTGCATCACAGTGGACGTTAAGAGTTCTCGTGACGTCTTTTGCAAGCGTAGGCCATTGTGTGCTCGTGCCAAATTAGAGAAATTACCTGCCACTTATATGTATCTTGAACTTATTTTTCTCTGCACATAGCGAACCGTGCTAACATTACTCAAATGAAGTATGCATAGCAATGATCACCCCTGCTGTGAAAGCTTGGCAGGACCCTCCAAACAACAGTAAATTGGCTCACAGAGGCTTTTCTGGGCAAAGGTGTTTAATAAAAAATATTGTCTTTTGATGCACTAACTAACATAAAAAAATTTTTTTAATAAATGTTGCTAAATAATGAACTGGGTAGTCAAGTTTCCACACCCTCGCTCTCTCGCGCAGGCGAACTGGCACTCGCAAACTCTGACGACGAGTTGCTGCTGCTCCCACCCGGCCCCGAGACGTCCGTCCAATCGGGCGACTGCGCAATTTGCGCCAGTCGAAGCGCGGCTTCCTCGCCGGCAAATCACGGCATGCCGTGTAGCCTGTTTGCCGCGGATGGTGGGGAGCTCGCCGCATCGGAGGATAACGGGTTTGACTCCATTCCCAGTCTCAACGAGCCGTTTCTCGATCGCACGGAAAGCTTTGCCGACGGCGGAGAAGTTTCGTCCGGGTAAGTTCCAACTTTCGCGTTATTTTTATTAACAGGCTGGGTGGGAAGTGTGCTTCTCGGGAAGCCTTAATCAATTTCCACTGTGTTACATTCACAGAAACACAAACGTATCGCAATGGTGGTGAAAATATATACGTAGAACGTTTCGGCCAATTGGTGTATAAGTATGCAACAAATTCGCAAGGTTTGTCATTAACACACAATATTAACGTAACCACAACTGCCAACTGCACCAATATCACAACCACCACCAGTATCACGGGATCAGCACCACCATGGTGTTGTTGTTGGTGGTGGTGTTGGCCTCTTTTTGGTGGTTGTGGTGAAAATTAAGAGCCACCCACTGCATTTATTATTCCAAGACCAAATAAACACACCACCATGAGCCCCGATGACTTGCTTGAGAGCTCTCATTGTTAATCATGCTGTCACTGAGGATTTGTTGTTTTATTTTGGTGGTGGGAGCAGCAGGAGGAGCAGGGGGAGCAGCAGTGCCAATGGAGACATGGTGGGGCACAGCCTGCCCTGGGCTCCATGCCCCAACGATGTTCTCTCCCCTCCCGGCGGTGCCACGGGGGGGCCTCTTCATCGACCGTGTGGCGGTGAGGAGGAGGAGGTGGTGGTGGTGGGTGTTGGTGGGGATTGCATTGCAGAAGTGCTGTTTTTTTGGTTGGTGATGAAGATGTGGCCAACACCGGTGACGTGTATCTGACCGATCCCGGGCCCTCCCCCAGGTTTACCTGGCCTTAAATGAGTGCCTGGTGCAGCATGTTAACATCACCACCAACAAAACTTGCCCCAGGTAATATGGGCATCGTTTTGTCTGTATGTTGAACTTCTTTCACACTGTACGTAGCCAAACCGTGCTAATGGGAGGTGCGGGATAGTGTCGATAGTGGTGGCAGTGTTGTCGGTAAAGTGGTATTGTGGTGGTGGTGGGGGTGTTGTAATGCTGGTGGAGGATATGGCTGTCATGCTGCCCGTACCGTCGGTGTTGCTGGTGATGGTGACATGATTCGGCCTCAATGAGTACCTGGTGCGGTGTGTAAAAATAATCGCCACTGGGGAGACAAAGCCAGCCAGGCATGGTGCTGGCCACCCACCCTCTCGTGTATCTTGGCAGCCTTCATTGGTGCTCGCTAACAGCGCTTGCCCCAACAGTCTGTTTCAAGGTGTACGGGGGGGGGGGGCTTTGTCATTGGTGACATGATAGTGGTGGACACTGATGTTTGGAGTGCTGGTGTTGAATATGGGGCTGGTGGTGCAGATGTTCATGGCGTTGATGTAAGTATTAGTGGTAGTGAGGATGGTGTTGGTGGTGCTTGTGTTGTTGGCGATGATGGTTTGGTATGATGTTGGTTGTTTTTTTTTTTAGCGGTAACCTGACTGACTGGTGGTGATATTGGGATAGTGGTGGTCATAGTGGCCTGGGTTGTGACCCCGAGCTATGGGTCAAGCGAGTCGTCGTTATCCCTGTGTGGTCGATAAAATGAACACCACCCTCTAAGAAGCTGCTACGCGTGATGCGGGAAAGTGGAATTTTCACCACCGATTCAGAAGTATGAATGAATCTCAGAAGTTGTCACGATCATCGTAAATAATAAAAAAAAACTCTCATTCACAGCCCTTTACCAATCCATTGATGGATGAAGACCTCTGCACATCTTTTTCAGTCATGGGGTTGTTTGGCCATACTTCATCACCCTGCTCTGTTAATTGGTGAAGGGGTGGAGAGGCCAGGTCCTGCCATCATCAGGCGCATCACCCTCGGGAGTGTTATTATATACAGGGGTTTCCAGCCTTCGGTAGGCAAGGTTTCGGAGCGGCCAGCATTCTATCGTGATTTTGTTTATCGACTCATCGTCCCGGCTCTAATAAAAATGAGTAGCCACCGACCAGGGTGACACCCTGTCCCCCCTTGCATTTGCAGATGAGGCCGAATCTCCGAGCGCCGGTCAATGTTGCGCAGACTCCTCCCACGACTCCACCCCGAACGCCTCCCCGTTGCACTCCCAGCCGCACGCGCCGCCGCCGCCGCCACACGCGCCGCCATCCCCGCTCAGTCGCACGCACGACTGCTCCCCCCAGTGGGGCGGCCCGCACTCGCGCCTACGCCACCACCACCACCACCACTCGCACCATCACCACCACCACGCGCACCACCACCACTCGCACCACCACCACCACCACACGCACCACCACAACGCGCAGCGCCACCCTCCCTCCGCGCTGGCATCATGGCTACGTCAGCCGTTGCTGGCACCGGAGATTCCGGCGGCGGCCGCACCGCAGCGGCTACCGCCGCAACCGCCGCCGCAATTGCAACCGCCGTCGCAACCGCCGCCACCGCCGCCACCGCCACCACCACCACCACCGTGCTGCGAGCTGTGGGGTGCCGCCGCAACCACCAGCGCCGCGCAAACGCAGCCGACTGTGGCTCACCGGAGCCACCCGTACTTCAATGTGCTGGGCGGCGTCGGTGGCGGCGGCCACCACTACCACCACCACCGGGGCGGCGTGGGGGCCGGCGCCTGGCGCTCGCCACTACCGACGTCTCTGCCACCCTTGCTGTTGGTGCCGCCCATTGCCCCCGCTCCCTTCTCCGCGATGCAGCCCCTGGACGGCACCATGGGATTTTCCGGATACTCCTCGCTGGGTCTCGGGGGTCAGCCGGGCCCGCCCACGGGCACCGGTGGTGCTGTCGGGCGTCTCCGCAACGCGGCCTGTAGCAGCGTCGGCGCCAATCAGGTTCGCTTGTGGGTGGACGTGATGGAAGCTAAGGGATCGGGTAGGTCGGGCGGCTAATAAATTACTCTTCAAGATTGATTATCTACATATGAAACAGGTAAATAATGAAGTGATTTAAATTCAATTTCTCAGCCTGAAAGAATATTAGACGAAATCTACTTGTATTGCACTGCTTACAGGTCAAAAAGAAAATATTTTAAACGTTTGCAGAAGATATGTTATGTCGAAGCCAGCCCAACCAATATTTACCAGCATGATAGTGCATCGTGATTTTTTTCTGTTATAGTTCTCTTCCCCCATACATGCTTCACCACATGTAGCTCTCTCCTCTAGAGCCTCTCCCCATATCCCTCATCTCATCCCCACCTGTAAACGTAACCACGTAACCTGTTGATCGCTCCCAATACGATCCTGCAACAATTCCCAGATCACCCTAACTAATCCTCAACATCGTCCAATGACTCTCCCATCTCACTCCACTCCGTTCCTTTCACTCCACGTAGCTCCGGCAACCGAAGCTTTCTGCTGCCCACACAGTCTGGAATGCTAGCCCCCTTTTGTAGGCGGAAGACCTTCCTCTTCCCCTCTGCCTGACTGCGTCATCTCTTCTCTGTATTTTAAATATATACATACACCTCTTTGTTTTTTTCCGAGATGCACATCCAACTACTGCATGCAGCGTCTGGAGATGTGGTTACATTCAGGTGCCCCATGACAGGCTCCAGAGAGATGGTGACAACTTGATAGGCCTTCATTCAACAGTTGATTGTCCACGGCTGATGGTCGGTCACTGATAATTCCAGCTTGTATTTTAACTGCTTCTGTTCACATTTTCAGGATATGACAGAGAGTCCAAGTCGTCGCTCCAGCCTGGACCGAGCCCCAGCTGATCCGGACTCCTCGAAGGGGCTGACGGCGTTGCCGCCCGATGGAGCCACGCCCGTTCAGCCGGCATTGTCGTCCGAGTGCCCCTCTCCACTCCTGCACCGCTTCTTGTTCAGCCAGGCGTGGGGACCGAACCGCGCCTCTACGCCTTCAGGCACAGCCACGCGGCGTGTCGCCCACTGTGAGTATTACCACCGCCACCATTGCGACTGCCGTCACCATCACCGCCATAACCAGCGCCGCCGTCTTAGCCACCGCCGCTAACAATTGCACCACCCCCTCCTCACCATCGTCACCGCCATGAGCAATTCTGCTGTAGGCTGGGTGATGTCTGTCACTAAGATGACCGCAGTCTTGGACGATTGTTGTTTGTGTGCCGCTACGAAGGGGCAGGCCTCACATGGCTGTGGGTCGTATGGCGCACAGTCTCGAACCGTACGCGTACCAGTGAAGTGCTTGGCTGTTCCTTCCCTGACGCTTCGTTTGCGACTCCCGCTTGCAGGCAGCGCATGCGCGCGCCTCCCCTCCCTGTGCGTCTCCCCGTCGCATCGCCGCGTCTGCCCGTGCTTCTCGTGCCCTCCAACCCCGCCGGGCGGCTGCGCCGCTACCTCCGCTCGTGGGCGGTCATCCCCGGCGGGAGCTGTCGACGGGGCCAGCGAGACTCGCCGCCTTGACAACGATACCGCAACGACCGTCGCCGCGACAAGCGTGACTGCGGCGGCAGCAAACCAGGTGCCCGCTCAGCCGCCGGAATTCTTCTCGCTTCCTGCCTCGCCCGCCTCGCCCACCTCGCCCACCTCGCCCACCTCGCCCACCTCGCCGCGGGGCCGCCGGCGGCAGCAGCAACTGCTGGGGCGCTGCTGTCACCAAGCGAACTGCGCCATCAGGCGCGCGGTGACCGCCGGGGATCACCAGCAGCGGCGCCGGCTCGCGGCAGCACGGCGAGCCTCGACCCCCGATCCCTTCTTCCTCTTTGACGCAAACGGCGAGGAGGACGACGATGAAAACGACGACGACGAGGACGAGGATGACGACGTGGTCGTTGACGGCGCGGCCGCTCCGGCTGCATCCACGCAAGCGTCGGACGCAGTTGGTGCAGGGACCGGTGCTGCTGCTGACGTTGCGGTGTTGGTAGCAGCCACCCGCCAGTTGATGGCGAACCGCGTCGAGCGGCTCCACCGCTGCTGGGAAGCGACCAAGGCGGCGCTGGCAGTGGCCACCGACGTGCCGCCCCACACCGATGGCGCCGCGGAGTCGTCGGCATCGGCGGCAGGCTGCGCCCGGCCTCCTACCCCGGTGCCTGGCTTGGATGAGGTTCAATTCCCGGGGGGCGAGGGCGACGGCTCGCACTTCGACTTCCCGCCCCTGCCTCAGGAGCTGCGGGCGGAGCCACACGCGCGGGGAAACGGCGCCGGCGATGATGTCGGTTCGTCGACGCTGCTCAACTCTACACCCAAGCGGCGCTGCGGCTTCCGCTGGCCATCGACCATGGGGGTGGCTGGGCCGGCGGATTGGGCCAATGCCTGCCAGCGTTTGCCGCGCTCTCCGGCGATTGGCTACCCATTCCGCCGTCGCTCAGCCGAGCCATCTGATGTTTTTCTGTCAATGCCGCCGCCGCCGCCGCCGCCGCCACCACCACCGCCGCTGATGGTGCTATCCGCGGTGGTGAGGAGCGCGGCGCTGGGAGCACCGGCGGAATTGGCCAGCGCTGGGGAGGCCTCGGAACGCCAGCCGCCCTTCGAACGTGACGGTGCGGACGGGGCAAGGACGACAAGCCCGAGCTATGAACCGACCGGTGGGCGCCTCCCGCAGTACATGCAGTCCGAGTCGCAGGTTCTGGGTGGCAGCTATGATCTCGCCCTGCCACGAGCCCACTTCTACCCACACGCGACATCCTTGTACCACCACCATCACCACCACCACCGCCACCATCACCACGGCCACATCCAGCATCAGGAGCAGCAGAGGAGCGGAGGGGGTGGCCAGGCCTTCGCGCACCACACTTCGATGAGAGGGCACGGGGTGGCCGATGCACGGCTGTCTTCGCACGTCTCGTATGGACAACCCATCTTCGTGGCGAATGGCGGCGTGCCGGTGCCGTACTACGTCCGCCAGCAGCAGCAACAGCAGCAGCAGCAACAGCAGCCCAACGATGATGGCGATGGTGTCGGGTACGTGGACGCTTGTGCGCAAGCATTGGGGACAGCTTGGGCACTTTGAGTGGTGGAGACCGCGGTCGTGGCTGCAACTGCAGCTGTGATAGCAGTGAGAGTGTAGCAGCTCCATTGTGAGCTGTGGTGGTAGCCAGACGTGCTCTGCGGCCACTGCTGCTGCTACAACAGCACCGTAGGTCAACCAATTCCGACTGTAAGTCAGAGCTAATTAATGTGTCTACTTTTCTTGATAAGGGAGAAACAATCGCCAATGGTCTATGTTACATACCTTTCAACCCCTTTATCAGTGCCTACCTTATTACAGACCAATTCAGACCTTATTGGTCACTACATGCCCTTAAAAATCTCAACGTTCATCCTACAAAAGTCCCCATCACAAGGCAGACACACAAACAAATAGACAAGAAAAAATGTTTTCCCGTATTTAAACGGCTGTACGTCGTATGGACCTGCACTCAATTTACCTGTACAAGAATACAGGTGTTGAGGTGCAACTGACGACACTGACACGGTTCTTTTAGTAGGGGCTGATGCCAAGGTTTGTTAAGGGCTACTGCCGGTAACTTATTAAAGGCTCACGCCTAACAGGTGACAACCCTAATATCTCCCCAGGGGAAAGGGTACTGGGAGGTCCCTAGCTCCACCCAGGCTATACGTGATCTCCCCCCCCCCCCAGCACCGACCGAGGGATCATCCAACTCGGTCGGCCGGGTGAAGTAGTCACTCTCGCCTGGCACTGATTCCCCCTACCCTCGACCCCGACTCCCTAACTCTCTCCGTTCCTGGCCCTTCGCGACGACCCCCTCTACGTCAGGGGTTCCCCCTTATATATCCCCCTAACCTCTGACGTCATCCCTTTTCACCCCCCTGAGTGGCATGACGTCCTCCACTACTCCTCTACACAGGTAAACCGTATGGTTTACCCGTATGTAGGCCACACGGGGGCGGGGAGTTGGATCATTATCTTTGATTCATAATTTCGTGTCGGTACGTCAACGTTTTAACGGTAACCCTCCACCACCCGACGACAGAGCCAATCAAATCAAGTTGTCACGCCAAGGGCAAAAATATGACGACAGATTGGGCTTTTCGGCAAACAGGAATGTCGAGAGACGAGCAACATTTTGGCAATTGTGCTGGAGGTGACTTTTAACGGCATCGTCAGGCTTAGCTCGTGGTCCGGGTCCTTAAGTAGGTGCCATGATGTCATCAGAACAGCCACGCATGTGAACCGGCTTGGTAGTTAGAATTGATTGCTCGTTGTGATTGGCAGGCTACATTCGTGTAATAAGGTGACTATTTAGTGCAAATAGGCTTTTCTTCATTATATTAAGGTTGTATTGAAAGCCTGCGGGTAAATGTCTTTGTGTACCTATGGATGTGTGCATGTGTTTCTCTGTGCACCTAGCCTGGCACAAGTGCCATGGTGACATCTTTGCCACTTAGTGCCGGACCGTGGTGGCTGTTGTTTTTATTGTTGTGTACGTGTGTGCATGGGTGTTTGTGTCTTGTGTGCGTGTATGTGGCACAGTGAGTAACAGGTGGTGGTACATCTTCCAGTCACCTCAGCCCGTTAATCCATAACACCTGGGTTTGTCCCGTGACCTGCCAGTGATCCTTCGACACTTCGCGTGCCCTCAAGAGTGTACCTAGCCTGGCACGAAGCGGCACGGGTGACATCACCGTCGCTTAATGTCACCGTTGCCGTGTGACCGTTCACCACTGTCTGGCTTCCGCAGGGATCGCGACCGGGAGCCACCGCTGTCCGCTCCACGGTACCGCGCGTTCCCTCGCACGAGCGCCGCTCACCGCGGGGACGACGCGCAGGCCACTCGAGACGACTCCAGGTGACGCGGCGGCGGCGGGCAGTGCCAGCAGCGGCGGTTGGCGCCGCTGCGCTACGGACCCGGCGGCCCGAGTTCGATTTTCGTTCGCGGCCAACACCGGTGACGGTTATCTGAACCGGTTCTGGGTCGCCCCTAGTTCGACTCTGCCTCAAATAAGTGCCTGGTGCGGTGGGTAAACATCGCCTAATGGGGAGACAAAGGCGGTCGGGTGTGGTGCTGGCCATGCTCCCCCTCATGTGTCTTGCTGGCCTTCATAGGTGCTCACTTAAATTAAACTTAACAGCACTTGCCCCAAACGTCTGTTGAGGCTATAAGGGGGGGATATTTGTCTTTGAAGTTGGTGGGGATGGTGGTGGCAATGCTGGTGGTTGTTGGTAGTTGGTGGTGGTAAAATTGTAGGTGGCGGTGCTCGTTTTTTTACCGATTCAGTTGGGATGATGACGGTGGCTTGCGGTGGTTGCAACAATGTTAGGCTTGCAAGGGTGGTGGTGGTTATGAAGTTGTAAGAAGTGGTAATGCTTATGACTTTGAGGATGATGACCTTAATAACGATAAAGTAAGCAACTGCTGCTGCAAGCAGTGACTAACGATGATTTTCACGACGGATGGCGGCGACGACGATGACAAACCGCAGGTCTCGCGGTGAGGCCGACTTCCATCACGCCGTCCCGCGCACCGTCCTGCCGCTGCCGCCCCACTCGCTGCTGCGCTCCACACGTCCCTCCCCCATCCGGGTCCAGCACTCCACGCTCGGGAGCTCCTCCTCCCACCCCTCGCCCATGGTCAGTCGATAAACATTTGTACGGCACCGTGCGAGCGAATGGCCACCGATTACGCAGATATTGGCCAATCACAAAAAAAAAGGGGGGTGGCGTTTCACACGACGCTATACCAACCAATGGGATTGCTCTATCCGTGGGATCACTTGGCAATGAATACACGCAGTGATTAACCCTCGAGGGATCGATACTCTAACGTGGCTGTCGTCTGACTGTCCAGATTCGATACAATAGACACCTCCGAGTCGGGTTCCACAAGACCATATTATTGGCAGAGACACACCGCTAGGGGCAATGCCAACGCCTGCTTCCTTCCATATATGGGCAGACCGCTTATCGGTGATTTCGTCGGGTGTCCAACTTTATTCATGATAATCTCGATTTGAAGCTTTCGTGACTGCAGGAATCCACCCTCTTTGGTTATTTTGGTAAAGTCGCGTAGGTAGAAAAATAATAATAGATCCTGACGTTTTGATTGCCACACAAGCAAACCGTCTTCAGGTGGGAGTGGTTGCTTGTGTGGCGATCGAAACGTCGTGATTTATTGTTATTTTTATGCCTACGTGACTTTACCAAAATAACCAAAAAGTATTTATTGATAATAATTCCATTTTTTTTATTAAGGATCTGAAAGCGCTGTACAGGACGCAGCAGCAGCACCATACACTGGGCATAAAAATAATATAAATACATTTTAAGAATCCATTTGCTAAATTAACAAAAAATTCATAAGTGGAAGTGTATAAATAGGGTTTAAAGCGCATTTTAAAAATGTCCACAGACTATTATGTATTACAGCGCACTCCACATCAATAAAATCATCTCGAAGCGCTTTACATTAAGTATCGGTGACTGGAAATTCGTCACGGGCAGCTGAGTGGGGGGGGGGGGCGGGGAGTGTTCTAGTCGCTCACAGGTCAGGGAAACCACATGCCCCTGTCCGGTAATATCGATCCACCAAATCCAGGCATCTAAGCGTACCAAGGACAAGTCTGCGTTCAATGGGTGATAGAGGTTTCAGTAGTCAGGCACCTCATTTGTAGATTGTCTTGTCCCAGTCCATTAGGGACGCTCCATCAGTCGAGGTTTTTAAGGCTCGTCTGAAAACGCATTTATTTTCTCTTGCGTATCAGTCTTTGTACTCTTAGTTTTAATGTTTATGTTTTTTACAGGGATTGTGTTGTAAAGCGCTGTGAGGCCTTGTGTGAATGGCGCGATATAAAACTTGAGTTTTACTTACTGTGTTGGCACCGCTGAGATTCTGGTTTAAAATGTTGAGTTTCATCCGGCCTTAATTAAACCAGGTTTCTCTAGTATAGCGATTTCATGGTCTCAGACGGTAACCAGTGACTGACATAGAGGCTCATAGACTCCGGGACACACCAATAGATTAACATAGACACACAGACTCACCTAGACTTAGTCGTGAATAAATTGGGCTCTCATGTTTAATGAGTTGATGGTCTCAGCTCGGTCACAAATCACAAATCACCTACATATTGCTTCAGCCGGGTTCTCAAGTGTTGTGAATTTATGGTTTCTACCCGGTCACCAATCACCTATATGCGTCCCCTTGTGCCCGCTGTGTCTCTCTGTGTGTCCCCTGTGTACCGCCGTGTGTCTCCTGGGTGTGTAGCTCGGTTTACCCCGGGTATTTATGGCGGAGATCCTCACCGTGCCAAGGCCGGAGCTGGAGGTGAGGACATCGGAAATTGTGTTGATGAGTGGGGGGGGGGGGAAGGGGTTTAACTTTTTCTAGGATGAAGACAAATGTATACACTTGGATTTGCAAATCTTTGCTGCACGCGTTTGTCATCGGTGGTATATGATCATCTCTCCCGCACTTCCGATTAGCGCGGTTGGCTACGTACTGTGCAAAAGAAGTTCAGCATACGTAGTATATGACATTTTTTAAAGCATTTGGATACATTTTTTTTAAAAGGAGTCTCCAAAGCAAACCCTCGTATACGAAGAGGTAAGGCTCAAAACTATGCTGTACAGATAGGCCGGCAACCTATTTGCTGCACTGTCATCCACTGACATGGTGCAGTAGGTCTGCAGGGTTGGGGAATTCACTCGCAACGAATAATGTCGCTCGCGTTGACCGAGGTTCTTGTAAGTGGCGGCCATGTCCCGCGTGCGGCTCTCGTGGAGTCTCGGGAGTGGCCCACTAAGAGGTGTGGCCACCCACAGAGATGCGGCTCGTATATAGAGACATGCCGATCTCTTAATGGGGTTTTTTTTTAGTTGGGTTAGATCTCGTTAATGTAAATGTGTCGTAAACCCTACTTCCACCCGACACAGCCAATCAGCGAGGGTTTGTCATGTGAACAAAAACGTGCCAATTAGTTACTACTTCAGCACACCTGTGTGTTGGAGAGCAAACCTAAAACGTCAACAATTTGAGCACCTGCTTAATCACGCAATTGACAGAACCCAAGCAACTTTATTACCGGTAATGTTGGTCGTGAAAGCCTGCGCGTTAAATAGAGCTCCCGATTAGTTCCATGAAAATGAGATTAACAACGGATAGAAATGAGAGTGTTGTGAACAGGCAAGATATACCGTCTTGTGAGATGGATAGGGTTTACGAGAGAGATGAGAGAGAGCTGTCCTCTTGTTTATCTCGCTGGACATGAATGGAGGTTAACAAGAGAGAGCAATGCGACATCTGGGGACGAGAGCGGCGTGCAATGCGGCGGTCGCACGTATGGACGCCATGGGCGGCACGTCGTCACGTGCCGCCATAGTGTGCGGCGTCACGTTGCCCGCCAGGACACTCCGAGTTGATCTTGTGGCCCACTGAACTGCACCTCTGATTAGCACAGTTGGCTATGTATGGTGTGAAAGAAGTTCAGCATACATGGTGACACCAAGAAGGTCAAAACCGGTTCAGTTTTTTCTCCGCTTAAACATGGGGAAAAAAAAAAAGTTCGAGGGCAGCGAGTCGTTGATGATGCTGCTTCGGTTCTGTTTTGCAGGACCTGATGAATTTTGACTTCCAGTTCATCCTGCACGGGGCGTCTCAGAGCACGATAGAGTGGTACACGTGCGCGCACAAGTACAAGAAGGTACAAGCGCGTGGCCGCCGCTGCTGCTGCCTCACCCGGTGGTCAGAACGCTTGCCAACGAGCCAGCTTGCACAGAGGCGGCTGTTCAATTCCTGCTACTGGCACCATGTGCCAGATTAACACAGGGGGCCTGCATCCCAGTCCCTTTGATTTTGAGGAGTCCCCTGCAAAAAATAAATAGATATATGTACTGCTCTGTAATGGTTGAAATGCAACGCTCCTCAAATGTACTGTAATCCCATCACGCTGAAACCTTATAATTAATAAATTAATGCTCTGGTGTAGTAGTATTGACAGCTGTTAAAGAATTGTGAAAGGTTTTTCAGGTACCACACACGTGCACCACACATGCACACCGCACACACTTGTATGTATGTAAGTTGAACTTCTTTCGCACCGCACGTAGCCAACCGTGCTAGCGCCACACACACACCTCCAAAGACAACACGCCCTGGCCAGACATGCGTAGAATCATGATCAAAAGAATCGTCGGGTATGGCGATTCATTACATGACTTGTGCTAGTTCAAGCAAAGGCCGGTCATGTAGTTTCACCACCCCCCCCTTCTCCTTCCAAAATAACCCCCCCACCCCCGCCTCACAGCTGAGGCCTCGTAAAGAGGACAAGAGGCCAGATGGCGAAGAGAGCGATGATGAGAAATGCACCATCTGTCTGTGCGAGCTGGAAGACGAGGAGGATGTGAGGTTGGTGAATTGCCGTTGCTCTTCCTCTATATATTTTGGCACAGCACAGCGTCGCTTATCCCACTCGCTGCGGACTGATTGTACAGGTTGCTCTGAAAAAGTCAGGTGTGTGAACATGGATGTAAAATCAAAGGTGTATCACAAAAACTGCACTGCGTGTAGGTGGTCAGTTGGTCAGGATGAATCTGCGACCTCAGATATTCAATGACCGAGGAAATCTCTGCTGTGTGTCCCCCCCCCATGCCTCATTCTGCCCCTCCCTGGTGGTGCAGGAGGCTGCCCTGCATGCATCTCTTCCACCAAACATGCGTCGACCAGTGGCTCGTCACTAACAGGAAATGCCCGATCTGCCGGGTCGATATCACAGCTCAGCTGCCCGCGAAACCCTGATCAGTTCGGAGCATCATCCCCCCCCCCATCATCCCTGCCCCTCCCCTCCCTTCTCTGCCCCTCCTCACTGCCCCTCCCCACCATCCCTCTCCTCCGACACACGAGACTCACAATACGATGAGATGCCTACCTACTGGTGTGGTGTGTGTGCGCGTGCACTGCAGTGCACGCGCACACACACCACACCAGTAGTCTAGTCCTACTCGTACAGCCCCCGTTGCGCGTGTACAGCCCGTGCGATGATCCACTGCTGGACGACGGCCTCGTCCCCATACAGTGCGGGTCGTCGGGGTTATTTGACCGCACTTCCCCCCTCCCGCTGGTCAGCGCGGGTCGGTGAAGGCGGGGAAGCCTGGTTGGCGCAAAGAAGGGGGACGGTGCAAGCCGCTTCACAAAACCGTTCCTCGTAAAAACCTGGTTTGGGATTGGTTCGTTTGTAACGCGACTCGAGGCACGTCCGGCATTTGAAACTGTTTGGTCAAAGCTGCTGCGCGAGATCCAATTATTTCACGTGACGAGGGCTGTTCAGTGCAGACGAAGCGCGGTGCACCCATTCGTCCTTTAAGGTCAACGATGATCGCGCGATGGGAGCTTGTGGATCGCCGGTTTTCACGCGGTGTCTGCGGTGGCCCTGGTCACCTCTGTTCACCGCGACGTTTTACAAAGAACCTGTTCCCGCATTGAATCGTGACAGTGAATCGCAACGATTAATCAAATCGCGGGGCAGATGAAATCGATGCGTCGCTGCTCCTGTCGCAATCCTTGCACTGGATATTTTTCTGACCTATTATGATCTCGAGGAGATGGTTTCTGCCATTGATGTCGTTTCGTATACTTTGCACTTGCAACCCTCCGCTGCGTACACACGCACACCTCTGCTGCGTACACACGCACACCTCTGCTGCGTACACACGCACACCTCCGCTGCGTACACGCACACCTCTGCTGCGTACACACGCACACCTCTGCTGCGTACACACGCACACCTCTGCTGCGTACACACGCACACCTCCGCTGCGTACACGCACACCTCTGCTGCGTACACACGCACACCTCCGCTGCGTACACACGCACACCTCCGCTGCGTATACACGCACACCTCTGCAGCGTACACACGCACACCTCTGCAGCGTACACACGCACACCTCTGCTGCGTACACGCACACCTCTGCTGCGTACACGCACACCTCTGCTGCGTACACACGCACACCTCTGCTGCGTGCACGCACACCTCTGCTGCGTGCACACGCACACCTCTGCAGCGTACACACGCACACCTCTGCAGCGTACACACGCACACCTCTGCTGCGTACACGCACACCTCTGCTGCGTACACGCACACCTCTGCTGCGTACACACGCACACCTCTGCTGCGTGCACGCACACCTCTGCTGCGTACACACGCACACCTCTGCTGCGTACACGCACACCTCTGCTGCGTACACGCACACCTCTGCTGCGTACACGCACACCTCTGCTGCGTACACACGCACACCTCTGCTGCGTGCACGCACACCTCTGCTGCGTACACACGCACACCTCTGCTGCGTACACGCACACCTCTGCTGCGTACACGCACACCTCTGCTGCGTACACACACACGTCTGCTGCGTACACACACACCTGCTTGGCATTCCGTCGTCGACATTTTGCTTTCATGCCCTCTCACACTTTTGGAATTTACGGCACGCCGTTTGTGTTTTTTTCCACTCGATTGTACGATATGCAGCCATTATGAATAGGCATAGTTAACCTATTGGGATTGTTTTGCATTCATCTTAACGTTAGCATCAGAATTGGGTTTTTCTTGTTAATTTTTTTTAAATCTCACCCTTCTCTGACAAGGTTACCAGATGATCGATAGAAAGGCCGGTAAAGAATGAGGTTTTGAGACGATAAACAAATCCTCTTGGGTGATAATGTTGATTTGAAGCTTTCGTGACTGCAGGAATCCATACTCTTTGGTTCGTTCGGTAAAGTCACGTAGATATATAATAAAATAAATCGCGACGTTTCGGGCACACACACACAAGCGTCCATCATCAGGTGGGAAAGCATTGGTCTGCTGCTGAGGCAGACTGTTTTTGAAAATCTGTTTTAAAAGCAGACTGCTTCAGCAGCAGACCATGGCTTTCCCACCTGATGATGGACGCTTGTGTTGCGCCCGAAACGTCGTGATTTATTTTAGAACTACGTGACTTTACCGAAGGAACCAAAGAGTGTGAGATCCTCTGGGTCTCGAGAGAGTACAGATCTATCTGTTACGTGGTCTTAAGACAGACCAGTTATGATCGGCTCTTAATACCACAGACTGAATGACCGGATGGGATTCTTTACACAATAGACAAACCAGTTCCTGATTGGGCCTCGAGACCAATGTCCTAAAAAAAAAAATCTCAAGTAGGCCCTAAATTTGCTTTGCCATTTCTGCGGCTCCCCTCGCGTGGAACGAAGATCTCCGATTTCATTGTTTCACACAAAGGTGAGAATGATGTAAGAAGTAAAATTTGATGTGTTTTGAGGTTGAGCAAGTGCTACTTTGAACCTTTGCAAAGCACCCATGGTGATCGAAGTTGGACAGGTTGCGGTGTTTCATGCTCTGCCCTATAAGTTGAGCGCAGGTTGGGGTTTTGATTTTTCCGTTAGGAAAAAATAATTAAGTCTTGTTTTTTTGCATGAAGGCCTTGCGCTGTTTTTTAAGCACCTGTTCATCCGGTGCTTGTGTCATGTTTCGGTTTCGCGTCACGTTTTCGACTCCCATGACGCCCGCAGAATTAACGGTTACGTCGCACAGCAGCTTTACGCTGAAAAATTTTAACAAACAAAAAATCGCCACCCATCGGCTTGTTGCAGGGAGAAACCTCTACACGGCACACGTGCAGCCCATTTGTCAGACCACTGCTGGATGAGGGCCTTCCACATGCCTGTGTGGGTCGTGGGGATTATTTGACCATACTTTGCCACGCTGAAGTATGGTGAATGCAGGTGGCATCCGACGCGAGAGCTTAGAAGTGCAACAAAGTTTCTTGCCGCCCACCACATAGCTCCAAAGCAGCCTATAACACCTGTTTTGCATGGTGGTCACTCATCCAGGAAGCAACAAGTCTAATCCTGCAGTACTTTTTGCGTCGATATATATTTTTTGCAAGCACATCGGTGCAATAGAGGCTGTGCAAGTTTGTGGTTAGAAGAAACGCAATAATAAAATGTTTAAGGTGAAAATAACGTGACCATAAATGGCTCATCTTGCTGTGATGAATACAATAACATTTTTCTCAAAATAGTTGGAACGGGTACACCACATCCCCCACCACATGTAACAAGGTTTTTTTTTTTTGGACGGTGGACCCATCAAAAGTGAACAAAAAAAATGCATTGTCGTCCTGAAGCTGTGAAGTGCGCACAGCAATGATGCTTTGGTGTTGAGCTGCATCTCCATTCCGTGCAGGTTCCCGTAATAAAGTTCAGCACAGCAATACTGGCACCAGACCTCTGTATGAATCAACTCCTGCTGCCCAAAACACATGCCAAATTCTCAAACTGTTCTGGTCAAACTCTTGACAGGTGGCCACCGTAATTTAAATCAGATATTGAGGGTATCTCTTATAATCCGATTGCTGTGTGTCGCCACTGGCGAGACAAAAGCAGTCGGGTGTGGCGTTGGCCACCTAACCCATTGTGTGCCGTACTGGCCTTCACAGCTGAGCGAGATGGGGGGGGGGGGGGAAGTGGGTGAGCTCGTGGAAAGAGGAATATGGAGGAATGGAGAGACGGTGAGACGGTGAGACATTGAGATAAATTGGGATATACGGTATAGATAAGGCAAGCGAAAGCTGCGAGACGGGCTCCATAGAAGATTAAACGTTTTTTTCTGGCTGGGAGGGAGGGCTGACCAAACATTCAAATGACGTGCGGGGTTGCTCAGTCTTACCCAGGGCGCACCACGGGAAGAGGAGTCAAGGATACAATGCATGGAGAAAGAGAATGGAGTGGGAGAGGAGGCCGGGAAGAAGTCCCCACCACCAAGATGGACAGAGGAGGCGAAAGGCACAGCTCAAGATGAGCGAGGGGACGCACCTGGCCAGAACTTCATCCAGAAGTGGATTTGGCAAGGGTCGGATAAAACGCCACTCCCCGACCGTGACCCACAAACCCGAAATGAATGAATGGCCAGCTTCACGTTATTTAACAGACGCCAGTTTAATGTAATTCACAACCGCGTTGGGAAAAGTACGCATGCCCGGCGGGTTAACAACATATACAATACACACATCCGCTGTACACTCGCTCAACTCTCATCCTACACACGCAAGTCACTCGTCCATAACGTTTTATACACCGCCGTAACCGTCACGAACATGACAGCAGTCAAAACTTTTAGGTAATTCATCCGCTACACACTGGCGATCGTGACTTGACGAAATTTGTTTTATGATGTTGCAGGGCTAGAGCTGAAATTTGTTACAAGATGCAGGGTTTTTTTTCCTCGCAACTTGGAAAGTCTTAACAAGTATTTTTTTTTAATTTTTGGGCTCTAATAAACACAACTCATCGGTTTAATTCATTGAAACGGGGTGAGAAAAGGTTCCGAAGTATTGTCTCGTGTAAAACTCTCATGAATATACAACCGCCATCGGTGACTCGAGACCTTCTACCCCCGTGGCGTGTGATGCAACAGCCGATAGAAGCACTGTCATAAAATACAGCAGCGTTCTCAATGTTCATAAGGTATTTTGGCTCAGATTGCGCAAGTATAAATATATTCTTGGTTCTTTTGGTAAAGTCACGTAGAAGGGAAATAATACAAATAATACAAATAAAACAATAACATCACGACATTTCGACTGCAACACAAGCAATCATCAGGTGTGAAAACCATAGCAAGAAAATTCTTTCAAGAAAAAATATTTTCTTGCTGTGGTTTCCACACCTGATGATGATTGCTTGTGTTGCAATCGAAACGTCGCGATAATTTTATTGTTTTTTTGTATTATTTCCCTTCTACGTCACTTTACCGAAAGAACCAAGAATATGAATCCCTGCAGTCACGAAAACTTTAAATCAAAAGTATAAATGTGTTGTTAACCCGCCACGGCCAACGAGAAAGGTTTGTCCTGTAAAGAAAACGTGCCAATTAGTTACTAGTTTAGCCCACCGGTGTGTTGGGAGTAAATCCACATTTACAATTTGAGTACCACGACGTTTCGCTGGTAATTACATCCAGTATCATCGGGCCATTTTGCCAGATGATGCTGGATTTTGCCAGAATTTTGCGATCCAACCCAGAATAAAAAAACCTTTACCAATAATATTGGTCGCGAAAACCTACGTGTCAAATTGAGCTGTGTTTATGCCATGCATGTTTGTGCTTATTCATCGTACGCAACTGTTAAATGCACGCGAGAGTTCACTCATTCCCAGCGGGACTTTGCTAGTTTTCTGGCCATTACGGTAACGCGGACAAAACGTTGGTGTTTCTTTGTGGTGCGAAAGCATGAGTGTCCGTAGAAAACCCACACATGCGAGGAAGAACACTTAGGGCCCCACCAAACAACCTTCAAGAACCTGCTTGCTGTACTGCCGTCAACAGGCACCACCTCGTCTCATGTTCTATGTTGATATCTGAACAGCTGAAAACAGTGTATAAGCAAATAATACTCAGTTATCAAAACATTAAGACTGCTCCCACAGACTCCAGCACCGCGTGAATACAAAGTCAAAACGCAAACACTAACCTCTTAAATAAAATGTACATCAGCCTTAAAAATGTATATAAATACTGTACATTATTTTTAAATTTTTTTCAACTTTTTTGTAAAAAGTATTTTTCTTCTAGTTCAATTTATTGTTCAATACAAACAGTTGAATTTCATTTTATATAGCCTTTAAAAAAATGTTATCATCTTTTCTTTGCTGGATGACGATTAAGGTCCATGTTAGTGTCACTATACAGAAACGTGGCACGGCAGCGCAGCGTTTAGCGCGCTGCAGTTAACCCGGCGACCTGAGTTCGTTTCCCCAGCCACGGCTAACATCGGTGGCGATTTATATATAATGAACTGGTCTTCGGCCTCCCCTCGCTGACCAGCATGGTGAAGCATGATCGTACCGCCCCCACCCCTCCAATGACCGACGCAGGCGTGGGGAGGACTTCATCCAGCAATGGACTGACAAATATCTATACACATCATTCAGCATTATCATGAATTTACACAGAACTGTACATTGGGTGGTATGGGTATGAACAGCACACTTTGAATGCATGTTTAAAAACAATAAAAATACTCAAAAAGGAAGAAAAAAAAAAGCAGGTTACAACGGCATTCCAGAAAAAAAGGTAAGAAAATATATCTATTCCTATAGTAAATACATTCCACGTGAGAGCTGTAATAAAACAACCCCTTACAAATTAACTTCATAAAATAGAGGGTAATTGGGTTAAGTTTTACACAAATGCCCGTGTAAAAATAACGAGAAAACCCGCCTCCCCATGTCTATGAATGTACACACAAACTGCGCGCTGTGCGAATATTGTAGAGTTCTCCCCTTCCCGGAAAATGTGTTATATTTTTTTTGTTATATTGCACAAAGCTTAATGTATGGGGTTTTTTTGAACTACAACATATCTGTAGCATTGCGATTAATGGTGGCGCCCCCTAGTGGTTGGAAGGCTTGACGCAAACGCCACAATAGTAAAACATCGATTCTTACATGCGCACACGCAATTCGATGCGTGTAGCACAAGCTTGAGAATCAAAATTCATAATCGCAATGTCCTACCGCTCTTCCTGTATTGTACATCAAAACACAATTGAAGAATTCTGTGGAATACGGCGGAGAGTTTATAGCTGCCAAATTTAAAAATATCAAAATCGGCTCGCTTCCACGTGCGTAAATTTGTGACGGAGCACAACATCCGAGATAAAAGCGAAATTAAAAGGATAGCATCGACCAAAGCCGAATAACTCGAAGGGTGCTTGAGATTCGGAACGAAAGTTGCATTTTGAGAGTCGCTGCCTACGATTGATTCGCAGCCACTTCCTCCGACGCGGAGGACGGATAGAAAATAACTGGTGTACGGAAGATATGGCCAAAAATATGGGTGATGCTTCCGCAAACTGGCACAGGTGGAAGCTATGAAAATGAACGATTTATGACAATTTACATCCATTCCTATAATTAGCAGGGGATGCTATGAGTGGAGCGTGTGGTTCGACACATTATCACGCACACTTGCAAAGAGTGGGAGGCATGTACCCGATTAACCTCACTACCACCCCATAGTGATGCAATACTGCTACTATCCAGGGTAGCCGTGTCAATGCGAGTGCCGAGTTTAGTCTCATTTTTACAATATGAATCGTATCATTTGCTGCAGTTCAGTGATATAATTTGTACAGTTCTGTTTGCATTCCATGACCCAAAAATGCAACCATGAGCTTAGAATGCGCGAGAGTAGATTTTAACCGATGAACGGGTGCGTCGATACACCCCCTAACAGAATGGGAACCATGATAACGACGACTCAAACTACCGTCCACTGTTACCACCGATACTGGAGAGGGCCAATCACCACGAGGCATTCAATGGGGGAAAAGTGAGCACAGCGAAAATGTTTTATGGAGCATTGCGGATCGGGTCGGGAAAAGAGTTAATGCTAAGCGGCTGGTTGGCTCGTTTGTTAGGGTTGGGCTTGTGTCGAGGGTGGCTGGTTTGCTCTGCCTGCGAGGAGTTTTCCCCCCACTGCCGAGCCTCGCCATTCGTCGTTTTCTGTCCACTCAGGTGGGCACAAAGCACAGGTCAAATTTTCCCATGGGCAGTTCCACGGTTTTCGGACATACATTTTTCGACACTTTAGAGATGTGGCCAATCAATAGTAACCGGACGGAGTGGCTTTCAACTCAACAGCGTACACGTCAGCCAATTACAGCTGTAATTCAGAGACAAATAAATTGTCCATGCTTGATTAAATAAATTCTCGTAAATTACCGTGGTGTTGGAACGTACTAAGACAATACGACTTTTTCATCCATGCTGGGATGGTGGTGATGATGCAATCATTTTCCTGTACAGTCCATGGTCAAACCACCACCTTATGCCATGAATAATTAATATTGCAAACATATAATTACTCTTAATATAGCACCAGATAAGATTATTCGGATGGTTTTACAAATGTTGACTCTAATGAGGTTGCCAAATTTGTGGCACTTTCCAAGCATTCCACACGGGAAAGTTGTACATAAAAAAAGGATCAACTTTAGTCACTCAGTGATGGTAAAATAGATGTCCGATTGACTAGGCAATCAGACCCTAGCACTACCCCCAACCACACTAGCCCATCAGACCCTAGAGCCTGACCCCCTCATCTTAAAAAGCCAACATCAACCCTACACCTCACTACAGTAGCCAACCAATGATTAGCCCTACCCCTAACCACAAAAGCCAAACACTAACCCTAACCAAACTAGCCAACCAGATTCTAACCCTACCACTAACCCCAACTAGCTAATCAGCTCCTAGCAGTAGAGCCAGCTATCGTGCTTCACCTTTTCATTTCTAGTTATCTTTTTAACTTTTGGTGTTCGCAGCAAAAATGACTAAAGTACAACAAAATATTTCTGGGCATGTTTGGCCGCAACACTCAATCTTGTACGAGTTGAAAACTAGCGATGAAATATTTCATGCTTTTGTAACGTTTTTACCCAAATGTATTACAGAGCCGTTCTGAGTCGGCGCAGGAGCGCTACCGTTGCAAGACGATCCATCGTGCAGTCTCTGCCCCGTTCACTTCGAGTCTCTTGTTAATGGAGACGTTCGTTCGTTTCTCAATACGCTTGTCCTGGTGAGGGTCGTGGGCGGCAGCATGTTGAGTAGAGCGGTCTGGATCTCCCTTTCCCTGGTGCCACACTCCAGCTCTGTCCGGGGAATTCCCAGGCATTCCCAGGCCAGTCGAGCGACAGTCTCGCCAGCGTGTCCCGAGCTGGCCCCGGGGTCTTCGCCCAGTGGATCATGCCCGGTAGAGTTTCAGGGGGAGTCTACCGGGGGGGTATCCTTACCAGGTGTCCACACCACCTCAACTGGCTCCTCAATCGGGAGAAGCAGTGGCTCAACTGTGAAGTTCTCCCGGATTACCAAGCTCCTCATCCGATCACGGAGTGAGCTCGGCAACCCTGCGGAGATACCTCATTTTGGCCCCTTGTACCCGTGATCTCATTCTTTTGGTCATTACCTTAAGCTTGTGACCCGAGGTGAGGGTGGAAATGTAGATCGACCTGTAAACCGAAGCTTCGTTCGAGAACTCAGCTCACGCTTCACTACCACGGAACGGTACAGCGCCCGCAACACTGCGGACGCCGCACCGATCCGCCGGCCGATCTCCCGCTCCCACTTACCATCACTCACGAAGGAGACCTCGAGGTACTTAAACGCCTACACTAAGGGCAGCTGTTCCCCCTCACCTGGAGAGAACAATCCAGATTTGGAGGTGCTGATCGTCATCCCAGCCTCTACACATTTGGCAGCAAACCGTTCAAGTAGATGATGGAGATCACAGACTGACGAGCAAAAGAGGACGTCATCTGCAAAAGGCAGCGATGCCACCTCCATGGCCCCCGTACTGGACACGCCTTGATATTGTCCATGAAAATCACAAACAGGAGTGGAGACAAGAAGCTCCCTTGGCGGAGCCCAACACCCACAGTGAACGACTTTGATTTAACACCAAAAATACGAACACAGCTCTCACTCCGGGAATAGAGACCAGATAGCGCACAAAAGCGGCACTACCGCAGCACATGCCACAAGACCTTGCGGGGAACACGGTCAAATGCTTTTTCCAAGTCTACAAAGCAGAGGTAGACTGGAGAAGCACATTCCCATGACCCCTCAAATATCTGTAAGAGGGAAAAGAACTGGTCCATTGTTCCACGACCATGACGGAATCCGCATTGTTCCTCCTAAATCTGAGACTCAACCACCGGGTGGAGCCTCCTCTCCAGCCCTCTGACATAGGCTTTACCTGGGACACTGAGGAGTGTGATTCCTCTGTAGTTGGAGCACATACTCTGGTTCCCCTTTTAAAAAATGGGAACCACGACCCCAGTTTGCCAGTCCAGAGGTACTATACCCACCTACCATACAACATTGAAGAGGAGTGTTAACCACAACACTCCTACACTGTCCAGCGCTTCCAACAACTCTGGGCGAATCTCGTCCACCCCAGCAGCTTTGCCGCTACGAAGGCCTTCGACCGCCACAGCGACTTCAGCAACAGTGATGGATCCGACACCCCCAGCTGTCCACAGGGCTGCCACCTGAAAGGAGGGCATGTCCACTGGGTTAAGGAGCTCATCAAAGTGTTCCTCCCACCTCTCAACTATCTCCCTAGTTGAGTTCAATGTTACGCTACCCTTACTAAAAACAGCCTGGGCCACGTCCTGTCGACCACTCCTCAGGCGTCGGTTGGTTTACCAGAATATCTTTGAGAATCCCCGATAGTCCCTCTCCATGGCCTCACCAAACTTCTCCCACGCCCGGCCTTTCGCTTCAGTGACACCTGCCGCGCTCTAGGCAAGCTAGTACCTCTCAATCGAGTCGGTAGACCTTTTTCTGAGCCTAGCTCAGAAAGCATCCTTCAACTTGACAGCTTCCCTCACCACTGGTGTCCACCAACAGGTCCTAGGGTTTCCGCTATGACAGGCACCAACTGCCTTCAAACCACAGCTGCATCCACAATCGAGGTCCTGATCATCGTTCACTTGGACTCAATGTCCACAACCTTCCCTGGAGCGAAGGAGAAGTTGGAAGTTGAAATATTTCTGCACTGGGTCTTCCGCCAGACATTCCCAGAAAACTCGCACTATTCGCTTGGGCCTTCCACGTCTATCTGGTCTGTGCCTCAAGCATCGGCTCCAACTTACCACCAGGTGGTGATCAGTTGACAGCTCTGCCCCTCTCTTCATCCAAGTGTCCAGAACATACAGTCTTAGGTCCGATGATACAACTAGAAAGTCAATCATTGACCTTTAGGTCCAAGGTGTTCTGATACCAAGTATACTTTTGAGCATCCTTGTGTTCGAATATGGTGTTTGTTATTGACATTCCGTGACTAGTACAGAATTCTGATAACATCTCACCATTTGGGTTCGGATCAGGGGGGCCATTCCTCCCAATCACGCCTCTCCAGGTATCTCCATCTTTCCCACGTGCGCGTTGAAGTCGCCTCGTAAGACTATGGAGTCGGTAGGCGGCACTCTGTCGAGCACTAGACCCACCATCTCCAAGGTCGAATACTCTGAATTGCTGTTTGGTGCATAAGCACAAACAGTCAAAGAGTTTTTCTTTCTGAGACCCAAAGTCTCATTGAGGTGACCTTCTCATCCACTGGGACAAACTCCAGCTGAACAGCACCCAGCTGGGGGCTTCTGAGTATCCCCACACCCGCCCAGGTCCTCTCACCAGGGATTACTCCGGAATAGGAGACCACCCCCTCCACTAGCTCTGGATCCTTCCCCCCCCAGTGACGCGACATTCCACGTCCCAATAGCTAGTGTCCGTCGCCAAGGTTGAGTCCGTCTGAAGACCATCCCTCTCCCTGCTATACTGTCATAGCACCTGCCCCTCACCCTTCGTCATGCGGTTGGTGGGCCCAACAGGACAGCACCACATAGCCATTTCGGGCTGGGCCCGACCAGGCTACATGGGTCACCCGGCCACCAGGTGCTTGCCGGCGAATACCACCCCCAGGCCTAGCTCCAGGGGTGTATCCCGTTATCTCTTTGTCCGGGCGCGGTTCTCTGATTTTTGTATTTTGGACCGCGATATGTCTGGAACCTCCCCCAAGATCTGTTCACTAAGACCCTACCAGGAGTATAAGACTCCAGGCGACATAGCTCCGAGGGTCATTGGAACACACATACCCCACCACCACGATAAGGTTACGATCCTCCAAATGGAGAAGTGAGAATGAAAGTTGTACTTTCGAGGCGTTTGGTGAGAGGTGATCTGTCGTGTGAAAGAACCATTTTTGATGACAGCATCTAATGCCCAGTAGTCTTGTCCCAAGGTACGAACTGAGTTCCTGTAAAAAAAACAAAATTAAAAGTTGTTATTTATTACAATCACAGCAGATGGTGCAAATCTTAAGAAATGTTATCAATATGCTACTAGCTTTTTTGCCCGTCCAAGGACGAGTGTATATTGCAGGAAATCTGAAACATTCAATAGAAAAATTGTTCATCTCATGATTATTAATTAGGGGGGAAGGGTTGCCCCATGTGGAGTGACGTCACCCATTAATGGTTATTGTGGAGGGGTGCGGCATGTGAAGTGACATCACCCGCTCATGATTATTAATGAGGGGAGGGGTGCGGCATGTGGAGTGCGCGACCTTCTTGTGCGTTCGTGTAAATTTCCACACGGGCATGAATATTAATGAAGGGGGGGGGGGCCTCTTTTGCAGCACAGTGCTAAGGATGTAGCACTGTGCTGCGTATATTTATTTTTCACCGTCACTTTCTGTAAGGGAACAATATTTGAAGCGACTTTGCATAATAAATTATTGAATTCAGCTTGACCTTCCTCTGCGTTAGTGTAAAAATCATGTGGAGTGACATCACGCGGGGGGGTGCGGAGGGGGGTGGCCTCATGTGGAGTGACGTCACGCGCGGGACACACACAAATTCTTGGCTCATTATATTAGTAATGTGGGGGGGGGGGGGTGGGGGCAGCGAGGGGGAGAAACCGGTCCCTTCGCAGCTCTCCCTACCGCTGTTGGCGCGTCGGGCGCTAGCGGCTGTGCTCGTAGACGTGGCGCGTCGCCTCCTGGCGGCACAGGCTGCTGAAGGAGCAGTTGGTGCACGTGTAGAGGCCACGCGTGTGTTGCCACGACACCCGGCGCTTACTGGACAGGCCTGCGAGGGGGAGGGGGGGGGTGGCACACGGTGGGGGAGGGAGGAAACGCGGTTAACTCCCGGTGACCCACGGGTGCATTATCCATACGGTTTTGTCGATTAGCTGTGCTCGTGCCATTTCTATCGTTAGTTGCTCCTCACTTGTCGGGGATCCCAGCGCCGTGTAGCCTTTAACGGACTGTCGGAGAAAGTGCAGCTAGCGAGCTGCGCCTGTAACGGCCGGCGAGGCAGACGAGGGCGTGGGTGGCCAGCACCACGCCCAACTGCCTTCGTCTCCCCAGTACTGTTTGTGCACAGCACCAGATACTCATTCAAAGCCGAGTAGGCCGAGGGAAGAGACCAAGGACTGGTTCGGATATCATTCGCCATTGATGTCAGCCATGTCCAGGAATCAAACTCAAAGACACAGGAAATGGTCATGCACACGCATATTTATACACCCTCACAACTTCACTCGCCTGGAATGCAGCCGATCCCGTGAGATCCCACAAGCTAAGCGGGTTTGAGCTTGGATAGTGCTCAGATGGATGACTACCATGCACAGTGGTAGTTATAGGCTGCGAGGCTGTGGTGGGCGGTAGATGGTAGTGCAGAAAAAATTCACCAAATCTGCACTGACCAGCGTAATGAAGTATGGACAAATAACTCCCGCAGCCTGCACGGCCTGGGGAGGCTCTCATTTGGCACTAGTTTGATGAAGAGCGTTACATGCACAACTAACCTATGTGCCAGCATCCGACCAGGACAAGATTTGAAGTTGCACAGTTTAAAAAAGAAACTCTTGTGAAATTCTGACAATATGTAACCTCAAAACCAACCTCAAGCGACATCACCAGAGTACAAATGCTTTGCTTGGTTTACATTAATTGCTCCCGGTAATTTACAGCCAATTGTCAATCCCCTGCTGGATGAAGGCTTCCCCCACGCCTTGTTAGTTATGGGGGTTAATTGACCTTATCTTCACCACACTGGTCAGCGGAAGGGGGAGAAAAGGCGGTGTGCCCCAAGACAAACCGGCACTGACCAGCGTGGCAAAGAAAAACTAGCAAACAACACCACACTACCCATGGCGTTAGGAGGGTAGGGGGGGAAGCTGGTCATCCACAAGCGGATCGACAGAGTGGCGCTGCGCTCCGTGTACACACGCGTACACTCACCCGCCGCCTTCCAGCGAGCGGAGCCCGCCTGCCAGCCCGGGTGGCTGTGGTGCGCCGGCGGCAGGAGGCTCGCTACTCTCGGCGTCAGTGGCGTCTCATCCTGCTCCGACGCCAAGGCCGGCGCCGGCACCGCCGCCGCCGCCGCCTCCACGCAGGCGCGGCTTTCAGACGCGCCACCGCTCCCCCCCATCACCGGTGCCACCGCCTTCCCCTTCCTCCCTCTCACCGGCGGCGGTGGTGGCGGCGGTGAAGATGCTGGAGGAGGGGGTGTCCTGTCATCACAGTCTGCCACCGGCGACTCCGTCCCGCTGGCTCCCGTGTTGCCGGAGGCCATAGCCAAGGCCCCGCAGCCTCTGTCGCTCGCATCATCTCGCGCCACCGCCGCTGCCCCCCGCTCCTGCGACGCCAACAGTGGCGGCAAAGCGGGGCCAGGGCACGAGGATCCGTCGCCGCGAGCTTCTTCTCGGATCCACCGCGTTTCCTCCCCGGCCGCCCTGTCCGTCCTCAACTTGAGCAGCAGCGTCTTTGTCGACGCTTTCCCCGCCCCTTTCCCCGCCGCCGCCGCCACCCGACTCCGCGTCTCGCTGCCTCGGCCGACTGCCTTCCTTCGTCGCTTCGGCGGTCCCGCCTGGGCCGTCCCGCTGTCGCCACCGTCCGCCCCACCACCGTGGGCAGCGCTCGTCGTGTCGGGGTGACCCGAGGTGGCCTTTTTCTTCCCCTTGGGATCGCTGGTTCGAGCCACCACGCCCGTGCCGCTCTCCGCTTCTCCGAGGCTCGGCCGACAGGGGGAGTCGAGATGCGGGGCACCGGCAGGTAAAATCAGGTCACCCATTCGCCCCGCCCCCTTCTTCTTTCCGACTTTTGAAACCGCGGTGATCACACCATCATCACCGCTCTCCTCACCTCCATGGGGCGGAGCCGGAGGAGGGGCAACAGAACCAGCCGTAGTCACGGTCGATTTGCCGGCATTGCCGCCAACTTTCTTACTCTTGCGCTTTGACAGGCTGGTCCGCGCCGGCGCGCTGTCTTCCCCGCTTTCATCGCTGCTGCGGCTCAGGCGCGGCGGAGCAAAGTGCTGAGGAGCGGCACTGGCGCCCTCTGTGCTCCCATCCGACACGGCCGACGCCCGTCCCTGCGAGTTCTCCATTGCGTCCTCACTCGGCAGCGCACGTTTCAGCGTGGGGGCGGCGCTCGCCTCCGGCCGTAGCAGCACGGCCACCGGCGATGGCGCTTCCTCCGCCGGTGCTTCGACCGCGCCGCCCTGGCGGCCAACGCGCCGTTTACGCTTGCGCCTGGCGTTGGACGCGCCACCGGGGCCTAGCTTCAGGTGCGGCATCTCATGTTGCTCGCTGGATTTCAGCTTTGGCATCGGAAGGCCGCTAGGGAGTCCTAGCGGCGGCGACGGTGGCGGCGGCGGCGGTAGAGTCGGCGGGACACCGGCGCGCTCGCACGTCAGATCAGGCATCTCATCCACCGCTCGCCTCTCCTCTGATGCCGCGTCAGTGGGGGCGACCGTCACGTCAGAAGGAAGGGCGGCCGCGACGCCGACAGGAGCGGCGGTGGTATCGGCGACAGGAGGGGCGGTCGCGACGTCGGTGGCAGTGGCCGTGATTTCGGCGGAGGGGTCGATCGTGGTACCGAGAGGGTCGTCTTCGGCACCACAAGGGACAGCCGCGATGTCCGCGCCAGCGGCGGCCGCAGTGACGGGGAAGGCCGCCATTATGCTGGCGGGGGCGGCCATAATGCTGGCGGGAGGAGCGGCAGTCGTGCCGGTCGTGGCACGCGTGTTGCGTCTCCCGAACACTGAACCCGGCTCGTCGTGGTTGAGGCACACATGCAGGTGCTTGAAGAGAGAGCGGTTTGTGTTGAACTTCTGCTCGCACTTCTCGCACCTGCGCGACAGATCAAACAAGCACACGGGTAGGCGCTTGTAGGAGATGACACTCCCATGCAGCTAGGACAGGTACTCTGACACAGTGTCTCTGCGGGAGCACATTAAGACACGAGGCAAAGGGCCCACTCTTGGCTTGGACTGTGGAAAAATGCCATTAAAGACGAAACTGGAAAATAAGTTCTTGTTTTTTTCTTTCATATATGCACTTAGGATGTGTCCCAGGCTGCCTGACATAAGTGTGAAGCTTTATTAATGAGATAATAGATTTCAAAATAGATTCATACATACAAACAAGATATACACACACCGACAGCAAACATGCAGACAGACTTGCAACTGCAAACATGTACATAGCAACAGCACAAACACAAACTCGCAAAAAAAGATCCCCCTATGTCATTTTACAGAGTGTTGGGGCAAGTGCTGTTCGCGAGCTACCAATTAAGGCCAGCGCGGCACACAAGGAGGTGGTGTGTGCGGCCAGCACCACGCCGAGTTGGCCCCGTCTCCCCAGTGCTGACGCTTATGCTCCGCAACAGGTACTCATTAAAATCGCATGTAAATATGCACGCACACACACAAGGCATGCACGTAGATAGGTACCAACACCACCACACATATTGCTTCACCGGGCCTTACCTGAAAAACCGCGTGGGCCGATGGTGAACCCGCATATGCCCCATGAGGAGTTCTATGCTGTCGAACGCTTCATCACAGTTGCCGTCAGCCGTGCATAAGAACCTTTTGCCTGTGGGGAACGATACATACATCATATTCCATACCCCTGTTTACATAACCAGTGTTTAAATCACAATACTAATATATTGAAACCTACGACAAAATCATCAACAACAAAAAAACACCACGGTGGCGAGATGCCAACTATCTCGCCTGGTATTTAGGAGGGTGTAGGTCCATTCCCGATGTTGACACCTGTATATTTGGAGTTTGCATGTCTCTCTCCCAATGGTCGCGCAGAATTTTCTCAGAGCCCGCGGGTTTTTTTCCATCCACATTCAGAAATATGATTTTGGAGTATTTGGCTGCTTATAACTTTCCGCATAAGCCACTTCGTTGAGCTATCATTTGTGATAGCCAGGTCGCTTCTGAAAAGGAGTTGTATAGCTCAGTGGGCCTTACCTGGTCAAGTAAAAATTGTTTAAATTTTGATTTAAAGCTTTCGTGACTGCAGTGATTCATATATATATCCGAAGCTCCAACTCTCAGGCCTCTCTATTTGCTGTAAAAGGACCATTGCCTGGAATGTCGCCGATTACATACATTTCGTTTTCATGCAATGTTATTGACAAACTACGTTTTTCTTAAGGTAAGCAATACTGGAACCAAGATAGTGCTCGAATGGCCCATAATCACGCGTAAAACATGTGTCATGTGATCTGGAGCTGTGCTTTGGGTATTAGAGGGCAGTGCAGAAAAATTGTTGACCTGTAATTCTATTTCCATGCTCCCGTGTCCAGCGTGACTAAGTACAAATAAACCCCATGACCCACATGGCCTGGTCCAGCAATGGGATTGATCAAAGGGCTGTACAAGTAATCTTGTGAAATCATAAGATTGTTTAATGCATGTGCTGTTCCCTTTAAATCACAGGAAACCAGAATACATAGACAAAACCCCAGTGAGCGTTTCAGGCGATAACGCTCAGCGGTCCACACCAGTTAGTCTTCTAACCTGCTTGCTTCACTGCCATCTCGTGGTCAGCTTGCAGCCCAGAAAGTTTTCACAAACTATAGTCTCCACAACGCTCCATCAACACACTGAAAAGCAAAACGGGTAACTTGCACTCACACAAAAACCGCCATTCGCCACTAAGTGCCGGTGACATCACCACGGCGTTTGTGCCAGGCTATGTGGATGTTAAGTCCACGTGAAGTGTCGAACGCCCGCTGACAGGTCACGGGACAGACCCAGGTGCCATAGGTTGCCTGACTGAGATAACTGGCTGATACACCACCTGTGCCCCCTACTGTGCCAACGTGTTGTGCTTTAGCCACCCGGCACTCCGCTCGTTGTTGTGAGCATCACTCCTCTGCCCTCCGTTGATACTGGAAGGCGACTGCCTGCAACTGCCCAGCAGCGTGCTTCACGAGCCTCCTCCACAGAGGCCGATCTTGACGCCGCTGGTACCAGTCATCGGCAAGTCCACTCAGCTCCACATCCTCCTGTACCATATCACTCCATCTCTTCTCTAGCCCTGCTGCGCCCGTTTAGCCCCCTCAATTCCGCCGAACAAAAGCTGTTTAGGCATGCGAAGGCCGGGCATGTAGGCTACGTGACCCAACCAACACACACACACACGCATGTGCTACCTTTCATCGACTGATGGACGTCCGCATGGAAATTGACCATCTTCCCCTTGCCTTTGGCGGAGCCATATCCTTCGAGTAGCGGCTCCTCCCTGTCAGGAACAGAAGCACAGAGATCACAAACAAATACATGGCTCATCGTCTAAAAGCTGAATGATGCCTCTTTTAAAAAAAAGCAGTCTTACTTATTTTGTCAGTGTGCTAATCCTTCAGTTTGTTTACATGGTTCAATATCACTTTGTTTACTGGGTTTGCTTTCTCCTGATGCACTGTAATTTCCTTGTGATATAACAGAAGTGTAGCAGACTGTTAGGTCAATTAGGCATCGTCATTCACGTGGGTTAAGCGTTTGTGCTCCTGCGGCAGATCATTGCACTTTCAAGTATTGAGAAGATGGACGTAATTATTTTGTGGCAAGAAATTCCCTCAGGTTAACTACAAACCAGTGATCAGGCAGCTCAAGGCTACCTTGGCAACTGAAACCAACGCAGGCAATCAGCCAGGAAGTGATGTAAATGTGCACGGTACGTACCATCTGAAGCTAGAGTCCTCCTTTAGAGGTTCAAAGAGAGCACACGCCATTGCTGATGCTGCTTTTACGTGCCGGCCTCACACATCTGTTGCAAAAGAGAGACACGTCAATCAATGTGTGTTGCTCACAAAATCACATTGCACCGTCAGTAACGTGCACATACAGAGGCCTGGTTTCAGTACCATGAAATGCCCCATCGACATTCACACGTTCAGCAAATGTTAACGCGTCTGCAAATCAGGTCTTAGCAGCAGCAGCAGCACGATAGCATGCAGAGGGCCTTCATACAGCAGTGGATTAACCATCACTGATAATTAATTATTGGTGCCTTGTGATGTAAATCAGATTGCGTGCAGCTGTTAGGATTGTTGCATGACAGGGCCGCGAGGGATGGTCACAGCGTGGCTGATGGTGACGGTAATGATTGTGTACACACAGCTGATAATTATAATCCATTCGAGGCTGCGATGCACTGTGTGCAAATATCAACGTTTTGGTCGCAACTTCTGACAAATGGTTACTCACTTTATCGACTCGTACAGCATGATGGGCTGTATATAATCATATGGGACGGTGCGCGGTGGTTAAGGCGTTCCACTCGCAAACCTTTGGATTTTACAGGTTAACCGGCAGTAGTGAGGTTGAATCATCACCACCATCATCACTATTATCCTTAAACGGGTCACTAAAACGAGCATCACTTTGTGGAAAGTCAACGGTGGACGCACTGGCAACCGTCATGCGAATGTGGAATGTCACCCACCGACTCACACAAGCGGTAGAAAACACGCGATGGGCATTTTGCCGGCGACTTTAATGTATTAATAAAACACGTAATTGCGTATCGAGGCTCATGTTCAATCCACTGTTGGACGAGAAGCATCCAACACGCGCTCCCCCGTGTTCGCCCATCTCACGATATCCTCCCGGGTTGCGATCATCCAAAGTGCCCCCCCGTTGCGTACGAGATTATATCTCGGGTGGTATTTTTGTGTGTGTTTGGGGGTGGGTGGGTGGGTTGGTTGGCTGGCGGTAGAAAGATTGGTGGTGTAACAACATAAAAGGTATACGAACACCTTTTTTTTAATAATGTTTATACGGTACGCGAAACGTTTGCGAACGCGGCTTGCGCGTGCGTTCAGCGCGTGCAAATCCCCCCCCCGCCCGCCGCTCGCCTGACCGAAGCCTCACCTGGGGCCTTCGCCGTGCTTCCAAGCGGAAAAAAATGCGAAACAAAGGCGCCGATCGTCGAGGGATAGGAAAAAAAAACACAAAATGTTATTTTTATATATTTAAAAAAAACAATCCCCCTCACAAATCCACACCACCACCACCACTCCGACCTGCGGACGCGGCCGTCGCGCTCCGCCTTAAAATCGCCGCGTCGCGCTACCGAAAACAGCGAAGTCGAGCGCAGTTAGCCGGGGCGACTTTGTAAAAGAAGCCTGGGCAAGCCCCTCTGTGAAAGCAGCACTGGGTGCGGGGGGGTGGAGGGGGTAGGACCACCACCACCGCCGCCGCCGCCACAACCAACCACCACCACTAACAACAACAACCCCCCCCACTGGCGAAACTGTGGCGGTGGTGGCGACTCGCTCGCGTTAACGGAGAGCGTCGGGAGGGAGGGGTTTCAATTTCCCACCGCACATGGGAGAGGGCTTCCCTCCCCGATTGGTGCGAGGGCGACCCGCGCGGGCCAATGGGCGAGCACGGGAACCGCCAGGGCGGAGCGCATCGGCACTGCGGAATCTAAAAAGGGGGCGGCTTCCGTTGTGAAGAGAAGGGGGAGGGGCCTTCTCGCGCTGTTTGTTATTGCGATTGGAGGTGGTGGGGGGGGGTGGTTGGTGGTGTTATCGCGAGATCGAGGTCGGTTATGGCCGTTATGACATCGCCAAGTCTCGCGATGTTTTGTGGGTGGGTGAGGGAAAGATGGTGGGGGGGGGGGTACCGTCCGTTATTGGGGGAGGGTGTGGTAAGGGGCGTGGCTTTTTGAATCGATTCGCGATTGTTGAGCGAATCGATTTAAACTCGGATTTTGTTTAAATTCTTGATTTGAATGAAGCTTTCGCGACTGAAATAATCCATACTCTTTGGTTCTTTCGGTAAAGTCACATAGTTAGAAATGAAATAAAATGAAACAAATCGCGACGTTTCGATCGCAACACAAGCGGTCGTCATCAGGCAAAAAAACACAAAGAGTTTGTTTAAATTCACAAGCAGAATATTTAGAGACTGGAGGAATCCGAAGAGCTATAAAGCTCCCATTTTTTCCACAGGTGGCCTGTAGGGGCAGGTCAGAACGTTACAACAACAAACAGTGCAAACACACGATAGGAATGCAAATTATAGGAAAAGGTAAAAAAAAATCACGTAAAAATATATACAAATACTAGGTTAACTATCCGGCTTCGCCCGGGACTTGCATTCACCACGCCCGGCCGCCTTTGTCTCCCCAGTGGCAATGTTCACACACCACAGCAGTTACTCGTTTGAGGCTGAGTCGACCTAAGGGAGGCCTAGGATCGGTTGAAATAATGGTCATTGGTGGCGGCCGTGAGCGGGAATCGAACGCGGGTCGCCGGGTTCGTAGCGCGGTGCGCTAACCACTACACTACAATGCGTTACGCTTCCACACGCGCGGGTCACGTGACAGATTTGACGTCACAGCTCACTTGCTGTGCAAAAAAATAAATGCATTATTGAAACCCTCGGCTGCCAGACCACCATCGCTATCATTGAAGACCTGGTTCATCAAGGACTGCATACTGATGTACCCCCCCCCCCCCTGGTGAGACATTGCTTAACCAACACATACTTCACCTGGAATGGAACTTTCTACAAACAGACTGAGGGCACCCCAATGGGCTCCCCCCTGTCTCCGGTTGTAGCCAACGTATTCATGGAAAAATTTGAAACTGACGCCATCCAGACTGCCACTCTACGCCCAACCTTATGGAAGAGGTACGTGGCTGACACTTTTGTCATCTGGCCACATGGCCAGCCTGCTCTGGACCAATTCCGCGACCACATCAATTCCATACACCCAGCCATCAGATTTACCATGGAGGTCGAAAAAAATGGCAAGCTACCCTTTTTGGATGTCTTAATTAAAAGGAGACCTGATGGTTCAATGAGCCACTCTGTCTACAGGAAAGCCACCAATACAGATGCTTACTTGAAACCGGATTCCCACCACCATCCATCCCAGAAGAACTCCCTCATCAAGACTCTATACCATAGAGCCCAATGCATTTACGACCAGGAACACATTACCAGTGAACTCAAGCACGTACACCAGGCTCTCAGGGCTAATGGTTACTCCGACTACACAATCCGCAAAAGCCATCACTCCAGTCATGAAGAAGGATCCTCTTGTGGAGCCACTCAAAACCATCACCTTACCCTACATTGCAGGGGTCACTAAAAAGATCTCCAAAATCCTGAATTAACACAAGATCCAGGTCCGATTCAACACAGTACATACAATCCGTGATCTGGTTCCATCTGTAAAAGATGCTGTTCCAGACATACAGTACCCGGACGTTTATAAACTAAAGTGCCTCTGTGGTAGTAGCTACATTGGAGAAACCAACGACATATCTCGGATCGCATTCGCGAACATAAAGCGGACTTGAAACACGGTAGGACGAACTCCTCTGCCGTGGCAGATCACTGTTATAATTCAGTGGGCTAACATTACATTGACTTCTCCAAGATGGAGGTTCTTTGCAAGCCAATCGGCTACCATGAGAGATTCGTTCATGAGGCCATCCACATATACAAGCACAGAGACAATTTCAACCGAAAAGATGGATTCTGGCTTAGTACCCATTGGAAAGATGTTTTAAACCATTTCGGTTCTTAATTAATTGTATTTTACGGTGACCTTCAGACCGCAACTCTTTCGCTGGCATTGACTCTTAATACCTCTCACACCATGGTTAATCGTATGGTTTACAACATGGAGTAGAACAGCGCCTCGCAGCTGTTTCTCTCCCCCCTCCTCCGTTCCGACCATGGATGGACTCGTCCGTCTGAACGGGGCTCGTAGCTGTCCGTGGTGCTGACGTTGAGGGTAAGAATCCACCCATTTTTTGGCCATATAGCATTGTGATATATAACGACTTATTGTTGGTAGCTCAGCTGATTGGAGAATATATAGAGTTTATTGATAACATTGAGGTAGTTTATATTTTGGCTTTTATTGGTTTACTATATGGTATTCATTATATAGTGTAGTGTATACCCAGTTGCTATTAATAGCTCAGCTTATTGAAGAATATATTGAGTACATTTATTATATTGATGTAATTCAGACTTAGGTTTTTTCACATCGGTTTACTGTATGATAGTTGAGTTGTTACAGCCCCCTTTGGCGTCCATGTACTAGGTGCCTCTGTAGATGTGTAGGCTTTGACTTTAACATAGCTATTTCTGTGACCAGTCACAAGCTAATCCCTCAGATATTTCAATGCAAAATTATCCTGTTTGATATGTACTAGGTGCCTCTGTGGATGTGTAGGCTTTGACTTTAACATAGCTATTTCTGTGACCAGTCACAAGCTAATCCCTCAGCTATTTCAATACAAAATTCTCCTGTTTGATATGTACTAGGTGCCTCTGTGGATGTGTAGGCTTTGACTTTAACATAGCTATTTCTGTGACCAGTCACAAGCTAATCCCTCAGCTATTTCAATGCTAAATTATCCTATTTGATATGTAAACCCCTTTGTCAAGGTGTCTTCTCTCAACCAGCTTAAAGGATGCTGCGAATCTTAGCGGCGTTCATTGGAGCTCTGTCGTCCCGACAGATTTGTTACTTCACCTGAAGAGGGCTAATTGTGTTGTGGCCGAAACGTCGTGAGAATTTTATTGTCTTATTTTATTTTATTATTTTATTCTTATTCCACGTGACTTTACCGAAAGAACCAAAGAAGATGAATCCTTGCAGTCACAAAAGCTTTAAATCGAAACACATTCACAACTTTGCCTTTTATATATATGGAGAAAACTATATATTTTTTTTGTCTTACCATGTAAAGCCCAAGTAGCTATCAGTTTATTTTTCAGAAGCGACCTGGCCACAAATGACAGCTTCAACGACGTGGCTTATCGGATGGACATTTATAACAGAGAAATAAATACAAAAAATATGATTCCGTAGAATTATTAAGAAAATCGAAAAAACGCACTAAAGTCTCCCTCACATATCCGTCTCTGCAAATAGAAGTACTGTACAAGTATTTTTCACACAAGTTCAGCAGCCACAAGGTCCTTTGCTTCTGGGAGTGCACAATTCCAAGCATCATCGATTCAATACGAGCAAAACCTCTGGACCAATGTCCCCACTTACAGCGTCTCAGGGGCCGTCCATAAATGACGTCACGCACCTGGGGGGGGGGTCAGACATTTGTGACGATGGGGGGGGGGGGTTTGAGAAATGTGACGTCACATCAAAATGCGCAGCTTTAAATAAATATAGACAACACGTTCTACTTAATTAAATAGACTTTTTAATAAAGGTTTTCGTCCTACAACATCAGAGTGCAGCGCCACATTAAATACGCACTTCAATGACAATAGTTTAAAGCGATTGAAGCGTGTTTTATTTTGGGGAGGGGGGGGCAGAGCTTTGTGACGTCATATTTGAGGGGGGGGGATCCAAAATCGTCCAAAATCGCGTGACGTCCTTTATGGACGGCCCCTTATCAGCAGTAAGGCTTCCTTCAAGCGATCTTACTGGCAAGGACCTTCTAATATAACATTTGTACCTAACTCAAAGTAATCATATCCCATACCTCTCAAACCCTTGTCATTGCTACCTTATTACAGACCATTTCGGACCTGATTTGTCACACCGCGCCCTTATAAATCGCAACGTTCATCCTACAAAGTCCCACCACAAGGGAGAAATACAAACAAATAGATACAAAATTACGGGGGTTTTTTGCCAGTATTGAAACGGCTACGTCGTATGAACCTGAAAACTAAATATCCATGTACAATAATACGGATAAACCGTATGGGTTGACAGGCATGTAACCCGATCTTATTGGCAAAGGACCCTCTCATGTAACACTTGTATCTAACTAAAAGTAATCATATCCAATGATAATAAGCTAAACAATATTTGACGACAAAAGAGTGATTCCACAGATGTTAACAGACGATCTGGATGCTCCATTGAAATTGAATGCTTTCCCGTGATCAATTGTATCGGCACGTTACAGTGTTGTGCAGGAGCAGTCCTTTTGTAAAGCCACTGCTGGATGAGGACCCACCAACGCCATGCTGGTCGTGTGGGTTATTTGACCATACTTCACCACGCAGGTCGGTGCGTGTAGTGAGGCAGAGTACGATGCTCCACTGCCCTCTGCTGCCCACCGCATTGACACATTGTGAACGAGGGACCCATATTCATAATAAACGTTTTTGGGTTCGATCGCGTTATTTATAAATGTGTCGTAACCCTCCACCACCCGACACGGCCAATCAGTAAAAAAAAAGTGTCACGTTGACAAAAGAACAAATAGTTCACTGCTTTAGGCCACCGGTGTATTGAAGAGTGAATCCACAACATTTACAATGTTTTAGTACGACGTTTCGCTGGTAATTACTTCCAGCATTTTCGGGCAATTTTTGTAAATGTTGTGGATTCACTCTTCAACACACCGGTGGGCTAAAGTAGTGAACTATTTTGTCTTTTGTCAACGTGACACATTTTTTTTTACTGATTGGCCGTGTCGGGTGGTGGAGGGTTACGACACATTTATAAATAACGCGATCGAACCCAAAAACGTTTCAAATGAATAATATTGGTCGCGAAAGCGTCCTACGTGTTAAACTAGGGACCCATATCTAAGAAAGAGAGGGTGGCGATGTGTCAACTCCCTCGAATGGTATGCAGGAATGAATATTCTTTGGTTCTGTCGGTAAAGTCACGTAGATATAAACAAAAAAAAAGGGAATAAAAATATCACGACGTTTCGATCGCAACACAAGCGGTCGCCATCGGGCAAAGGAGTCAGCCTCGAAATGCAAACCGTTTATGTAGGTTTGGGGATGAGCGTAACCCAAGTGTGTCAGGATATGCAGAGAGTATCTGGTTGCTATACATTTCCACATGAGATAGCCAGGTTGCTTCTGAAAAAAAAGTCTACATAGTTCAGTGGGCTTTACCTGTGTTCAAAAAAACACTTTTCGGACGGCTTGGGAGGGCTTTCAAACGTCCAACTAACGTCCCTTCTGTTATTTATCAAGCAGTGGGCAGATCACGGCTGATGATGATGATGATTATGGCGATGATGTTGGCTGTAAAAACAAAAACTCTGTCTATATTTCAAATCTTGTACCGTCTTTTGAAATACATTAGTTTTCACAAAGCACATGTCAAACGTCACGTCCTTTATTTAACATTTCCTCTTCCTGAAGCTCAAAAGTAACCGGTTGCATTGAGGTATTCTAGTTTCACTTTGCGTTTCCCGGTGTTCATGGTTTTTTTCGCTGTATTTTTGTGACGTGAACACGGCTATGGTTTAAACATCTTTTGTTTAACTTTTTAAACATATATAGAATTTACGTTACATGGCTAGAACAATGTAATTGTCATAGGGACTAATAAGGTACTAGCGGTAAGTACCTGGCGTTGCTCGGGCGAAAAAGGCATACACACACACACACACATGGACTTACGCACAGACATCGACCCACACACATAGAAATACATGGACTTACACGCACACACACACACATGGACTCACACACACACACAGACATCGACTTTAGACACACACATGTAGTTACACACACAAATCGACAAGGTATTAACGGCTTTCACGACGAACGTCAGTCTGTCGCTAGTACGCGTGTGTTTACGTGGATTGTTTATGAGAAATATTAACTAATTGCTGGAAATGTTTGCGTGAACAGGGATGGTAAAACGACCCCAATGGCAAGATTTGACCAGTGGGGATCAGTGACCCATCCAGCAGTGGATTGACCAAGGTCTGCCCGTACATTCGTGTATTATAACCAATGGCGTAATGGTACGTGTCATTGTTGCAGCTACGGTTTTTTTTTCATCTGCACGTATACGGATGTCTTACGTCTGGGGTTCTGTTTGTATTGTCATCGTCGGTTACGGTCAATCCACTGCTGGATGAAGGCCCTGCTGGCCATACATCAGTGGATAATTGACATCGCAGGGCCGAGAGATGGTGGTGGCTTTGGGCAACCTTTATCCAGCAGTGGATTGAACATGGACGATGGTTATGTACAACTGCGTGGTATAATGTAATATATACCATTTATATAACGTATTTAGAGTAACTCGTATAATATATGTACAATGCTCTTACTCCATCGCGATATGTATAGACTCTAAACAGTATACTTTGTGTCTATGTTATGATTGTATAATGTTGGACAATATTTGTTTCAAGTACTGTGGACACAGAATGCCAATAATGATGTAAAGCCCTTTGTAAATCTACTGCTGGATGAAAAGAGGATTAACTAACGAACCGAAAGATGTCCCGTCAAATGTGCATTCCCATACGACGGGCATCGGACACTTTGTGTCCGTTCAATGACAAGTTATTAAGAAAAGTTTACCAATCGTTTAATAATATCTTGACCTTCGTCCACTGCACACATGTACCGTAATTGTATATGCAGTACACTTGTGAATACTTCGAGTGCCAGGGGCGGTGAACCTTTTTTTTCTGCCAAGGGCCATTTGGATATTTATAACATCATTCGCGGGCCAAACAAAATGATCAACTTAACAATTAGCCTGTTATATTTGGTCAAACATTTGATTAACTCGCCCCTAATGCGATGGCTGAAACTGCTTCTCTTTGGTGAGGCGTGTGATGATGTTAGCTGGTGTTGACGATGTTGCTGCTACTCGCAACTGCTTTCCCAGGTTTGCTCTCCTAGATTGATTGAATTTCGAGTCCCGCCTGCGGTTGCCTTGGCACGGTCACACCAAATGATTTCGATGGCCTTATACGGCCCGCGGGCCGGACGTTCCCCACCCCTGACTTAGACATTGACCTTATGTTTAGACAAAAACCGTGTTCTACTGTGCTATTTAGGTAACCGTGACTTCTTTTTTATGATGATTTTCATCTCTTAGAGAAATTATGGTCAATAATTCTTTTTCACAGAAAAAAAACAGAGAAGAGACCACACACAGAAAATCAGGTGACCAATGAAGATGGCTGGCGCTGAACATCTTCCATCCTCCACTGAGGTATCTTGCTTCACAGCAGAACATCATTTCTCCAGGGTCCATAGAACTTGTACCATTTTTGTAAGACAACAACAATGACTGTTCCATGGAGAGACTGGACTCCAAGAGAACGTGGAAATTTCCACCTCTCGTTTAAGGTGGTCAGCAGAAATTTGCACTAAATGCCAACGCGCAAGATGGTGCTTAACTGAGTGTTTAAATAAAATACCGCAAACACAACTGCGCAGGTTTTCGTGGTTGTGCTGTATAGCTCTCACTGATACGTTTTAAGGTTGTGTACCGTGTGCTCTCTGTCCAACGTTTTCTCCATGTGATAGATGTAGTAAATTCTTTAGAGTGAAATTTCTGAGGATGAAATGCGACCTAAGGAAATGACTTTGGTTTGCAGTAACTTTTACTTTGTTACCAAAGCAACACTTATCCACAACAGCACGTGACTTTAAGTCTGGTCCTGTAAATGTAACACTGACAATTTGCATTTTGGAATTGCATTATGCATTAAGCACTGCTATTTATATACAGCATTTTACAATTCCTAGCATGAGTTGACTCATTGCCCGAAAGTCGGCCTCCCATAATGCACTGCGTGCTGTGCAATAACTGTAGCTCTAGCTCCCACAATGCATTGAACGCGGTAACGTAGATACTGAATGTTAAAATGCACAGCAGTATTACTCCAGTGATGTCACTCAAGGGGCACTATGATGCCACATAAAAGCAACACGATTGTGACTCAACGCTTTTATTTTTGGTCAACAACGCTTCAAACTCTTGTCTGTATGCACCTACAAAGCAAGGGCTACAGTTTGTCAAAGCCCCTATTCAATCTCGGCACAGTGGGAGGGCGCTCATTCTTCTCAGCTGCTCCCATTGTCTGAAGCTCACTTCCCCCAGCCACCCTTGCTATCAACTCACAGCCACTGAATTTTGATATAAAGCTTTCGTGACTGCAGGGATTCATATTCTTGGATCTTTGGGTAAGGTCATGTAGAAGGGAAACAATAAAATAATACAAATAGAAAACAATTATTGTTTTATATTTTTATTATTTTAAGTCCATATTTAAAACCTTACGATGTTTCCTTGCGCCTGATCTCCTCTTTCTGTCTTTAAAATAAATGTGCTCGTTTCTATACAAGTGTCTTGGATGCTGTATTTAAAAAAGAAGTGACATTTTATTGTGACTTTAATTATACTGTACTCATGCAGGGCATTGCAAGCTTGCTGACATGTTCTCTTTGTTTTTCTATCACTGTGGCATGACACAGAAGGACATTGATACGCTTATCCGTCAAAATCGACCTCACCTAAAGGAGTGCATTGGTTATGCACCAGATGAATTTATAGATGAGCTGGATCGAAACGGTTACATTACTCGACATATATACAACACGTTTAAGGACATGAAAAGTACAAACAAGACTCAGGCCATCGATGATGTGTTGAACTGGCTGTACGATGGTGGAATTGAAACTCAGGTTAAGATGCTCAAGGCCCTGCAGATGGTGGAAGGCCATTACCCACGAGTCAAGCAATGGCTCAAAAATGTCGGTACGTAAACTCTTTCAATAAATAATCGTGTTTTTTTGCAAGATATTGCCAATTGTTTATCCAGGAAAGCCACAACACAATATTTTCGGCAGATACAAGGATACAGCGCGTACTCAAAATATGTAGCTAATTCTGGGGCAGAGTACCTTGATAAATAAAGCCTTATTCTTAACAAGACCAGTTATTTCCACGAAAACTAAAATCTATCCCATTTACACCTTGTATTGTTATTTTACAGCTTTTGAAACAAATATTACAACACTTTAAAATCGCTATATAAAAGAAAGTTTAAAAGTCACCACTGAAATAAAAATTAAGCTAACTCTGGAATGTACATTGCACCACTGCTTGAGTTATTCTACAGGGCAGTACTAAACTTGGATGGCTTGCAAGGCTGAGAGACACAGCTAACAAGTCAGAATTGCTTTTCAAGTTCAATTGTTGAGCTTTGTGGGTGCAATTTAAGTGGACAAAAACAATTTAGCTACGGTTTAAGGGATTCCCAAAAATCCCAATTATTTGTGGGACACAGTATATTCACTGATTATTTCAGGGACAAACTTTAGTTGCAAAGCATGCATTTATTAAAATAAATACATACGTGACTTTACCGAAAAAAACAATGGTTAATTTATGCAGTCACGAAAGCTTTAATTCTTTATTAACACACTTCTACGGGGAAGTTACCTTTACAGTCCTGTCCTAAACGTGTTGCACCCCTTGCTTTCACCTACCCCTCCCCCCGCCTCGGTTGCCGTGTCACCTTGCTCTCTTCGGCCCCTCCCCCCCCACCTCTACGTCTTATTTAAGGCCTCTGTATGTTCATCCCTCTGGCCCTTTTTTCTTTTTCCTTGCTTCTCTGTCGGTCTTCCCTCTCCTTGCCCCTGTACATGTATTTCTGCCTCGTATGTGTTCACTCTGTCTATGCTGGTATGTCCAACCCAGAGGTGAACTCGAAATTTAGCACTCTTCTGAAATTCGTGGTCCGTCAGGTAAGTGTCTAACTGTGTTGTTGGCCTGACTGGTTGTGCATCACGTAATTTTTTTCTTAGGTTTGTTGAATTCTCGTCTCTCATCTTCTTGTTGTATTTACCTCCGTGCAGTTTGGCGCTCTCTATGTGTTGCGTTGGTGTCGATTTGTTTTTTACACCTGATGAAGATCGCTTGTGTTGTGGTCGAAACGTCGTGATTGATTTATTTTAATATAATTTTATGGTATTTCTACATACGTGACTTTACCGAAAAAAACAATGAGTAATTTATGCACGTCACGAAAGCTTTAATTCTTTATTATACACAATATCTTCAAATCTCGGAAGCTAAGCAGGAAGCTTAATCAAATATTCATCTAGATTTGAAGCTTTCGTGACTGCAGGAATCCACACGCTTTGGTTCTTTTGGTAAAGTCACGTAGGTAGAAAAAATAATAGATCACGACTTTTCGATCGCGACACAAGCGGTCGTCCTCAGCAGTTCCACTGCTGGATTATTTCTTCCGCCTGAGGACGACCGCTTGTGTTGTGATCGAAACGTCGTTTTATATATATATTTTTCTACCTACGTGACTTTACCGAAAGAACCAAAGAGTACAAATATAATCAGATTTTACGGTAGTGTATATAATATTACGATGGTGAATATTTGCCATGACAGTTCTATTGTTTTGGGCATAAAGTACCAGCGAGTGGTTTATAAGTTAAATCAAAGGACAGGGTTATGAAATAATGTGGGGTTGGTTGGTTTTTCCGAGACTGAAGTCAGGTTTAAGCTTAAGATGTTTAGCACAGGACCCGTGCGTGTTTATTTAACGAGTGTAATAGAGTCAAGTTTGTCCTTGGATTTGAAAGTCTGGACCTTCATGTCATGTCATTGACAGCCATTTGAATTTCATGAATTTGGAACCAGTAGCTGGAAATAAGGCAAACACTTGACGGTTCAACTTGAATGTAAGAATCACACTGTAAACAAAGACCCCGTGTATAGCCAAAACAGACTTTTGGGGCAAGCGCTATTAGCGAGCACCTATGAAGGCCAGCATGGCATACGAGAGGGTGGGTGGCCAGCACCACATCCGGCCGCAGAGTGGCGATGTTTACACACAACACCAGTTATTCATTTGAGGTTAAGTTGACCTAAGGGAGGCCCAAGACCGGTTCAGATAATCGTCACTGTTATGTTGGTCGTGAGCGGCAGTCGAACTCGATTTGCCAGGTTTATAGAACAATGTGCTAACCACTGCGCCACTGCTCCTCACATTTGCGTGCACACACACACAGATGCTAGGAGCCTTATAGCAAGAGCAGATGAAGATGCACTGGCAGCTGGGAGGCACGTCGCCAGCACGCCCAGCCCGCTGAGCACTCGGATACCGTGCGGCGTTGCAGCGGTCTCCGAGACTCGGGAGTTTGTCAACGCTGCTGTAAGTGGCCCGGGCGAGGGAAACGTTGGAGGCCATTCGGGAGCAATACCAAAGAAGCCCCATCAGTCCTTCATTAACATTCACACCAAGGGGCAAGGTGTCGGTCAAACTGGACAAGCCGGTCCGATGATGGGGTCGAGGCGTGTGGAAAAGCTGGCGACGGAGATCGGAAACCTGCAGCTGAGAAGTGAACCCTGGAGCGGGACCACTGTCAAAGAGACCGACAAGTTGCCAGTGGTACAGGAAGACGGGAGTGACAGCCATCCTCGCGTGAAAGAGGGGCAGAATGATGAAGACGGCTTCTACTCGTTTGTGATTCTGCACCATGAAGACGACGGCGACGTAGCCAGGCAAGTGAAAAATGATCTCGAGCGATTCGGGGTAACTGGCGGCGCTGTGTACGAAGATAATTTTCAAGTGGGGGGGTCCACGCATATTTCTTGCTTGGACAGCGCCATCAATAACTCTGCCTTCATCATCCTACTCTTGACCAATAACTTCCATAGCAAGTGGAACGAGTTCACAATGCACGTAGCCCTCATGAATTCCATCCTAACCCCGAACAAGTATAACACGGTTATTCCACTCTATCCCCGAGAGAATGCACTCCCAACGCAGGCTTTGCCTGCGCCACTGAAAGCATTGAGTTCCCTGGATCAAGTAAGTACAAGGTTTGAGATTCAAGTAAAAAATACGTTCTCCATTCTCAGAATTCAGGAACAAAGGAGAAGGTGGTCAGATGAACAGGCTCTATTGAGGAAACCTGACAATGACATTTAGTCACAGCCTACTGTTGATTTCTAATACTCTAAGACAATATCCCCTCATTATTCGCGAGGGATACGTTCCGGAGATGCTCGTTAATAGCAAATTTTGTGGATAATGATATTTGCCGACAAAAACGTATCTTTTTTTTTCATGAATGACCTTAAATCACTTGATCTCATCATCGCTTTCTTTCTCTCGATGCCAGTAGTCGTGCAGAGTTCCAGATGCGATTCGCGTGTAGCCAAAATCACGGATAGCAAGTTTATAAATAACGAGGGAGTCTTCTTGGTTCTTTCGGTAAAGTCATGTAGAAGGGAAATAATTAAAATAATATTAGCCGTCCTCAGGTGAAGAAGCAGAACAGTTATGTTTCTTCACCTGAGGACGGCTACTTGTGTTGTGGCCGAAACGTCGTGAGTAATTTTACTTTATTATGTTTATTTGTATTATTTTATTATTTCCCTTCTACATGACTTTACTGAAAGAACCAAGAAGATGGATCTCTGCAGTCACGAAAGCTTTACATCGAAATTTAACGAGGGAGTCATTCGAATACTCTACAGCTGGCCGGGACGAGGTGGTGCACGGGAACTCATGGGAGCTGTTCCAGCCACTCCAGTTGTCCCCGGGGCTCCAGCTGTTCCAGCCGCTCCAGTTGTTCCAGGTGCTCCAACTGGAGCAGCTGTCCCCGGGGCTCCAGCTGTTCCAACTGCTCCAGTTGTTCCAGGTGCTCCAACTGGAGCAGCTGTCCCCGGGGCTCCAGCTGCTTTAGCTGGTCCAGTAGCTCCAGCCGCACCAGCTGGAGCAGTTAGTGCAGTTTTTCCAGCTGTTCCAGCTGCTACAGCCCCTCCAGCTGGTCCAGCCTCTGCAGTTTCTCCAGCTGCTCCAGGTGCTCCACCTATTCCTTGGGGCTCGTTGTTGGTTCTTCTCAGGCCGTGCCACGGAGACGATTTTCTCATTCCTGTGTTTCCCTGCACTGATCCCCTTCCCTCGCCCCCATGCCTTTGTAAATGATTCTGTGATGTGATTGCATTCAGAAGCCATACAGAATCAAATAGTTGCTCCGAGTCGGTAAAATGGTCACGAACGTGACAGGTTCCGAGCACACCTGTGACAGCCACAACATTCTGCACGAGACATTGGACACGGCCGCTGAACTTAGCTCACTCAGTATTATCATCGCCGCTGGCTGAAGGCCTCCTCCCCGTGCTGTCGTTAATCCTGCACGGCCCTGCGATGCCACACTTCACGTACTGGAGAAATATGAGGACCCAGTTGCTCAGGAGGACCCAAAGGCGAGTGGACTTGCCGATGGTTGGTGCCAGAGAGCTTCCTGTGTGGAGGAAGGTCGTGCATGACTTTATTAGCAACAACGACAGGTAGACAAGCGATGCTCACGGAAATGAATCCTCCAGCCGTGGTGAAGACTGTTTGATCTCACCCACCACACCGCACGTCAAATCACTTCCCTTTGTCATTGGAAATCACCGCTGTTCTCCCTCTCCCCAAGCTCCTACAGTGACCTCGCTCGGTTCAAGAAACGTTTTAACTTGCATACAGGGACTCCGCTACTTCCGAACTTTCAGAGATACGAACAAATCTGTCCGTATGTCCAGTTGCCTGTTTGGACTGAGAGTCGTAAGTTCACCTGCTTGCAATAGATGGTGGTGGTGGCATCTACATCTATAGAACGTGAAGAACCAGTGGCATCTACATCCACAGGAGATTATACAACTTGCAAAGCCATTCCTCGTGTTTAGCGTACATGCCGTACGACATGATTGGAATCGACAGGAGTAAAGTTGGACTTGAAACCTAACTCGTTCGTATGCAGAGGAGTCTCTGTATCTATTGCATCATCAGTATTGATATTTGTTCCTGTGCTTAGCAACAGTGATAACAAAGGGAGAGAGAATCAGGCGAATAAATCGCAGTTGTGTGTGAGGGCTCAGTGTGGACAGCAGAGGGAATTCAACCTGAAGCCTTGAAGTGTGTTGGCCTAGCGGTGTGACGACTCTCCATCGGCGGGCCTCTGCGCTACTCAGTCTTGCACGCTCTGATGAGCTGATCATCGTTGAGTGGCGATATTTTAAGTTTTTATCCGTTAATCATGATGCCATTTGTACATACAGTGAGGGAAAAAAGTATTTGATCCCCTGCTGATTTTGTACGTTTGCCCACTGACAAAGAAATGATCAGTCTATAATTTTAATTGTAGGTTTATTTGAACAGTGAGAGACAGAATAACAACAAAAAAATCCAGAAAAACGCATGTCAAAAATGTTATAAATTGATTTGCATTTTAATGAGGGAAATAAGTAGTTGACCCCTCTGCAAAACATGACTTAGTACTTGGTGCCAAAACCCTTGTTGGCAATCACAGAGGTCAGACGTTTCTTGTAGTTGGCCACCAGGTTTGCATACATCTCAGGAGGTATTTTGTCCCACTCCTCTTTGCAGTTCTTCTCCAAGTTGTTAAGGTTTCGAGGCTGACGTTTGGCAACTCGAACCTTCAGCTCCCTCCACAGATTTTCTATGGGATTAAGGTCTGCAGACTGGTTAGGCCACTCCAGGACCTTAATGTGCTTCTTCTTGAGCCACTCCTTTGTTGCCTTGGCCGTGTGTTTTGGGTCATTGTCATGCTGGAATACCCATCCACGATCCATTTTCAATGCCCTGACTAAGGGAAGGAGGTTCTCACCCAAGATTTGACGGTACATGGCCCGTCCATCGTCCCTTTGATGCGGTGAAGTTGTCCTGTCCCCTTAGCATAAAAACACCCCCAAAGCATAATGTATCCACCTCCATGTTTGACGGTGGGGATGGTGTTCTTGGGGTCATAGGCAGCATTCCTCCTCCTCCAAACACGGCGAGTTGAGTTGATGCCAAAGAGCTCCATTTTGGTCTCATCTGACCACAACACTTTCACCCAGTTGTCCTCTGAATCATTCAGATATTCATTGGCAAACTTCAGACGGGCATGTATATGTGCTTTCTTGAGCAGGGGGACCTTGCGGGCGCTGCAGGATTTCAGTCCTTCACGGTGTAGTGTGTTACCAATTGTTTTCTTGGTGAATATGGTCCCAGCTGCCTTGAGATCATTGACAAGATCCTCCGGTGTAGTTCTGGGCTGATTCCGCACCGTTCTCATGATCATTGCAACTCCAAGAGGTGAGATCTTGCATGGAGCCCCAGGCTGAGGGAGATTGACAGTTCTTTTGTGTTTCTTCCATTTGCGAATAATCGCACCAACTATTGTCACCTTCTCACCAAGCTGCTTGGCAATGGTCTTGTAGCCCATTCCAGACTTGTGTAGGTCTACAATCTTGTCCCTGACATCCTTGGAGAGCTCTTTGGTCTTGGCCATGGTGGAGAGTTTGGAATCTGATTGATTGCTTCTGTGGACAGGTGCCTTTTATACAGGCAACAAGCTGAGATTAGGAGCACTCCCTTTAAGAGTGTGCTCCTAATCTCAGCTCGTTACCTGTATAAAAGATACTTGGGAGCCAGAAATCTTTCTGATTCAGAGGGGGTCAAATACTTATTTCCCTAATTAAAATTCAAATCAATTTATAACATTTCTGACATGCGTTTTTCTGTATTTTGTTGTTGATATTCTATCTCTCACTGTTCAAATAGACCTACCATTAAAATTATAGACTGATCATTTCTTTGTCAGTGGGCAAACGTACAAAATCAGCAGGGGATCAAATACTTTTTTCCCTCACTGTATGCTATATATACAGTGTTGTACTCTTTATATGTGACTTTTTGATTAATTGTGAATACTGTCTATCATGATCATCATAATTGTGCAGCACTTTTAGGAAGACGACATAAAAGTGGAAATTGATGTTAAGTTTGTATGTATAACGACAACCGATGAATAAAAAGACGTGTTTTAAGTCAATCCAGAGCATATGTTGTTAATGCACATGCATTGCATTTGGATGGTGATTTTTTTTTAAGAGGGAGGAATTTACATGTCAATCAGATCAACTAAAAATGGTGTGTTTTGCATTGAAACATTGCCAATGTTATTTTTGTTATGTTTTAATTAATGACCCTGTTCACTGATAATTATAATTTCCACTCTAAAATGATAATGTACAACCCTCTTGTCATTGCACCGTTGAATAAAGGCACCCCCACGCCGTGTCGGCCATGGTGATTGTTTGACCATAACTTGTTTGACTATAAAGTTGGTTGTTGATAAATGTCAACAATATGTAGGTAATGGCGTTCATTTAGACAGGAAAGCCTCACTGAAGTTTAAGATATTTCCAGGAGTGTCCTAAATTTGGGATTTTTATGGAAAATCAATGCGGTGATGCTCGCATTGTGCTCCCCCCACCAATCAAAACCACTTATGCCCATGCCTCCCCCCTCCAGGTTACTAAGACCACAAACGACAGAGATCACACATCGACACATCCTGCCAAAGCGGCGTTGGTAAAGCGTTTCATGCTGTGTACCCGTCCTTAGTCGCCGCAACGTGCCACTCAGTGACATTCCTCGGACACATTCAACATTGGAGAGTCCGTAGATGGTACTGTAGAGTCCGTAGATACTGCTGTAGTACCGGTGCGTCTCTTCGTTCTCTTGCTCGACGCTAGAGGCTTGTGTGTGTGTGTGTGCAGGTGGCGTGCGTCGCACACACACTCAGTCAGAGACGAGGTGGTCGCAGGAGGCACCGTCCTCCCCTTTCATTGTTGTTGAGTTCACACCACCACTCGGACCCCCTCTCTATCACGACCATGCTGCCGCACGACCCGTCCCAGACACGACCCTGTCCGTATTGCACCAACGGCGTTGACCGGCACAGCCAACTACTGTTCGGCCGCGTAATGATCGGGCGAAGGTGGGCAGCGACGAGGGCGGGGATGACGACAGCAACGACGAGACAAGTCCAATCCCAGAACCGGCAGCCCGGTGCTCTCACTCTCCGCTGCTTTTATTCCCTTCGGCGCGGCTTGGCTCCGCCCTAGCTGCGCCTCCCTTCTCGAACTCACCAGAGAGTTCCAGGGGCTTCCCCACGAGGTCTACCATGACCCTTGCCCCAGTTCCTCTGCCCTGCCGGCACACACACCGCGTATATGCTCAGCGGCGTGTGCGCTAAGTGCCCACCTGCAGTTGCAGCTGCTGTACAACAGTCAGCGCTGTGTCACTACACTGCTATAGAGTCAGCAGATACTACTGTAGAGTCGGTAGATACTACTGTACAATCTGTAGGTACAACTATAGAGTTAGTAGATACTGCTCTAGTAGATACTACTGTAGAGTTGGTACATTTTATTATAGAATCGGTAGATAATACTGTAGAGTCAGTAGAAACTACTATAGAGTTAGTGGAAACTACTGTAGAGTCAGTAGATAATACTGTAGAGTCAGGAGCTACTACTGCAGTCAGGAGATACTACAATAGAGTCAGTAGTTTATACTATAGTCAGTACATACTACTACAGTCAGTAGACACCACGACAGTCAGTATATACTACTGCAGTCAGTAGATAGGACTATAGAGTCTGCAGATACTGCTACAGAGTCTGCAGATACTGCTATAGAGTCAACAGATACTATTATACAGTCAGTAGATGCTACTATAGAGTCAGTAGATGCTACTATAGAGTCAGTAGATACTACTGTAGAGTCAGTAGATACTACTGTACAGTCAATAGATACTATTACAGTCAGTAGATACTACTAAAGTGAGTAGACACTACTGTAGAGTCAGTAGATACTACTGTAGACACTTTTTAGATCGACTATTTACCCCCCACTTTCTATTCTTTTTTGATTTAGGACTTCTGCTCGCCTCTTATAAGTTTGTTGACAGACAAACAGGACGCCGGGATTTCATAATAGCTTAGTATTTGTTTATGTATATGTTATATATTTTTAAGAGAAGACAAGTTTTGAAATATATTTTCCCCCGGGCAAAGCTGGGTACTTCCTGCTAATACAGGTTTTTTGTGTTCGATCACTTGTTAAACTGTAACTATTTAATTATTTATTTTACCTTTTGTCACCTGCTTTTACCATTTTCTCCACTTTGGCACTCACATCCTTGTGTTGTTATGTTCGCTGTTGTAACTCGCTGACCCGCCCATACTGGACCATCTGTGAGAAAAAAAGAGCTTCATCCTGTTTGTCTAAATAAAGATTCTGATTCTGAACGACAAAAGTTATGACTCTGTGTTGTGTATTATTGTGTATTGTTATTTATTTAAGGGCCACCATGGTGGTGTGATGTTATCTATCTCGCCTGGTATGCAGGAGGTTGGGGGTTCGATCCCGATCCTGATGCCTGCTGTATATTTGGAGTTTGCGTGTCTCTCTCTCTCTCATCATCATCATCATCACGGTGGCTAGGGAGATGTTAACTAACTCGCCTGGTATATAGGAAGTCGTGGGTTCTATCCCGATCCTGACGCCTGCTGTATATTTGGAGTTTGCGTGTCTCTCTCTCTCCCAGTGGTCGCGTGGATTTTTTTCTCCGGATCCTCCAGCTTTTTCCCCCTCCACATTGAGAAACTCGCATTGAGATAAGATGATTTTGCTGCTATAAATGTCCAAGTGATGGGCCACTTTGTTGACCTGTCATTTTGTGGCCAGGCCGCTTCCGAAAAAATAAGTTAACACCTCAAGTGGGCTTCCCAAACCGTTCTGAGGTTGTTGGCCCATACTTCATGCTGGCCTTAATACGTGCTCGCTAACATAACATCACCTGGTCTCTATAAAGTCGTGCACGTGGTTCCCTTTCCATCAGTGTGTTTGGTAGGCCGGTTGACTGACTGGAAGAAAACCGTTTGCTTCCGTCACTCCCAGACATTGTTCGTGCATTTGTGTGCGTTTGGGTGATTTTGTTTTCCTTTCTTGTACTTGGGACTACCATCGTATTTTTGCACCGTTTGCTGTTCTAACATTCTCAACCCGTGCTAGACCTCGGCAAGGTAAGGTAATTTACCCTTTATACCGGGTAAAAAGGGTAAAGGTGTCGACCATGTCAAGGGGTAAGGTAAGGGGGAGGGTAAAGGCAGCGCAGAAGAATTAGCCGGTAGGGTAAAGGTAGAGCGAAGTATTAACCCGGTAAATACCCCGTTTACCGCTCGCTAAAAGCTCCGTGGTGCAGTCCGTGGCCTCCATTTTAAATTGTAATCATTGATGTCGGACCAGATAGAGACGGACCACGTTTTTGAGGTAGTGGATGAGGTCGAGGATGCCAGCAACGGCATTTCCGGAGTCGCTGCGAACAGCAATCGAAAGAGGCAGCGGCATGCGTTCCCGTGGGAGCACACGCTACGATTGGGTGGAGGGTGGTCCCCATGTGCAGCAAGGAAAGCGGCACTGCGTGCACTGCCGCAAGTGGTTTTTTATCCCACACGAACGAGTCGGGGTGGAAAGCCCACCTCAAGAAGCACAATGTGCTAATGCAGCAAACGCTGAGCTGGCCAGCAAACCCGGATCGCCTCCTGGTAAGGTTTGAGAACGCGGTGGTTGATTTTGTTATCCAAGGTGCAATTTCTTTGCGAGCCACCGGCAGCGACAAGTTCAAGACCTTGGTCCACACATTGACCAAGGTCTTGAACTTCGCAGGATTGTCGAGCATCACGCCATCATACTGCCCATCGTTGGGGTGTTCTTCTCTAACCTGGATGTCGCCATTTCGCTCACCATCGACGGGTGGTCGAACCGCAACCTGAAGGGATTTTGGATGGTCACGGTGCACTGGATCAACGCCAAATCTGGTGCGTCGAAATCCATCCTGCTGACGATCCTCGATGTGCAGTCCGGAAGGGGTGTCGGCAAGCGCATGGACACCGCTTTGTTTGAGCACCTCCAAAGCCTCGGGCGGAATGTCTCGACCAAGCTGCTCGCTGTCACCAGCGACAATGGCTCCGATGCGATCGGTGCTGTCAAGACGTTGTTCGCCCTGGTCAACGTGGATGCCGGATATGAGCAGTTGCGGGCTTGCCACCATATTCGCTGCGCAGATCATTCGGTCCAGTTTGGCGTCGTCCAAGTTCTCAAACTGATCAAGTCGACCTACGCCGAACTGCGCGAGGCGCTCGTCAATATCAGGCGCAGCAAGGTCATCCGGCAGTCATCCCGCTGTGAGGCTGAGATCGCCAAGCTCACTAAGCTCACCAAGCTCGCCAGCGAGGAGCCGACGCACCAGGACTCGCCGACCAGGTGGAATTCGACGTTTGACATGGGCGACGACGCCATCAAAAAGCGTGTCCCATTGCACATTATCATGGCGCGCTTCCAGGATGTGATCGGCGTCGGTGCTTTCTCTGAACTGCAGTGGGCAAACATCGAGGGCATGACAGCACTGCCTCGTAGTGGCACTTGCTGGCATCACGCAGATGCTGCGAGCGGCTGGAGGAGGCAGGATGGCCGGGAGTGGTTCTGGATCGCTCGGAGGTTGAAGACAACTGACCCAATCGTCCCGGGGCTCCCACCTTTATCCTCTAAACTTCAAAGGCCCGGGGGGGGGGGGGGGGGGGGAGTGTCGCGTTGCGCAGCCAATCACGCGCCTACCTTTTGATTTACAACTGATGCCCCGCCCTCACCTGGAGCGTCCGTTACGTCTCCACCCATCGTTTTTTTTAGTTCGTGCCTTCGTTTTTTTTTTGCTTTTTCCGCCTCTTACCCGTTGTTCTCCCGTGGCCAGTCGTTTGAGCCTTCGGTTTTGCTCTTTACGCCTAATATTCCACCCCCCCCCCCCCCCCCACAATGTTGTGAGTTACTCACTGCGGTTGGCCCAGGGAGGGAACCTCTTATTTTTGCGCCCATACAATTTTAAGCCAATTTAGGGGCACCGCAACGTAACCCGTCCTGTGGGGGTCGGCCAATCTCCTGGCACCGGGAAACCGTGAGACTCTCATCCCCCTAGGGGCCCTTCGGATTAAAACCCGATGTGCCAGGCAACCCCCCCCCCCCCCCAGGACACTATGTGGGTGCGCTGCGTGCGGGTGTTTAGTGCGGGGGGGGGGGAGTCGCGGCGCTTGAAGTCGGGGAACCACAACAGCACGTTTGGCTGATGGGAAACAAGTCAATTAAAAAAATACTTTTTGCATTGTGCACAGTCTGGAAGCTACCCACATGCCAGATTTCAGGTTTGTTGCATGTCGCGAAGTATGCTAAACATTTCGAACAGACACACATGTTCACAAATTTCCCTTTTACATATATAGTTTAATTTAATTACATTTTATAACGTAACATTTTAGAGGCTCGGAGGTGATAACCTTTTGTACTGGCAACACTGCCATACCCCCCGAGAATCGATTCGCTAGGTTAAGGGAGCAACGAAGTCACTGTGAATCGATTCGGTAGAGCAGTCGGAGGCGGCGATCCCCCCCCACGCCCCACTGCGAATCGATTCGACAGACAACGGATGTGACGATTCCCCCCGACGAATCGATTCTCTATCCAAAACTAAATTTTTTGCCGGGAGTTCAGAGAGGGCACCGGTTATCGCAACAATTTTAACTTTAAATAAAACGCGTCAAGATGTAAACATCCACACGCGTAGACGAGAGTTGGTCCGTATCAGCGCGGTCTTTAATCGCAAACGCAACTGCAGTGACGTGTACAAAGGAGGGACGCGGTGAGACCCGGAAGACTGTACCACCACCCCCCCCACTACACCATACAAGGTACAGTTCGCTAAAGTTTCGATCTTTAAGACGCCTTTAAAATTATAAAAAACGTACTTACGAGCATGTTCTGCAAGCTGGTTGGGAGGGCGGCGGCGGCGGCGGCGGTGAGGGGGTCTAACTTAAGAGATCGCTTTTGTCGAGTTTTAACGCGTTCGAAAAATTAAAACTGAAGCGGCGATTTGGGGGGTTGTTAAAACAGCCGCTTCGTGTTGTGTCACTGTGGAGAGGCAGGACTTTGATCCAGCGGTGGTGCTGGTGGTGGACGGGTGAAGTCGAAGTTCGTGGTAAGTCGGTCACCGGCCGCCGTGAGACTTTGCTGAGAACGCGTGATGCCAAGCTGATAACGCGTGGGACCCAAACTCATAACGCGTGAGTCTGGCAATGGGCCAGACTCACGGATAACGCGTGGGGCACCCACGGGTAAATGGGTGAGATCAACATATGCAACGTGAGAATCGCGGATAACGCGTGGGCATCCACGGAGCAATGGGCGAGAATCACGGGGTATGCGTGAGATCCACACGGAACGCCTGAGACCCGGGGATAATGCGCGGGACCCACGGGTAAATGGGTGAGATTCACGGGTAATGGGCCAGACTCATGGATAACGGGTGGCATCCACGGGTAAATGGGTGAGATCCACGGATAAATGGGCGAGAATCACGGGGTATGCGTGAGATCCACACGGAACGCGTGAGATTCGGGGATAATGCGCGGGACCCACGGGTAAATGAGTGAGATCCACAGGTAATGGGTGAGACTGATGGATAACGGATGGTACCCACGGGTAAATGGGTGAGATCCACGGATAAATGGGCGAGAATCACGGGGTATGCGTGAGATCCACACGGAACGCGTGAGATTCGGGGGTAATGCGCGGGACCCACGGGTAAATGGGTGAGATCCACGGGGCAATGGGTGAAACTCGTGGATAACGCTTAAGACTCACGAGCAATGGGTGAGATCCACAGATATAATGTGAGACACGCGGATAATGCGTGGCACCGACGGGTTAATGGGTGGGGCCCACGGGTAATGGGTGAGAATCACAGGGAAATGCGTGACGTCCGCGGGGAATGCACGAGGCAGAATTCTGCTGAACTCCAACCAACTCTATTGACTGGCCTCTTGCGTTCTCAAGTTAATGGTTTATCTGATGGTAGTAGAGTTCAAATTTAACTAAAAACAACGTAACATTCGTCAATAATGGTGTGGCCTTAAAGATGAAAAAATATATAATTGGCGACATTTCAGGCAATGACCCTTCATAGTACCTAAAAGCTATGGAGGTAGAGTGGATAAGGATGACTGATCCTTATTTACTCCACTTCTCTACTCCACTTCTCTCGCCTCTCGTTTATTTCCCTTTTAATACCACACACTGTTGTTATTATGAATGACTGTGTTGAGTTTGTTAATGTGTCCTAGTGCATCATTGCCAATGCAGCAGCACCAAATACTTGTTTTCATTTAGCCATCAAAGTCCAGAGTTTTTAAAAAAAAAACCCATTGTTAATGACATCGTATTGATTGTTAAGTAAAAGTTGAGTGGGACGGACACATTATGGCAACACGTGGCGTGTAGTCGAGACTAACCACAGAGTGGCAGCCAAAGGAAAGGATACGCCTCAGTTTCGTCCACCACAGAGATGGAGGTAAACGGCTTGTCTGCAGGAGGCGAGGTAGATTTCAAGGCCTTGTGGAAGACATCATTCCTCGGTGGATTGATCACGGTTGATGCTGATTGTACGTCTATCGCAATTAATTGAGTCCACGCATAATTTGATGCCATGGGACAGAAAGTATTAGACAAAATTGCCGGATGAAGGACTTTCCAAACTGTTCTAAGGTTAAATTTAGATTTAAAGCTTTCGTGACCGCAGTGATTCATATTCTTGGTTCTTTCGGTAAAATCACGTTGAAGGGAAACAATAAAATAATAAAATATATATATAAAACAATAAAATTCTCACGACGCTTCGACTGTAACACAAACGGTCATTACCGAAAGAACCAAGAATATGTTCTGAGGTTGTTGGACCATTCTTCGTGCTGTCCTGAATAGGTGCTCGCTAACATAACCCATCACTTGGTCTCTGAAGTGTTGTGTGGTTCTCTTTGCGTCTGTGCGTTTGGTAGGGCGGCTGACTGACCGTTGCCTCCTTCACTCCCAGGCGTTGTTGGAATCGGCTTTCTTCACCCCATTACACAAATTCCTTTCCGATTCACACACCGTTGGTGTCGCCGTCTCTACATCAGCTTCGTTGTCGCGCATGCACTTCCCAGGGGAGCCCTTGCCGAATATTTATGCGATGAGGGCATGCACGCAGTGATCGAGCAAACCCACCAGCCAGCGTGGATCTTAAGGATAATTACTTTCAAAGGGGGGTCTTGGCGGCGGTGACTCGACGGGGCGATGGAGACGAACGCAACCTCCAAAATCTTGTCTCACCTGAGACGGGTGAGCGACGGACATCTCGGGCAAATGCGAGCAAAGTTGCGGGGAATCGAACAACCAGCGGGCCAGTGGCGCTTCCTGATCGACGCACTGGATCACGTCCAGAACCAGGGTCTCCGCTCTTCCCCAGCTCCCCACTTCGAAGGGGACTGCACAGCCATCATGAGGTACCTGCAGGAATTTGGGCGAAACCCCAGCGCCCCGCTCGAGGGCAGCTCCTCCCAAGAGAGCATCATGCCGCTGAGGTCCGGCCTGGCCGCGCTCGAATACAGTGACCCAAGGAGGGGGCCGTCGATTGCGACTACAGTGCGTGCGGGCAGCGACCGTGAGGTGGACCCGGCGATGCAAGACTGCTCTGCTTCTTGCAGCGGCGGCAGCGGCGGCAGCAGGCCCCAGGCGCTGAAGACGATGCCCGCAAGCTGTCTTCCAAATTCGCTCGACATAAAGTTCAGCAACGAGAGCCTGCCCACTGTGGCACTGGATTGCAAGCAGCAGCAGCAGCACCGGCATCCACAGCAGGAACAGCATCCGCAGGAGCAACGGCAGCAACTTCCACAGCAGCAGCAGCAACAGCAGCAGCAGCAGCCTGTTCAGCAGAATCTTCCGGCGTGTAACGCCTTACCTCAGCTCTCTCAGCATCCTGCAGCCGTAATGTCGCACGCCTCTCATCCATCGAATGGGATGGGACGTTCTAACGTTGACCCTGGGCAGTACCGGGGTGTCCAACCCTCACTGCAGGGCGACAGTTCCTTGTCGCCGGATGCGGTGCCTGACGAGCCCATTCCCAACTATGCGCGCCAGTCATTGTCCTATAGAGAGGTTGCGCCACCATCCATCGGCTCCGCCCGATCCTATGGTGGAAACCCACCGCTGGGCTGTTACGACAGCATGAGGCCAAACCGTTACCAGGGCGCGCCAGTCAGACGGCACGCTGCGGACGGGCACAGCATTCAGCACGAGACGCTGGGTTCCTTCGCGCCCACGGGTCCCGTCTTCGATTCTGGCAAGGTTGAATCCTCGCTCGTCTCGCAGATGGGCAGCCTCAACTTGAGCCCCACGATGGCGCTGGGATCCGTCGGCGAGGGCCCCTCGCCGGCGACGTTGCGGCCCCTGCGGGCCAAGGCGTCGTCACCCGGCGCGACGCCATCGCCACCGCCAACGCCAGCGACGCCGGTTTCCGAGGGTTCGTCCGGCAGTTGGGCGAATTCCGCCGTGAGCCCGCAGAGAGGAGGGCCAACAAACGACGGGCACGGGGAGGATGAGGTGGAGGTGGACGAGGAGGAGGAGGAGGAGTTCTACACATTTGTGATCCTGCACGACGCCAATGACAACGATATCGCGGAGCAGGTGAAGGTTGAGCTGGAAAATCTCGACATCAAGCCTGGCGCCACCTTTGAGGACCTCCAGGTGGGCGGCGAGCATCAAATCGGGAGCGTGGAAAAGGCCGTTGACAACTCGGCCTACACCCTGCTGCTGATGACCTCCAATTTCGTGAACACCTGGATGCAGTTCACCACGCACGCCACGCTCATGAACTCCATCAACAAGACGCACAAGTACAACACGGTCATCCCGCTGCTGCCGCGCACGCGACGCCTTCTGAAGAACCACACGCCCTTCGCTCTGCAGGCCATCAACCCCCTGGACATGGCGCTGAAAACTTTCGAGAAGAAGGCGTGCATCACCTTGAACAGCAAGAAGGTTAGCAAGCAGAAGAGGGTGTGGGAGGCGGAGAAGCAGCGCCTGAGGAGGGAGCGGAGGGCTCGCGCCGTCAAAGAGCGGCAGCGGCGGCGGGATTTGGAGGCAGCTCTGCTCGCGATGCCTCCGGTAGCCGCTCACCACCCGGAAGACGGTGGCCCAGACGCAGAGGCTCAGGGGTTCGGCGAGATGGAAGCGCAGGAGGCCGGACAGTCGCCACCACCGGGCGGATTAAACTACGGCTGTGCTGCCGAGGGCGGCGGCGGCGGCGGCGGCGGCTGTATCGGCAACATGAACTTGGAGGGACACACTGTGCAGGTTGGGTTCATCATGTTCCGTTCACCGCGTTGTTACCCGCGCCGATATCACAGCGCAAGGCTGTCACCAAGGCAGGCCTGTGTTTGATAAGTAAAGTCTGCCGGTAGGGTGGCAACGTTGCGATGTTTTTTTTTATTTGTTCCTCAATCCACTAAATTTTTGGGTAATTATTCGATTTTGGCAAATTTTGTTCTTGGCTGCTATTACTCATTCTGCTCCCTCTGGGTTTGGTGGAGGCGCGCGCATACACCCAAACCTATCGGGCAGCGAGGCGGTGCCTGTCAGAGTCGCCCCTTCTCTTGCATACCAATCATTCTACTGGCTGCAAGGTGGTGCTGCCCAGGCTCAACCCTGCCTAGCTTCTGACTTCAGCGCAGGTCAAATGTATGTACAGGGACTCCTCTACTTGCCAACATTCGACTCACGAAATTTCAGAGATACGAACAAACCTGTCGCAAGTTCAACGGCCGTGCAATAAATGGCGGTGGTGGCATCTACATCTGCAGGAGAGTATACAAGTTTTAAAGCCATTCCGCGTGTTTAGGGTACATGCCGTACAACATGGAGTGAAGTTGTACTTACGAACAAATCGACTTCTGAACAGACCTCTGGAACCTAATTTGTTCGTAAGGAATCCCTGTACTTTGAACTTCTTTCGCACTGTATGTAGCCAATTGTGCTAATCAGAGGTGCGGGAGGTGATTTGGTCATATGCAAAAAAAAGTTACACACAGGGCATTGATTAATCCACTCCTGTATAGATCCACTCTTGCATTGATCCGATGTGCAATTGGTCACATTGATCACTCTTTGACCTCCCCTTTCTCTCTCTCTCTCTCTCTGCCGTGACTGCAGGTCAGCTTTCCACCCGTGGGCTCTCCGTCCCCGAACGTGGGTGTCGGAGGAGCGCAGAACATCAACATCATCAACATCACCGGCGTGCAGAACGTTCAAGTGGGAAGCAACAACGTCATCCGGCGAGGCCCCACCTCCCCCGCGTGGGATGGCGAAGAGTTCTTTGAGAGCGAGGATAACATAGACGAGGTTAACGATTGCCAGGACAATTAAACACCGGGTGTTGAGGTTCGCACGATACAACCGGAACCCTCCCAATTATTCAAGTAATGGATTACCGCCGTTCGGGTGATCGATCACTCGGTTGCTTGGATATGACGGAAATATTTCCGCACGAAACGTCTCTGCTTCTGCTGCCGCCCGTGTGAGGCTGGACGGGAGGTGACCGGGAGGGGCGTGGCGGCAACCATTTTTATAGAGGCCACAAACGAGTGGTCGATAACGAAGTATAATCGATTAATCGGGTTGATCAACTCATTGTCCCATTTCTACCGTCGACACCGTGGAGGACTTTAACCCTTCCAGGGTCCGCTGCACCAGCACACGACCAGAACCTGGGTTTGAGTCCTGGTTTAGTGTTCAAGTGAAACGACTGCTCTCACGTGAGTGCAGTGCTCTTCCTGCGTCGACGAACCTAAGCCGTGAACGGAAACTCCACGTTAATTTCGCAGGGATCGCACCTTCCGTAGGACAGCCCGCTGTTGACTCCACCACACCTCCGATTAGCGCAGTTGGCTACGTACGGTGCGAAAGAAGTTCAACACCCACACATTAATCTTCCTCTGAAGGGATGGAGTTGACCTCTCGACTGGCATTGTTTTGGATTAAGAAACGTCCAAACAATTAATAACTGTTTGGACGTTCATGATCAGACTGTTAAGCGATTACACCATGCTCCCAGCTGTTGTGCTGGTACCCTGCATGACGGTGCGATTGTAACGAGTCGGTGCCTGACGAGAAGCCACGCATCAGATCGTTTCCATGCCGCGAGTGGGGCATTCATGAGCGGGTGAGCGAACTTTCATTCCGTGTGACGTCGGGGGAAAATTCCCGCGACCCATTCGTCCAGGGACTGGTTGTCTCGACCCCGGTCCCCTGCGTGTAAGGCGAGTTACTTTGTGAATAATGAAGGTGGAACTTTGGGTGCATTGAAAACACAATTCGAAAGTTTTTAAATCTTTCATAAACCGACGCACTTTTCTGGGCGGGGCGGTTCACAGGGGTGCACGTTTCTTAAATCCTTGAATCTTCAGTGCCCACTTTACACCGCTGGGTGGACAACACAGCCGCACCTCCGGGTGCTGTGGTGGCGAGATATTAACTACCTCGCCTGGTATACAGGAGGTCGTGAGTTCGATCCCGACCCTGACGCCTGCTGTGTTTGGAGTTCGCGTGTTCTCCCCGTGGCCGCTTGGATATTTCTCCAGGTCCTCCGATTTATCCCTCCACATTTAGAAAAAATGCATTGAGAGTATTTGGCAGCTATAAATTTCCACATGATAAGCCACTTAGTTGAGCTATCATTTGTGGCCAGGTCACTTCTGAAAAAGAACTATCAATAGGTCAGTGGGCCTTTACCTGGTAAAATGTAAAATAGTTTAGTTTTAAGATGGTTGAATAGTTTAGCACGGTTGGCTACATACGGTGCGTACGTACAGCCGATTCACCCAGCTACGTGCCATGCAGCAAAGTTTGGACACATTCCACTCTTCTGGGACGTTTGGCTAGCGTGGCAGACTGGGCCATACAGCGTCTAGAGCTGTCCAGCGTGGCAGACTGGGCCACACATCGTCGATACCAGGGGTATCGAACGTATTCTTGGTTCTTTGGGTAAAGTCACGTAGATAGAAAAAAATAATAATAAAATGATAAATTTAAAATAATAGAAGCAAAAAAGCCACGACGTTTCGATCGCAACACAAGCGGTCTTCATCAGGCGGAGAGAAAAACATCAAACGTACCGGCCCGCGGGCATTGCAACGGGAGATTTGGCACGCCATTGCCGCTAAACAAAAATAAATCGGTTCTCTTTTCCCGCGCTAGTCACATTTTGAATCGGTAAGTTAAGACCGTTTCATGATGCTTCTCAATTTCATAGGCCCAACTCTGTGGCCCGCTGGAGGTGCATTTGAATCCAAACCTGCCCCGCTGTCCAATTGAGTTTGACACCCCTAGTCTGGAGCTCCCCAGTGGAGGCTCTCGCGCAAGCAGTGACCGGAGGGGGGCGAGCAATCGTAAGGGCTGCACCGTTTTACCTTTCATACTTTGCGTTCTTTTTCATTGGTCTCATTGTCGAAACGCGTTTTTAACCACTATGAATGCCACACACAACAAGAGTGTGTAAACGGCACTGTTTTTTTGAGAATCAAATCGTGGTTCTGTATTGTCAGCCACGAGATTGCATCGTGGAGGAGAATGGGTGTGAACAGTGACGTCACTGCTGCTTGCGATGTGCACGTACCTTGTGCCCAGTGTGCAACAAACGTTGCTTTTGGCAGGCCGAGCAGAGTTGAGCCCGCGCAGCGCTTGAATGTGCCACCGCCACACACAAACAGGTTGCTATAGGCTGCTGCGGAGCTACGCGGTAGCGCAGCGGAATCCGTTGTACTGCGCGTCTGTGCTCCCACGTCTGTGCTCCACGTGTGTGTCGCCATCTCTGTGCCCCCCCCCCCTCCCGCCTTCGCCAACCTGCACCTGGCCAGTGTGGTGGTGCATCGTCAAGTTAACCCCCACGACCCGAACAAGCGTGGGGAAGCCCTCACCCAAGGGCTGTACATTGTCTCGTACATCCGGTGCAACAACAAAAACACCAGAGCCATTCATTGCTATTTCCTGTTTCCACGGCATTTCGGTGGAAAGGGAGATGTTTTTTTTAAAGGTGTCTTAAGCGGTGATTTCTCGATCGATGTGACATTTATATTTTACTGCCCGTGTAACTCTAAGGGTTTTTTTTGTGGGTCTTGAACGCCACAGGGCGGGGGGGGAGGTGTGTTTGACAGTGTCCTCGCGCAACACGGCTACACGTTCCGTTCGATCGCTCTGCGATGCGTCGCGACGGATTCTGGCAGCTACGCAAACGGCGATCCAGCCTCGATAAAGCCACAGGCCTTAATGTCGCGTGTGATAACCTCCTGGATCTGTTACGTTGTGGGCCCGTTCGAGTGCTTGGGTGCCGCCATTGAGGTCGGGAACTCCCCCCTGCTCGTGCGCGTTTGCCGACTCCGTCTGAAGTTCAAATCCAATCTCAGGATTTTCCCTTTTCTCCTCCGACTCTCATTGTGTGTGTCCCCCCCCCCCCCCAGCTAATAACGTCTTCTACACCAGCAGTCACTCAACTCCAGTCGTTAAATAGTGGAACAAAAATTACATCGCAAATAGCCCGACTGGAATAAACGTGGCGATCATCGCCCCCCACCCACCCCCCCGGCTGCAAAATATTGATTGGCAGGACCCCCCTGAAGAAGTTTAACGAGACACGGTGAGGACGTCCTGGGTAAACAAGCATAATGAAGTAATATTTGACCCACCTCTCCCCTTACCACCACCGTACAGCTTCTCGTGACTAATAACCATCATGTGCATAGAAGAGAATGCTAATCGCTGTAAAAGGTGAACTCCTCCCCACCCCCTCGCCCGGGTGGTGAGAACTGGAGTTGAGAATCATTGCTCGATGCCATTCTTGCTGGCCTGGGGCACGTCGGTTGTTTCCATACCCGGTGCACCCACGCCGTCGCTACGTTTTCCACAGCTCGTGTCCACCGAACTCCCCTGGCGCAAGCACCACTATCTTAAGAGTCTCTGTCATCATCATCGTTCGGCACGCGGTAAAATATGCATCAAATCGCAGAGTAAAATTTGATTGTTGCGTTCGCGATACCTGTGCACGGCGTCGGGGTCGTCCGTGTGAGAGGATCGGTTGTCCTCGATGTTGGTGGCGGGTTTTTCCGACGCATTTTTTTGTGTTACGCGATCGAACCCAAAAAAAAAAAACCTGTTAAACTGTACATGTAGATAATGTTGTACTTGCAAAAAAAAGGCCCCAAAAAACGCGTCAAAAACATAATAAGAATTCTGTTATCGAACCGCGACTGGCAATCGTGACTTTGTATGTTACTGTCGATGGGATGATGCGTTTAAAGGCCCGATCGTCAATCTTCATGGTAAAAACAATCATGATCAATCACCTATCTACCGTAATCGATGCATGCTCCTGCTTGGATAAATCACGTGGGGACGTGCTCTTTTTCATCCATTGGCTACTCTGAGCCAACATTGGAAATTCCACATTCCTGTGACGGGGGTGGGGGGGTAATCCCTTGCACACGACAATGATCGTTGACTTCCTTCCGAGTGGGTACTCAATTGTCGACCCCGGAGGGATGATGGGCCGAGTAGACTCCCGTCCGACCTGCTCGCTGCGAATTACATGAATCTCCTGGGTGAACAAAGACGTCGTTGACTCAATTCAGGGCTGACTCCCGATTGATCAGTTGATTGTAAATCCTGTGGATGTGAGCGCTTGGAGGACTGCATCGATCATATATATGCCACCATATTTAAGAATGGATATCACCATGCCCTTCCTGCTTTGCTCTTCGTATACCGTATCCTATGATTTTGGTGCAAAAAGTGCATTTTTACGTTTATCACAGATGTTTTAATGTTCATGAAATGCATATATGTTTGTCTTTGAAAGTATGCAATGGGTTCGTTATTTTTTGATGGGGGGGGGGGGGTGTCCTTTAATGCGTATCAATTGTTTATGCAATGTCAATACGAACTTTCAAATATCTCTAATTAACAATTAAAATCAATGCCAACAGTAAAAAAAAAATCACGTGTGTATGCAGTGCAAATTAAATTAATTGTATTATATATGTGTATTATCCCCGCCACGATGGTCACTTTGCTATTCAACGGAACGTCAAGCAAAACAGGACTGTACGATCTCTTATGAAATACTGAATAGACGTCAATACACGCCGAGTAGAACACATCGCGTTTTGTGCAGTACTCGGTCGAGCCACTGCCGGACGAATTAGTCTCCACGCTTTTCGGTGACGACGGTTTTGACGATACTTCACCACGCTGGTCGGTTTGGGTTGACGGAGGAGGGATCCAAGGACCGGTTCGAATGTCGCTGGCCAACGACCGTCGGCCGCGCCATGGGAATACAAACTCGGGTCGCCCGGCTGATAGCGCGGCGTTGCTAACCGTTGTGTCACCGTTCCACCCCAAATAGAACCATCGTTTACGGAATTGCAACGCTGAACGCCATGAACGCCGCCGTAATGCCACGAAAGCTTTAAATCAAGATTAACAACACGCTGCTTGCAATCCGGAGGTCGCCGATTCAATCTTCCGGCGTGGCATTTGAAATATCGATGGGCAAGTTTCCTAAATCTCCCACACCTGTGTCCTCCCAGCGGCGTAAATGGGTAGAGCGCAGGTGATTGGCAGAACGCGTACGGTGGGGTAAAATGTGGGTACGTCTGGCAGGGTGGAAGGGTAGGCCACACACAGTAGATCATCGGTTATCTGGCGGTTTTGGGATGAAGGGGGGCGCCGGATTTTCAGAAACCCCGGATGATCACTACATTATTTAAAATTCAAACTAGATTCGAAGCTTTCGTGACTGCAGGAATTACTCTGGTTATTTCGGTAAAGTCACGTAGGCAGAAATAATAATATAATACGACGTTTCGATTGCAACACAAGCAACCATTATCAGGTACGAATGAATGAGAAAAACCAACAGTAAACTCAAAAATACAATGCAACACAACACAGAGAGTTGACCAACACAAGTCAACACCCCAACCTGGTTGATTACGTTCTTATTTAAAATTGCTTATTTGTTTTCGCACATTTTTTTAGGTGTTGTAAATAAAGACGACAAATGAATATCCTGTAAAAAGTTACCGTATTTACTGTACCGTACTTATCACTCCAATCTCGAAGAGTCTGCATGGGGTGATGATGTACGTCCTGCCCTCTTGTTTGAACAACAACAAACAACGTGTTTGTGCTCGCAGCCTTTGGATGCGGTATTGCCCGTTTCGCCGGATCGGCCATCAACTTTACCCTGCAGAGGAGTTCCCCAGAGCTCCGTCTAGCGGATGCCCCTCTTGTCAGCAGTGGCGTCAAGCAGGAAATTTCAGGGCTGCACATTTACCGTCCGCCACCTCTTGCACCGCGATTTAAATCAAAGCGCGGACGCGAGTCTGTGTTGCATTTGTATTAAATTTAGAATAACACCACAGTTTATTTGTTTTTAAACCATCATCCGCAATCCTGTACACAATATATACACTCAAACAGACCGTCACCGACATGTACACGAGCCATGCCTGACAATGCTTCCCGGTTCGCTGCGAGCGCTATAGACGCACGCCACAAAGAGGTTTGCTCAAATCCCAGCGAGTGCGGTAAAACAATACTGACTCACCCCGCTTCTCGCCTGTCGCGCGCTGTCTCTCTCTCGGCTGTACGCGAGAGTGAAGCAGGCTTCCTTCGCAGTCGCGACATGTTAACATCGCCTGGTGTGCAGGAGGTCGTGGGTTCGATCCAGACCCTGACGCCTGCTGCTGCTGTATATTTGGAGATCGCGGTGTCTCTCTCTCTCTCCCCGTGGTCGCGTGGATTTTTCTCCGGGGTCCTCCGGGTTTTTACCCCCACATTAAGAATCAACGTCACGCGTTTAGGGCGTTCGGCCGCTACAAATTGCCACACGGTAAGCCGCTGCGTTAAGCCGATCTAGTTGTGGCCAGATCGCTTCTGAAAAAAAGCGGCCATATAGCAGCTCGGTTGGCCTCGCTTGGTACAATAAAAAGTTTAGTTTGACCTTGGCTCAACCATCCAGCCGTTTTTGTCCACATCTTGAGTGGGCAGTTACGTGAGAAGGAAGACTTCATACTCTTTGGTTCTATTTACCTACGTGACTTTACCCAATAGAACCAAAGAGTATGGATCCTTGCAGTCACGAAAGCTTTAAATCTAGAAAGGAAGACTTCTTCGGCGTGTGCGCCCTGTGGCTACAGCGCGTCTGGCCGCCCCGCCACTTGAGCTGGTGCGATTGCTCAAGCGAAAACTAAAATCGTGTTCGTTTGGAGAAAAGTGTCGCCACATGAGCTGTACGCCATCGTAATGCCGCGTGTGCGTTGACCGTCCAGGGGCGGCCCTTGGCGCCTAGCTGCCAGCGGCTGGCGCCGTCGACCAACCATGCAATCGACCACCCCAAGGGCGGATCTAGGCTGAGGGTTTTTTTTGGTAAATTGGGAAACAATTTGCCCATATATTTTTTGTTTAACGTCTTTTAAGCGCGTTTTTTTTTAAACAGGCATAATCATTCGGTTTGTCCGTGCGCCTAACCGATGAATTCTCAAGTGTTGAGAAACGAATGGTAATTGACGTTCCACCTGTACGCGCGCCGGAATTGAAACAATGACGTCTTCATTTTATTTGTATTTTTGTTCATTTGTACGTTTTTATCCTCGAATTTGGCACCCCACTTACTTGGCGCCCTAGGCCACCGCCTAATTCGCCTCTATGGACCGACTGCCCCTGTGCTCGCTGGAAGGACGTGCATGCCGGGGACCTCGTTTCAATGGGCAGACGGCTCTAGTGGGACTCAAGTTGGCCCGATTTCTCGGCGAGCTCGAGTTAAGCAAGACTTGGGAAGCCAACGCAGATCGCCGAGCAAAATCGGGAGTTCATGTGGGAGTCGTGCACGCAACCGCCTCGCCAACTGGTTGCAGAGACGTTCACCTGCCGAGGCATTCAAGTTGCGCTGCAACGCAAAGCGTGCAACCGATCGCTGGGATGGGGACCCCTCTCCCCAGCTCAACAGGGAATTTGTTTTTCGTTCCAAAAAATTCCAACGAAGCGAACTTGAAATCGTGGCGAATGGCACGGCGGTGGTGCCAGAGTCGTGACGATACCACGTGGCGCTCCTCTGCATAATCACGGGACCCACTGTTGTTTCGATGGCATCGTTCGTGTGAAATTTGCTTCTCTCACGATCGCCACGGAGCCGCCAGACCAGGCTGGAAGTCAGCAATTGCCCAAGCTCTGCCGTCCTCTTATGAATTAAGATGATTAATGGTGAGTGTCTATACATGCGGGGGCAAACCAGAGCACCCAGAGATAAGCCTATTGCATGTGAGGGCGCAACGCTCTATCCCATACAGAAGGGACAGATATAAATTAGTCCACACTTACTGTACTTCCTGAATAAAATATAAATACTATGACGCAATCCAGGATCCACCACCAGACTTTGTCAGTACGATCCACTCCAGGTTTTGTTTTCACAGCCACCGAGATGTGATTATAACATATGTAACAAACACAATAGAATTTACAACATGGTGCTTTAACTCAGAAGTTAATTCGTAAATATGTTGTGAAATATAGAGCAGGTGTTTGAAAATATAGCATGTAAGTGCAATAACTATATATATACCAAACCACAATATATGTATATACTGATATTGTATTTGTATTAATACAGAATATGATCATACCTATCGCCTTGCCCACACTAATGTGGGTAAAAGTTCGCAGGTGTGTGCATGTGAGCAGCCATTGCGGTGAGCATTTTAATACATTGAACATCAGTTGCGAACAAACGTGATGCATTTTTTGCTGACGACTGTGTCATAACAATTCGGCTTTGTCCTGACCCCGTGACACGTGGCTCTTCAAGCGGCTGCCCCCGGGGCCACCCGTGGCCCACGAAGGCTCCTGCAGCGCTTCGTCTGTTGCCTCCGGCAACAGACATAAAGCTATCTCAGCGTGGCACGGAGCCAGAACCAAACCGGCGTCTCACAAGGAAGGATGTCTCGATCTGGCTCGGAGGGCGGGAGGCGGCGGCGGGGCCAAGCAGGGCCAGGGGCCGGGGCTAACGGGCACGTTCACCGCGCGTAATACCGGTCGGTGCGACGGCATCGCCGCCGCCGCCGCCGCCGCCCGAGCGCGGACGTGTCCCAGTCGTGTTCATCGCCGTTCGGCGTTAGCGGCCGCGAACCAAACCGTGCCGAGCCACGCCCCAGGGGGTTGGGACTCGGTGTGGTGGTGATAGAGGCTGGTGCCATAGGGCTGCTTTACCGAGATGTAAAGGCAGACCTGGCCAAACGAAAGAGCTACAAGCGAGCACACATGTTGAACTTATTTCGCGCCACACATTCGCCGGCCGTGCTAATCGGAGGTGCTGGGGGAGGGGGCGAAGGACAACTGAACGTGATAAAAAAAAAAATCCGTTCTTAAAGAAACGAAACCGGTGGATTCCTTACGTGGGAAACGAATGAGCGTTCCAGACGGCCGCAGAAGCGCATCTCGACAGCGCGGCGACCGCCGGATGAAGAGATGCGACCGCCGCAGGCGACGTGGAGCGTGTGGTGCTGGCACGCGTTCGGAGCCTGGCGGCCACCCCCCCCCCCCCCCCCCCCCCCGTTGAACGCTTCGGGTGTACGGCGCTCGAAAATGAAAAAAATATTCGCGAGTGACTCAAAATTGGGGGTGGTGGTGGGCCGAGAAAACGCAGCAGCAGTGGCTGCAGCATCGCCCGCGTTTGCCGATGGGTGCCACCAGGGCCGGATCAAGGCCGCAGCCCAGGGCCCTCCGCCAGCTGGAGGACCTCCAGAGATGAAGTGGAAAAGTGATTTCGTTTGTGAATGCCGAATTGTATTTGTCGTTGGCCTTGTAAACAAACAAAGTCATTTTTCTTTAACCTTATTTCCCTTTTGAAAATATCACTGGGGGCCCTCAGTTCCTGTAGCCCAGGGGGTGCCTGCAATATCTTAATCCTGCGCCCGAGGCAGTTGCCGCCGAGGGTCCCTGCAGCAGCGGCGGCGGCGGCGTTGTGGTGGCGACGCCGTGGTGGTGGCCGCGACGCCGTGGCTACCGGCAGCCCACCAACCCCCAGGTCCGAACGCAACGTCAGGGGCACGACCTCGTAGATACCACGACGACGCCACCATCGTCGTAGCGTACAGCCCCAGCTCGGTCGCCGTGCGATGGAGTGTGGACTTTGTTGGTGATCACTCGACCGTCTGCGGTTGTCGGAGCACTCGACCGAGTTTCAACGTCGCGAATCCAGCAGTAAATCGATGAAGGGAATGTAAGTGTACAACGTGCTACCGTGCCATACAGGCCACCGCTAGAATCAGTCAATAGCCAGCTATTGGTGTTGGTGTGAAATCAGAGGGTCTGCCTGCTAAGTCGAGTATTGAGTGGCAGCCGTCTGATTTTGAATTTGAAAATCCCACGTTCCTTCAGCACCAGATTCTTCCACCCATGTTGGGGAGCCGGCCTGGCTGTTTCGTCTCATCCATACTGCGTTTGGTTAACACACCGCAGGTCACAACCACTTACTAACCCACTCATTCACTCACTCACCACACTGCAGGTCACAACAACTCACCCACTCACCCACTCATTCACTCACTCACCACACTGCGGGTTACAGTAACTCACCCACTCATTCACTCACCACACTGCAGGTCACAACTCACCCACTCACCCACTTACCCACTCTCTCACCACACTGCAGGTCACCTCACTTCTCTTTCTGCTCCTTCCCTCGCACCGCTGCACTTTGCAATCACCCTCCCACCGTCTCTCTCTCTCTTTTTTATCCCAAATTCTTCTAATAACCTTGTTCAACTCAAGAAATGTGTTAGACTCTCATCTTTAACACTTTAAAATAGTAACTGTTTGTTGCTGGCCGCTTAACGTTTTCGGGCCTTAGGACCACCACCGTTCACTTCCCACAAAGTGGTCAGCTCATTTGTAGACCTTTAAAATTGTTCACGATGCTGGATCATGATGATGATGAGGACGGAGTGGCTTGGGATTAAACTCACAGCTCTTGGGCGAAATATCCCCAAGAGAGTGCCAGCAGCAGCAGCAGCGATCGCCTAGACCTACAACGATACCCCGCGGGTTGGGCCGAGCGAGTGAAGTCGCGGATAATCGAGGGAGGTGCCCATTACAACCGAGTGAATCGCAGGTTAACGAGCCAAGCGCGGAGAGCTCGGGGTCGCTGTCAGCTGAGTGATGCTTAACTAAAAAAAAATTACAGCAAAAATTGAGTGAATTGTGGTTGATCAAGTGAATCGCAGTCAAGACCATTTTACTTAATGCAGCATCGGTCAGAGCTCCGTCAAATTGACAAGTCACGGTTGATTGAGTAATCATCGGTGTTAGTCACGTGAATGCCAGGTCATCGGATCCGTATAAAGTGCCGTCAAGAGTAAATTCCAGTTAATCCGATGCAGTGCGATTAATTGAGCAAATCATAGTCATACAAAAAAAATCTAACTACCTAGTGAGTTCCGGTTGAACCCATCATCGTCAACCAAGCGAACCGTGGTTAACGGAGCGACTTCCATATTAATCGATGGCACCTCGCGGTTAACCGACGGCGTCTCGCGGTTAACCGGTGGCACCTCGCGGTTAACCGAGCGACACCCCGGCCCGCTCACTTGGCGCAGAATCCCTCGAAGCCGCCGAGCTGCTTCATCTGCTCCACCTGCATCGAGTGGCGCCGCACGAGGGGCCGCTTGGGTTGACGCGACGCCAAAACCGCACCGCCCCCCTCGGCCGCCGGCGCCGCCGTGCCCCCCGCGTCGCCGCGCCGCGGGGAGCAGTGCGGCGCCGCCGCCGACGACGACGACGCCGACGCCAGGGAGGACGCCGACGCGGACGAGGCCAGCGAGAGGCCTACGGGCCGAGCGGGGAGGCACAGCGAGGCGTGCGCGGCCATCCCGGGCGCCAGCGACGACGCTCTCCCCGCCGACGCCCGGCTCGGCCCGGCGAAACCCGCCCCGCCGTTGATGTTGCCGCTGCTGCCGCCGATGTCCGGGATGGGCGGGTGGGGGTTGACGTTGAGGGGCGGCAGGAAGCCGGGCCGGGTCTGGGAGATGCGGTCGAGCAGCAGCGTGCCCGAGCCGCGGCGCTCCAGCGGTGGGTGCTGGTGCCTGCGCACGCGCGACGGAGACGGTTCCACGCGCGACGGTGGGCGCGCGTGTCGTGCACCCCTCCTCCACCCGGCGGGGCCGACCGGATGAAGGATGGCGTCGCGGACGCGGTCGGAAACACTCGGTGAGAAATTAAAACCCCCCACCGCTCCCCCTTCATGAACTTGTACGTGCGTCTGTTGAACTTCTTTCGCACCGTACGTCGCCAACCGTGGTAAACGGAGGTTCTTGCTCCCTCATAACTCGTGGGCTTTCTCCCAAACTTCCTCCTCTTCCAGCTCAGCTCCTCAACGTTCATCCGCTACACGGTGACGATTATTATTTGACGATTATTTGAACCCGTCCTGGGCCTCCCCTAGGTCGGCTCAGCCTCAAATGAGTACCTGGCGCGGTGTGTAGTAAACATCGCCGCCGGGGAGGCAAAAGGCGGATCGGGCGCGCTGTTGGCCACCCGCCCCGTCGCGTGCCGCTCCGGCCTTCACAGGCGCCCGCTACTCGCCAACGGCGCTTGCCCCAACGGTCTGTTCAAGGCTATACGGGTGGTCGGATGTGGTCGGTTGTGGTGGTGGTGGTGGTGTGGGGGGAGAGGGATCTTTGTCTATTGGCGGAGGCGAGGTACCTGCGTAGTAGCAGCGGGGAGGTGCTGTCGGCGTGCAGCGACTCGCGCGAGCCCGTGAGCGGCGCCGTGAGCGGCGACGTGTTGTGCTTGCGCCGCTCGAGCAGGCAGCGCGCCGAGTCCGGCCCCGGCGGGGCCTGCGTCTCGGCGTCGTGCTCCTGGTGATCGGCCACCCCGAGGTGCCGCCGGTGCACCAGGTCCCTGCGGGCGCAACCACGGCGCAGGCGGTCACGGACGGCGGTGGCGAGGCGCTATCTGCCTCGCTTGTTCACCGCCGCCGAGTGAGCCTGGCTCTGCTGACGAGACGACGAATATAGAAGTCGGTCCACAGTACGCTCGCACTGAGTCAATGCCGCCGAAGTCGCATGCGGTCACACAGGTGCGATGTTAACTACCTCGCCCGGTATACAGGAGGTTGTGTGTTCGACCCTGACGCCCGCTGTATATTTTCCGTCCCCTCTCTCTCTCTCTCTCCCCCCGTGGCCCCGTGGATTTTTTTTCCAGGTCCTCCGATTTTTCCCCTCCACATTTAAAAATCGTTACATCACGCGTTTAGAGTATTCGGCTGCCGCTCTAAATGTCCACGTGATGATGATAAGCCACTTCCGTTGAGCTTTCACTTTTTGATAACGAGGTCGCTTCTGAAAAAAAGAACTACCATAGCTCAGTGGGCCTTTGCTTGTGAAATTCCCCAAAAAAATAGTTTACGGGTTTAGGTTCGCCGGTCGTGCCATGAGATTCGTAACAACGACGACTGAAACCGCACGCGACGTTCGTCAATAACGACGCCGGTGAGAGACTCCGAGCGTCCTCCACGTGCGCCCGCGATGTCTCGAGGCCGCGGGCTTCTTCGTGAACGCGATTTGTCGCGTGGGAGGCGACCGTAAAAGGCAAAGCCCCGCAATCGCCCGCTCTCACACCGCCGCTGGTGGAAGGGGCCTCCACTTGGGGCAGCCCTTGGGAGCCCCTCGAGAAAGAGAGAGGGGGATTATCGGCCGACTCTGCAACGTTGGCGAAGGCGCCTTAGGAAAGGTCCGAATCAGAATCTTTATTTATAACAGGAGGAGGAATCCTATGAAGCTCTTTGTTTTCTCACAGATGTCCAGTCGGGGCACGGGGTCAGAACGTTACAACAATGAACGATACAAAAACACGATAGGAGAGCAAAGTATAGTAAACGTAAGAAATTGACCTTTTTTTTACATTTTACCAGCTAAAGCCCACTGAGCTATAATGCTTTTTGTTTTTTAAAGGTGGAAGTACCCACGCTTAAACACCTCGAGGTCATCGTCAACGTGAACCTCAAGGTGGCGGGTACCCACACTGGTCGCTTGTCGCGGGGGGGGTAAATTCCCGATCCATTCCCACCAGGGTGGCGTGAGATTCCGGTCTCCCGGACGCGCCGAGCTTCGAATCGAACCGGCGACCCCCTGGATTGCAAACCCGCAGCGTGCAATATCACACGGCGAGCACCCGCTGGGTCGACGGACTCGTTATGATGATTCGAGGTGACTATGATTGCATAATTCCAGGGCGCGCGTGCGCGCGTGTGTGTGTTAACGTGTGGTTTCCCACCAGAGGTATTTGACTGATGCCAGTGGCTTTTGGCTCTGCGACGAAGCAATCGCTCAATGAACTACGAATCAACAATTTTGCAGACCCTTCGTCAATCCACTGCTGGCTGTCCGCCGTGCTAACGAGCGCGCCGAGGCCGACGAACGTCCCGCGAGCTGCCGACGCTGGCCGGCGCTCGGCGACGCTCACCGCAGCGAGGCTCCGAGCGCGCCGTGGGGCGGCAGAGCGCAGGGAGAGGCCCTCTCGTGCTGCGGCCGGTGTGCACCTCCAGTGCCAGCGTGGCTCTCGTCCCAATCGACCGGCGTTGTGTTCCTCCTCCCCAGCTGCTGGTGCTGCTGCTGCTGCTGCTGCTGGTGATGATGCTGCAACGGCGGTGGCTGAGGATGCAGAAGCGTGACGCCGCCGGCCTTCTCGCACGGCGGCGCCAACACCATCGCGTCAACGCTCTGCCGCCGCGACAGCGGGCGCTTGGGCCGTGCCGTTACGGGCGAGTGGCTGTTGCTGGCGTGAGCGCCGGCGGCCCTCGCCCCGTCGCCCGTCCGCCCATCGAGCGACCGCCGGTCCCCTCCTCCTCCGCCGTCGCCGCCGTCGCCGCCGCCGCCGCCGTCCTCGGCTTTCACGAGCGCCGACGGCGCCACGAGGCCCCACGGCTCCGACTGCAGGCGCTTGAGCTGGGACAGGCGCCCGGCGCTCCCGCCGCCGCCTCCTCGCCTGCACGGCGGCGCCGCTCGGCGCCGGCTCGGAGACGGCGCCTCTCCGGCGAGGCCGGAACCGGCGGCACCGGCGGCTCCGGCGGCTCCGGCGCTGGAACCGACGGAGTTGGACGCCGCGCCGCGAGCGAAGCTGAAGAAGGGGTCGGCGTCACGTGACGACGACGACGACGACGACGACACCGCGTTCGCCGCGGCCACGGCCGCCGCCGCCTCCTCCGAGTGGAGCGGCTGTCGCGGCTCCGCCTCGCCGGGCGCTGACGAGCGGGCGGCCGAAGGGCTGGTGCTGAGCTCGACGTCGGAGGGGGAGGCGCAGGCGGGCCGCTCGTCGTACGACGCGTCGGGCAGCCCCGGCAGGCTGAGGTAGCGCGGCGCCGACTTGTTGCCGGGCAGCGAGAGCCTCTCCGTCACGTTGATGATGATGACCTCTTTGCCCTTCGCCTTGCACGCGTCCAGCAGCACCTGGGGGACAAGGCGGCGGTGGGGGTACGGGGATGGTGGACGTCAAGGGACTACGCCGTGGCCGCAAGAACTCGAAATCACGCGGGCGCATTTGGAGGGTATCCCGCGTGTAACGGAGATTTGCATTCCCTTATGGATGGATGCACTGGTGGAGCCAGTGGGGGGGGGGGGGGGGGTGGCATGTGCCCCCCCCCAATGATCCGATCGAAATCCCTAATTGAGATCGGATCATTGGGGTTTATTAGTAATAAATCGGCATTTTGCGACCCCTACTGCCACCGTGTAGCAGGGACTCTATGAGATGACAGGACAGTAGTCTGAGTCCATAATTGGCAATAAGTAACGGAAAAGCAGTTATAAGTGACTCGCAGAATTGTGCACAGTTGAGTATACAGAGTCCACGACTTCCCTGAAGGCATTCACATTCAGCGAGCGCGATGCCGATCACACAACGCGGTTCAAATTCGACCCTCGATCGATGGAAGCGCCATCGCCGCACACGCGTCAAATAAAAATCAAGGGACAAGTCCTCACTTAACTAACAACTCCTCTATCATTTTTCATTGCTGGAGGGGTTGCCCCCCCCCACTACCTGAAAATCCTGGCTCCGCCATTGGATGGCGGGCGAATGGCCTGCAGGCCCCACTCTCTCTCTGACTTTGGATTGCCAATGGGGCACCCTTATGTGCTCTTTGATATTTACAAATGTTACAGCGGCAATAAGTATGGACATTGGATCATTGTTCAAACTGATGATTGTTTGCTTTCAAACTAAAACTTTTCAATCAAACTATTACTGGACGTGCAAAACGATGTTTCGTACAAATGTGTTTTTTTACAAAAAATGCTCTCCGTTGTCTGAACGTTCTGACGCAATATCTATTGCGGGTGTTTGCTGGCTGTAGGAGGCAATGATCGCTACTGAATCCCGACTGAGTAATTTGCGGTCACATTTTTCAAATTTGGACAATTTTTTGGAACGTTAACGCCGGCACGGTAACGGCCTCCGTCTTGCGAATGACGTCGCAGGATCTTCAACGTCCACTGTGCAGCCGATGATGCGCTGCATTCGCACGGTTCCCACTGCACGCGCCGCAGTCTTAATGGGGACGGCCGCTCGACTCAAATTGAGAACGGCTGCGACCAGTGGCGAGCGCGCTACCGCAAGGCCATGCCGGAACCCTGAGTTGTTAAAAATTTACAATCAGGTCTGTGAAGAAGGGCTACTGCCTAGGGGACGCCCAGGACGAGTTCAGATAATCGTCACAGGTGTTGACCGTGAGCGGGAATCGAATTCCGGTGGCCGGGTTCGTAGCGTAGCGCACTAACCGCTACACCACCGCTCCCCAACAACAATACCACGCCATTCGCCACTAGGTGGCGGTGACGTCACCACGGCGTCTGTGCCAGGCCAGGTGCACTTTGAGGCCACGGGAAGTGTCGAAGGCTCGCAGGCAGAAGGTCACGGGACAGACGCAGCAGGTGCCGTGGTTTGACCGACCGAGACGACCGGCAGATGCACCAGCGTACCGTGCCAAGTCGCTTCGTCTCAGCCGCCCGGCGCTCCTCGCACACGTGACAGACGCGTGCGTGCACGCATGCGGGCGCCGTTTAACGACGGGCGGTGCCGCTCGTGGTGGGGACGGGGGTGGGGCCGGGCGGCACCTTGAGCGTGCTGGGCTCGTCGGCGTGGATGGCGTAGACGAGGGCCGAGCGGCACGAGCGGTCCTCCACGCTGGGGTCGGCGCCGCCCTCCAGCAGCGCGGACGCCACCTCGGCGCCGGCGCGGGCGCAGCACGCGTGCATGAGCGCCGTGCGGCCGCACTTGTCCTGCACGCGCGGCACGCGGAGACAGAGGTCCCCCCCCCCAGTGAGGGCTCGAGCGGACCGTCAGGGGCGAGCGCCGTGAGCGAGCGGCGGCCGCGCCGATGATGGCCGGGCACGGCCGCGCAACGGCGCGGGTGGCCGACACCGCGCCCGGGACCGCCTTTTGCCACCTCCGTGATGACGTTCGCACAGCGTAACGAGTACCAATTTAGGGCCGAGTCGACCCGCGGGAGGCCCACGACTTTGTTCAAACTATTCGGTGTGGGAGTCCCACGCGAGGGCGTGCGAATCGGCATGCCACGGGGCTCTGGGTGCTCACAAAGAGGGGGAGTCGAATTGGTTCGAAACGCCCCCAGGCAGCTCAGCTGCTCCGGACCGCCACCTCTGCCGACGTCCCTGGAGGCCCCGGGTCGGAGCAAAGATCGGTTCCAGCCGTGGAAGCAAAACTTTGGCGGCACCGCTCTATCTGAGCGGCCAGGCTCCGAGAGAATTACTCCGCCCAAGCGGTCATCGCACGATTCACCGTTGTTGGCCACACTTAGATAGATCGGAAGCGCCAAGGTGACGCCACCTTCGCCCGCTCGTGCCAACTACAAGCGAAAATCCGCGCCGTCCTCTCGGGACCCCGAGCGAGGCCCTGCCCCACCCCCCCATCCCCGCCCCCCCCCCCCTCTCCCCCGGGCCACCATGGGCCGCACTTGCACGTCGTGGCTTCCGCAGTGCCGCACATGCATTTTGGGGGCCACACCGGTAAAGTTTGGGACCGCACCTGAATGTTGGGGTCGGCCTTCTTCTCCAGGAGGTAGCGCACCATGCGGGCCTTGCTGGCGCTCTGCGCGTCGGCGTGCCGCGTCAGGCAGGCCACCATGAGCGGCGTCTCGCCGCGGTCGTTGCTCTCGTTGACGTAGGCGCCGCCGTCGAGCAGCAAGCGCGTGAGACGCAGGCGGCCCAGCTGCACGGCCCGCAGGAGGGGGTTGCCGCCGGTGCGTGCGCCGTCCGGGGACGCGGCCCCGGGCCGCGACGCTGCCGCGGCCGCTTCATCTTCGTCGCCTCCGCCGCTGCAGTCGCCTGCGATTTGAATTTGCTTAGCCGGCTGTGAGGAGTCATCGAGGAGGCTCACGAAGATAATCCGTAGACACCCACGGACAGACACGTAGAGGCTCGTAGATACACAGAGACTTGCTGAGATCCATAGACACCCATAACGATAAAGAGAGATACGTAGAGGCTCATAGATACAGATAGAGACTCGCAGAGAACCAGAGACACCCATAAAGATATAGAGAGATACGTAGAGGCTCATAGATACACATAGAGACTCGCAGAGATCCATAGACACCCATAACGATAAAGAGAGATACGTAGAGGCTCATAGATACACATAGAGACTCGCAGAGATCCATAGACACCCATAACGATATAGAGAGATACGTAGAGGCTCATAGATACACATAGAGACTCGCAGAGATCCATAGACACCCATAACGATATAGAGAGATACGTAGAGGCTCATAGATACACATAGAGACTCGCAGAGAACCAGAGACACCCATAAAGATATAGAGAGATACGTAGAGGCTCATAGATACACATAGAGACTCGCAGAGATCCATAGACACCCATAAAGATATCGAGAGATACGTAGAGGCTCATAAAAACACATAGAGACTCACAGAGATCCATAGCCACCCATAACGATATAGAGAGATGCGTAGAGGCTCATAGATACACATAGAGACTCAAAGAGTTTAATAAAGATATAGAGAGATACGGTACACAGAGACTCATAGATACACATAGAGATACATAGACATCCATAAATATATACAGGGACTCTACTTATGAACATTCGACTAGCGAACTTTCAGAGATACGAACAAACCTGGTCCGTACGTCCAGTTGCCGCTGTACGAACCGAGAGTCGTAAATTCAACCGCCGCACAATAGACGGCGGTGGTGGCATCTATATCAGCAGAACGTGAAGAACCAGTGGCATCTACATCTACAGAACGTGAAGAACCAGTGGCATCTACATCTACAGAACGTGAAGAACCAGTGGCATCTACATCAGCAGAACGTGAAGAAACAGTGACATCTACATCTACAGAACGTGGAGAACCAGTTGCATCTACATCAGCAGAACGTGAAGAACCAGTGGCATCTACATCTACAGAACGTGAAGAACCAGTGGCATCTACATCAGCAGAACGTGAAGAACCAGTGGCATCTACATCTACAGAACATGAAGAACCAGTGGCATCTACATCTGTAGAACGTGAAGAACCAGTGGCATCTACATCTGTAGAACGTGAAGAACCAGTGGCATCTACATCTACATAACATGAAGAACCAGTGGCATCTACATCTACAGAACATGAAGAAACAGTGGCATCTACATCTACAGAACATGAAGAAACAGTGGCATCTACATCTGCAGAACGTGAAGAAGCAGTGGCATCTACATCTGCAGAACGTGAAGAAGCAGTGGCATCTACATCTGCAGAACGTGAAGAAGCAGTGGCATCTACATCTGCAGAACGCGAAGAAGCAGTGGCATCTACATTTACAGAACATGAAGAACCAGTGGCATCTACATCTACAGAACATGAAGAAGCAGTGGCATCTACATTTACAGAACGTGAAGAACCAGTGGCATCTACATCTACAGAACGTGAAGAACCAGTGGCATCTACATCAGCAGAACGTGAAGAACCAGTGGCATCTACATCTACAGAACATGAAGAACCAGTGGCATCTACATCTGTAGAACGTGAAGAACCAGTGGCATCTACATCTGCAGAACGTGAAGAACCAGTGGCATCTACATCTGCAGAACGTGAAGAACCAGTGGCATCTACATCTGCAGAACGTGAAGAACCAGTGGCATCTACATCTGCAGAACGTGAAGAAGCAGTGGCATCTACATCTGCAGAACGTAAAGAAGCAGTGGCATCTACATCTGCAGAACGTGAAGAAGCAGTGGCATCTACATCTGCAGAACGTGAAGAAGCAGTGGCATCTACATCTGCAGAACGCGAAGAAGCAGTGGCATCTACATTTACAGAACATGAAGAACCAGTGGCATCTACATCTACAGAACATGAAGAAGCAGTGGCATCTACATTTACAGAACGTGAAGAACCAGTGGCATCTACATCAGGAGAACATGAAGAACCAGTGGCATCTACATCTACAGAACATGAAGAACCAGTGGCATCTACATCTACAGAACATGAAGAAACAGTGGCATCTACATCTACAGAACATGAAGAAACAGTGGCATCTACATCTACATAATGCGAAGAAGCAGTGGCATCTACATCTACAGAACGTGAAGAACCAGTGGCATCTACATCTACAGCACGTGAAGAACCAGTGGCATCTACATCTACAGAACGTGAAGAACCAGTGGCATCTACATCTGCAGAAGGTGAAGAACCAGTGGCATCTACATCTGCAGAACATGAAGAACCGGTGGCATCTACATCTACAGAACGTGAATAACCAGTGGCATCTACATCTGCATAACATGAAAAACCAGTGGCATCTACATCTGCATAACATGAAGAACCAGTGGCATCTACATCTGCAGAACGTGAAGAACCAGTGGCATCTACATCTGCAGAACGTGAAGAACCAGTGGCATCTACATCTACAGAACATGAAGAACCAGTGGCATCTACATCTGTAGAACGTGAAGAACCAGTGGCATCTACATCTGTAGAACGTGAAGAACCAGTGGCATCTACATCTACATAACATGAAGAACCAGTGGCATCTACATCTATAGAACATGAAGAAACAGTGGCATCTACATCTACAGAACATGAAGAAACAGTGGCATCTACATCTGCAGAACGTGAAGAAGCAGTGGCATCTACATCTGCAGAACGTGAAGAAGCAGTGGCATCTACATCTGCAGAACGCGAAGAAGCAGTGGCATCTACATTTACAGAACATGAAGAACCAGTGGCATCTACATCTACAGAACATGAAGAAGCAGTGGCATCTACATTTACAGAACGTGAAGAACCAGTGGCATCTACATCTACAGAACGTGAAGAACCAGTGGCATCTACATCAGCAGAACGTGAAGAACCAGTGGCATCTACATCTACAGAACATGAAGAACCAGTGGCATCTACATCTGTAGAACGTGAAGAACCAGTGGCATCTACATCTGCAGAACGTGAAGAACCAGTGGCATCTACATCTGCAGAACGTGAAGAACCAGTGGCATCTACATCTGCAGAACGTGAAGAACCAGTGGCATCTACATCTGCAGAACGTGAAGAAGCAGTGGCATCTACATCTGCAGAACGTGAAGAAGCAGTGGCATCTACATCTGCAGAACGTGAAGAAGCAGTGGCATCTACATCTGCAGAACGTGAAGAAGCAGTGGCATCTACATCTGCAGAACGCGAAGAAGCAGTGGCATCTACATTTACAGAACATGAAGAACCAGTGGCATCTACATCTACAGAACATGAAGAAGCAGTGGCATCTACATTTACAGAACGTGAAGAACCAGTGGCATCTACATCAGGAGAACATGAAGAACCAGTGGCATCTACATCTACAGAACATGAAGAACCAGTGGCATCTACATCTACAGAACATGAAGAAACAGTGGCATCTACATCTACAGAACATGAAGAAACAGTGGCATCTACATCTACATAATGCGAAGAAGCAGTGGCATCTACATCTACAGAACGTGAAGAACCAGTGGCATCTACATCTACAGAACGTGAAGAACCAGTGGCATCTACATCTGCAGAAGGTGAAGAACCAGTGGCATCTACATCTGCAGAACATGAAGAACCGGTGGCATCTACATCTACAGAACGTGAATAACCAGTGGCATCTACATCTGCATAACATGAAAAACCAGTGGCATCTACATCTGCATAACATGAAGAACCAGTGGCATCTACATCTGCAGAACGTGAAGAACCAGTGGCATCTACATCTGCAGAACGTGAAGAACCAGTGTCATCTACATCTGCAGAACGTGAAGAAGCAGTGGCATCTACATCTGCATAACATGAAGAACCAGTGGCATCTACATCTGCAGAACGTGAAGAACCAGTGGCATCTACATCAGCAGAACGTAAAGAACCAGTGACATCTACATCTGCAGAACATGAAGAACCAGTGGCATCTACATCAGCAGAACGTGAAGAACCAGTGGCATCTACATCTGCAGAACGTGAAGAAGCAGTGGCATCTACATCTGCAGAACATGAAGAACCAGTGGCATCTACATCTGCAGAACGTGAAGAACCAGTGGCATCTACATCTGCAGAACGTGAAGAACCAGTGGCATCTACATCTGCAGAACATGAAGAACCGGTGGCATCTACATCTACAGAACGTGAATAACCAGTGGCATCTACATCTGCATAACATGAAGAACCAGTGGCATCTACATCTGCAGAACATGAAGAACCAGTGGCATCTACATCTGCAGAACATGAAGAACCAGTGGCATCTCCATCTGCAGAACGTGAAAAACCATTGGCATCTACATCAGCAGAACGTAAAGAACCAGTGACATCTACATCTGCAGAACATGAAGAACCAGTGGCATCTACATCAGCAGAACGTGAAGAAGCAGTGGCATCTACATCTGCAGAACATGAAGAACCAGTGGCATCTACATCTGCAGAATGTGAAGAAGCAGTGGCATCTACATCTTCAGAACATGAAGAACCAGTGGCATCTACATCTGCAGAACGTGAAGAAGCAGTGGCATCTACATCTGCAGAACGTAAAGAACCAGTGGCATCTACATCAGCAGAACGTAAAGAACCAGTGGCATCTACATCTGCAGAACGTTAAGAACCAGTGGCATCTCCATCTGCAGAACGTGAAGAACCATTGGCATCTGCATCTGCAGAACATGAAGAACCAGTGACATCTACATCTGCAGAACGTGAAGAAGCAGTGGCATCTACATCTGCATAACATGAAGAACCAGTGGCATCTACATCTGCAGAACATGAAGAACCAGTGGCATCTACATCTGCAGAACGTGAAGAACCAGTGGCATCTACATCTGCAGAACATGAAGAACCAGTGGCATCTACATCTGCAGAACGTGACGAACCAGTGGCATCTACATCTGCAGAACATGAAGAACCAGTGGCATCTACATCTGCAGAATGTGAAGAACCAGTGGCATCTACATCTGCAGAACGTGAAGAACCAGTGGCATCTACATCTGCAGAACGTGAAGAACCAGTGGCATCTACATTTGCAGAACATGAAGAACCAGTGGCATCTACATCTGCAGAACGTTAAGAACCAGTGGCATCTCCATCTGCAGAACGTGAAGAACCATTGGCATCTACATCTGCAGAACATGAAGAACCAGTGGCCTCTACATCTGCAGAACGTTGAGAACCAGTGGCATCTACATCATGTAAATAACTAGTGGCATCTACATCTTCAGAACATCAAGAACCAGTGGCAACTACATCTGCAGAATGTGAAGAAACATTGGCATCTATATCTGCAGAACATGAAGAACCAGTGGCATCTACATCTACAGAACGTGAAGAACCAGTGGCATCTACACGTCGTACAACATGTTTGGAATCGACAGGAGTAAAGTTGGACTTACGAACAAATTGACTTACGAACAGACCTCTGGTACCTAACTCGTTCGTACGTAGAGGAGTCCCTCTAGATACACATAGAGATACATAGAGATTCTGTTACATGGGTCCAAGTACTTTTTGTTTTAACCAGGGCAGAGCTCACGAGATCAGGGATGGGTCTCATTTCGCAATTGACCTCTGGCGTGATTGTAACATTGACGACAAGAAGACACTGACCATCAGACGTCGCAGATGGTGTGGCGGATGCCATCCTCGCAACAGCCGACGGGGCCTCCTTCTTCATCATCATCATCATCGTCGATGTCGTCGGTGTTGATGGTGTTGATGTGGTTTTGCAGTGGGCAGTGTGCACATGTGTGCGTGTTCATGTGCGTGCATGTGTGTTCATTTGTGTGTGTACGTGTGTGTGTACCTACCGATTTATGTATGAACGTGTGTGCGAACGTGTGTGTGGGGGAGCGGTGGTGTAGCGGTTAGCGCGGTGCTCTACGAACCTGGCGACCGGGGTTCGATTTCCGCTCACGGTCAACACTGGTGACGATTATCTGAACCAGTCCTAGGGCCTTCGCTACGTCGACTCGGCCTCAAATTAGTACTTGTTGCAGTGTGTAAACATCACCACTGGGGAAACAAAGGTGGTCGGACACGGTGCTGGCCACCCACCCCCTCGTGTGCCGCTTCGGCCTTCATAGGTGCTATTCGCTAACAGCACTTGCCCCAACAGTCTGTCAAGGCTATACGGGGGATCTGTGTCTTTGTGTGTCTTTGATAGTGGATGAGAATCAGCTTAAATGGTGAATATCAATCAGAGTAGATGTGCGTTCGCCTCTAGGAATGTTTAAGTTCCTGTGTGTGTTGCGTACGTGTGTAACACTGGACTAGAGCCGACAGATCGGTCGTACAGGTTGTGTCATTCTGTGATTGCTCATCACCCTCGGCACGCATGGAAGGGCAACCACGGATAGCATCAATCACGAGGGGTATTTAACCAGCCCTGGGGCCTCCCCCTTACGTCGACTCAGCCTTAAACGAGTGTGAAGTGTCGCCGGCCTGCAGCAAGGATCGGCATTGGAGGAAGACAAAGGCGACCGGGCGTGAGGTTGACCACACTAAGAGCACCCGCCCCAAATCTCTGGCTCCGTAAGTCGTTTTTTTTGCGTGCACGTCAAACCACCTGTATGGATGTAAGCAATTCCACGCGTGCGCCGATTGATTTTATGAGCGCCTACGTGCATACTACGGGTGTGTGCGTCACCTGGTGTTTGTGTCACCTGGTGTGTGTGTCACCTGGTGTGTGTGTCACCTGGTGTGTGTGTCACCTGGTGTGTGTGTCACCCCACTGGGTGTGTGTCACCTGGTGTGTGTATTATGTTGTTGCTCTATGGGTATGCGCGCGCGGTGGTGTCACCGCTGTCATTTCCCCTGTCGAAGATCCACCGCCTGCACAGGAAACAGGGGGCACCTGCACAGGAAACAGGGGGCACCAGAGGATTCAGTGCGGCACTGCGTCGCTTGCTCATTCACAGCACTGCCACACGCCCACCCGCCCAAAAACACCACCACCACCACCTCCCCCGCCAGCAGTGCCGGATTTTCCTAGCAGCAAAAGTAGCTACTACTACACGTGTAGTAGTAGCTACTACTACTACTACACGTGTAGCTACGGGCCCCGCACTTTCAAGGGCCCCGCGCTAAATGCTTTCAAGCTATCAATTCCGGTTCAGTGATTCTACACTTGCTCTATTACTATAGTACTATACCGCCTTCAACTTTTACGAACGACTGTGTGTTTAAGGTTAGCGATTTGTCGTATTATCTGGCTGTATATGAAATGAAAAAAAATACAATTACTTTACTATGCAAGTTTAACATTTGTGTTTTAATATTTATGTGTTTTATTTATTTAGGGCCCCCTTCATAACATCATGCTACAGGCCCCGCACTCGCTTAATCCGGCACTGCCACGACCGCCTCCCCCGCCGGCGATGTCGCGAGGCAGTGGAGAGCTCCAGATGGAACGCCACCCAGGACGTGCATCTGGGGAGCCGCAGTGACACGTCCACAGTCAGCGGCGACGTCAGTATTTGTGGTGGCGGCGCGGTGGCAAAGTAACACTCGTGCCTGCGCAGCGAGAACAAGGTGCTGGGTTCGATGCCTGACTCAGAGGTTGTACCAAGGCCGTAATTATAATATATTGGGGGGGAACACATCCCCCCCCCCAATATTCAAATATGCTCAAAATGTCCCCCCCAGTATAAAAAATTTTCTATGCTATGTAAATAAAAACAATTTGCTAAACCTTGGCCACAATATCTGGACTTGTCTTCATATACATCAATGCATAGATATCTGTTTATATGATTGTGGTTATGGTTGTACTTTATTAATCCCTAATCTCTGCCATTACATACAATAAAACAAGAAATGTAAAAAAGTAAAAACAGAGCAATACACTATTCGACATTATTGTAAATGTCGTGTTCGACTTTACGCGGGCAACTTCTGTCTTTCTTCAAACACCGCTTTATTTACAACATTCAACATGTCCTCCACACTCCACAGTATCCTGGTCACCACGGCTCGCTCGCCGTGCTCCGCCCGTCTCGCTCACCACCTTTGTCTCCCCACTATCACTTCACTTGCTTCGCACTCAACGACTCCCCGTTCAGCAACTCCGCACACAGCGTCTTCCCACACAGCGACTTCGCACACTCCGCACATAGCGTCTTCAGCTCCGCTATCGCTACGCTCTCTCCACTGCTAACTACTTTGTCTTGCTTCAGCTCCGCTATCGCTACGCTCACTCCACTGCTAACTACTTCGTCTTGCTTCAGCTTCGCTATCGCTACGCTCACTCCACTGCTAACTGCTTCGTCTTGCTTCACACTCTGTTCCAACTCCGTTTCCCACTGTGTCTCCAAACTCTGGTTCTACTCTGTTTCCAACTCCACGTCTTCCTCGTCCAGCCCCCAACTCCAACTCCCCGCTCTCTGTGTGTCTCCCCCAATGTATCCCCATTCTCATTATCGCTAATTAATTGGCCCGCGTGCCTCCGCACGCTTCGCGTCCTCAAACACCTGTCCTTCTCCAGACATCTCGACGCCTCCTCGTCCTTGACAACAGCCACAGCCAATCACCGCCGTTGCTGATCCTCTGGCTTAATTGGCCCAACCGTTACCTCATCATCCCAGCCCTTGCACCTGGCTGTCCTAACACGACCCACACTGTTATCTCCTTCTCCACAGGTTGACCCCAGATAACCCACACTGTCCGTGTGATCATACAATCGCGCAGTTTCCACAACACACCTTCATACTCCACTACATGAATAAAAAACAGTCGCTCCCATGTGTAAGTGAATTTTTTAAATATTTTAGGCAGAAAATTATTTTTCAAATTTAGATATATTTTTTTTGGATTGGGACCCCCAGACACCCTGGAAGATTTGGTCCCCCCCCCCAATGTTGACTCCATGGCTACGGCCTTGGGTTGTACGTTCTCCCCGTGGTCTCCATTGGATCCGTACGAGTCATCCGGTCTCTATTAAAATAAAACCCATTCAGTGCCACTTGGCCATGGATAATTTACGGTCGCTGCAAATTACTCTATTGCGATTGCAGCAGCGGTTCGGATATCACTGCCACTGTGGAGTTACACCACTGGCAGTGACTAGGAATCGAACTTGAGTTGGTATGCAGGAGGTCGTGGGTTTCGATCCCGACGCCTGTATATTGGGAGTTTGCGTGTCTCTCTCTCTCTCCCGTGGTCGCGTGGATTTTTTATCCGGGTACTCCGGTTTCTCCCTCCACATTTAGACACATGCGTTGAGATTATTTAGATGAATTTGTTGCTATAAATGTCCAAATGATAACCCACTTTGTTGAGCTATCATTTGTGGCCAGGTCGCTTTCGAAAAAATAAATTAATACCTAAGTGGGCTTTGTCTGATAGGTTAGGGATGGTTTAGTGTTATATTTGTTTGTGTTTGGGTGATTTGTTGACATCTCTTGTACTTTTTGTATTGTTTGTTTTTGTAACGTCCTTACCCCGTGCCCCTACTGGGCATCTGAAAAAGAGCTGTGTTGCTAATCGGATTCCTCCAGTAAAAAAAAAATCTGATTCTGCTAACCACTGTCCCACCGCTCAACCACGCAGTACACGTACATTGAATGAATACATCACACGCAGTACAAATAAGTAAAACAAAGACCCCCCCGTATAACCTGAAAAGACTGTTGGGGCAAGTGCTGTTAGCGAAAGCCGGCACCCGTACACGAGGGGGTGGGTGGCCAGCACCACGCCCGACCGTCTTTGTCTCCCGAGTGGCGATGTTTACACACCGCACCAGGTACTCATTTGAGGCTGAATCGACCTAGGGGAGGCCCAGCAAGGGTTCAGACAGTCGTCACTGGTGTTGGCCGTGAGCGGGAATCCAAATTGGGACGGCCGCGTTTTGTAGCACAGCGTAGCCCTAACCACTGCGCGAACGCTCCCCACGCAGTATAAGACAAAGGCCCCCCGTATAGCCTTACCATGCTGTGCGGGCAAGTGCTATTAACGAGCACCTATGAAGGCCAGAACGCAGTACACACGCGCACGTGAATGTGCATGCAGACAGATCGCAGCGGAACTCTCCACAGCAGCAGCGGCAGGGCGACTCACGACCTCCTCCCTCCCTGCCGACACCCAGGGCCGTGACCGTCACTGACAGGCGTCGTTCCTCCGGCTGGAACGGGGCCGTCATCACCGTCGTCGTCGTCATCACCGTCGTTGTCGTTTCCACTGCTGCTGCTCATTACTTGTGAACTGCTTTTTGTGTGTTCGTAGTTTGTTCTCCTTCCCCCGCTACCTCCGATTAGCGCGGCTTGGCTACGTACCAGTGCACCGATAGGAGTTCAACATACGCACGCACAAATGAGTACCTGGTGCGGCGTGTAAGTAAACGTCGCCACCGGGGAAGACAAAGGCGGTCGGGCGTGCTGCTGGCCGCCCACCACCTCCTGCGCCGTGCCGGCCTTCATAGGTGCTGCTTGCGAACATCACCTGCCCCGAAAGTCTGCTCATAGCCTATACGGGGGACCTTTGCTGTGTGGCCTTCAAAGAAACAATATGATAGGCAGCGACGTTTCGGGCAGTGGTCCTGCTTCACAGCCCCGATTGTGGCATGGCCGCTGGTCGCAGTCGTTCTCGGTTCGGGTCGAGCGGCCGCCCCGATTAACACTGCGGTGCGCGCAGTGTGAACCGTGCGAACGCGGCGCGCCGGCGGCTGCACAGGGGGGACGTTCAAGATCCTGCGACGTCATACGCAAGACGGAGGCCCTGTTACCGTCCCGGCGTTAACGCCCCAAAAAGCATTTTAACGCGTAGGCTTGCGCCACCAATATCATCCATAGTAGAGGTTTTTGGGTTAGATCGCGTCAATATACAAATGTGTCGTTAAAACCCGCCACCACCCGACACAGCCAGCTAGTAAGGGTTGTCACGTAAACAGAACGTGGCCAATTCGTCACTTGTACAGCACTGCACGGGTTGTGTGTTGGAGAGCCAAGCCACAACATTTACAATC